CCATGATCTGATCGCACAGGGCGGAGCACGGATTTTGAGGGGCCCTGAAGCAGCCCTCCAGCAGGATGTGTTTCTATCTGTGTTTGTGGCTGTGTGTGTGTTCGTGTTCGTGTTCGTGTTCGTGTTCGTGTTCGTGTTCGTGTGTGTGTGTGTGTGCGCGTGTGTTTGTGATTGAAATTGTTTTGTGCGCATGTGTGTGTGTGTGTGTTGTTGCTTGCTTGTTTGTGCTTCTGGTTGTGTGTGCTGTTGTTGGTGCTTGTGCGTCCGGGTTCATGTGTGTCTGCGTGTTTGTGTTCGAGTGTTTGGTAGTTGTTGCTGTTGTTGTTTGTGAGAAAGTGCGTGTTCGTGTGTGTGTATGCGTGCGTTTGTGTGTCTGTGTGTTTCGTTACTGCTTTGTGCGTGCTTTGAAAGGATGTGTGTGTGTGTGTTTCTTTGTGTGTTTTTGCGTTTTGTGTGTTGTGTGTGCGTGTGGTGTTGCTTGCTTCTTTGTGACTTTGTTTGTGTTGTTGTGCGTTTGTTTGCGCGTGTTCATGTGTGTCTGCGCGTGTTCATCTGTGTCTGCGCGTGTTTGTGTTTATGTGTGTGATTATTGCTGTCGTTGTTGTTGTTTGTGTGTGTGTGTGGGTGTGTTTGCGTGTGTGTCTGCTTGCTTTCTTGTGTGTTTGTGTGTGTGTGTGAGAGTGCGTGTTCGTGTGTGTGTGTGTGCGTGTGTTTGTCTGTGTGTGTGTGTGTGTTTGCTTACTGTTTTGTGCGAGCTTCGTGAGTGTGTGTGTGTGTGTGTTTGTTTGTGTGTGTATATAATATATATATATATATGTGTTTGTGTGTTTTGTGTGCGTGTGCGATTTTGCTTGCTTGTTTGTGATTTTGCTTGTGTGTTGTTGTGTTTGTGAGCGCGTTTTCATGCGTGTCTGTGTTTGTGTTTGTGTTTGTGTTTGTGTGTTTGGTTGTTGATGTTGATATTTTTGTGTTTTGTGTTTTGTGTGTTGGTTTGCTGGTGTATGCGCGTTTCTGCTTGCATTTGTGTGTGTGTGTGCGTGTTCGTGTGTGTGTGTGTGTGCTTGTGTTTGTGGTTGTGCTTGCGTGTGCTTGTGTTTGTGTGTGTGTGTGCTTGTGTGTGTGTTTGTGTTTGTGTGCTTGCTTGTGATCTCGTGCTGTGTGTGTTTGTGTGTGTGTGTTTGCTTGTGCAATGGTGCTTTTTGTGTTTGTGTGTGTGTGTGAGTGTGCGCGTGTTCGTGTATGTGTGTGTGTGTGCATGTGTGCGTGTGTGTGCGTGTGTGTGTGTTTGGTTGTTGTTTTGAACAAATGTTGTACGTGTTTTCTGAGTGTGTGTTTTTGTTTGTGCGGTTGTGTGTGCGCTTGTTCGGGTGTCTGTCTGTGTGTGTGTGTGTGCGTGTGTTTTTGTTTGCGTGTGTGTGTGTATATGTGTTGTTGTGCATTTTACGTGCATGTGTGTGTATGTTTGTTTGTTGGTTTATTTTTGTGTACTGTGTATTGTTGTTTGTGTGTGTGTATGTTTTTGCGTGCTTGTTTGTTTTGAGATTTTGTTCGGCGTGTGTTTTTGCTTGTGTTCGTGAGTGTGAGATCATGTGTGTCTGCGTGTTTGTGTGTGTGTGTGTGTGTTTGTGTGTTGCTGTTGTTGTTTGTGTGGTTTGTGTGCTTGTTTGTTTGTGTGTGTGTTTGTGTGCTTCTGTCTGTGTTTATGTTTGTGTGTGTGCGAATGTGTGTGTTTGTGCTTTATTGCTTGTGTTTCTGTTTGTGCGCTTGTGTTTGTGTGTGTGTGTTTCTGTGCTTGGTTATTGTTTTGCGCGTGGGGTGTGCGTGTGTGTTTTGTTTGTGTGTTTTTGTGTTTCTGCGTGTTCGTGTCTGTGTGTGCGCGCTTGTGTTTGTGTTTGCGTGTTTGTATGTGTGTTTTGCGTGCGTGTGGGTGTGTTTGTGTGTGTTTATTTGTTTGTTTGTTGTTGCTTCTGTTTGTTGTGTGTGTGGTATGTTTTTTTGCGTGTGTGTGTGTGTGTGTGTTTGCTTCTGTGTGTTTGTGTGAGTGAGTGTTTGTGTTTGAGTGTTTGTTTGTTGTGTGTATGTGTTGTATATGTTTTGTGTGATTTTGTTTGCGTGTTTAGTGTTTGTGTTTTTGTTTGTGTGCGTGCGCAATCATGTGTCTGCATGTGTTTGTGTTTGTGTGTTTGTTTATTGCTGTTGTTGTTGGTGTTTTTGTGCGCTTTGTGTGCATGTTTTTGTGTGTGTGTGTGTGAGAGTTTGTGTTTGCATGTGTGTGTGTGTGCCTGCTTCTGTGTGTGTGTTGTTGTGTTCGTGTGTGCTTTCGTTTGTGTTTGTCCGCCGCCTTGTGGGAAGTGCAACTGGAAGATGGTCACCCCACATCTTTTCTACTCGCGGAAACGGGGTACGGCTGGTGGCCTTTTGGAAAAATAGATGGCCCTGGTAAATGGAAACCAGGGCCCCCTGTTTTTTTAAAGCAAACCAACCAAAAAGGACACCTATGGCCACTATGTAAAGGGCATCCTGATTTGCCCTTTGGAAAGCATGGAAACTGGGCTTGAGGCTCAGAAAGGCTTGTGGCAATAGGTTTGCGGTCTCAAGTGCAGGCCAGCGTAGCAGCGGGACGGCGTCGGCTGGCTCCCCAAGAATTTTGCGGTGACACTCTATGAGGAACCCCAAGAAGAATTGTGGTTTGCCTGTTAGCCTTCAGAAGAGGGTTGGGCCATTGAACCACTGCTGCTTACACATGGAGGTTGAGCAAAAGGTCCTTTACATAGGATCATTGGTGACAACTGTGAAAACCACAAAAAAAAAGAAGATATGTCCCACATGGGAGAAAATCAATGTTACCCATGCTCAAACCTGAAAACCCCCCACACAAATACAAGGAAAAGATTGATCTCCACTCCCATGTCCAACTTGGAATCCTGGACCCTGGGGCTATGATAGGCCTCCTCCAGGCTGATGTGAATGGCCGCCACCATCTGCACCGTCCACGTTGGATCGATGCCTTCCCGCTGAATGACCTGATGCCATCCATGACCGGACCCCGGACGCCACGCCCGCCTTCTGCCCCCTGTTTTCAGTGGAGTCATAGTCAAAACCCGGTAGTAAAATGGTCTACCCAGAACCATGTAAAGAATTAAGAAGGCGGATATCCGCAGCTATTTATGGTTGGGAGTGTCCCTTACTAACCTTCATCTACCCGGGTTTTGATTGTGGCTCAATTGCAACCAGGAATCTTCTGGGCCAACCCTAGCGAAACCGGGATGAGATCAGGTCCGTGAGATCTCCACGCTCGTGTGGCCAGCTTGCTGAGTTGACTTGTTGACCACCGTCGCAACGGATGCACAAGAAAAAGAGATTGTGCACATTGTAGCGACTATAGCTTCATTTTTCATATGTACTTCACAAGTTTGCTCGGCGGCAAAGCTTTTGGAATGGGGCTGAGCAGCAAAACTGGTTCAGAGATTCAAAGGTTCCATTCCCCTCAGACCACGACTCCTAAGGCAAAATATGCATTTTACCACGAAGGAGCCACAACAAAATGCAGGATAATATGTTCAGGGTGTACAAATGTGACATCTTTCAAATTCTGGTCCAGTCGAAACTTAGGGAACCTTCCAATCCCCCCCCAAACCACCAGCAAATCAGAGCTACTGTATACAACCGATTTTCCTTTGGGTAGCCCCAAATGGGCTACGACCCTCCCAACGTGGAATCTGACTCTCTGGGATCCGGGCTCTGGTCCTGTTTCTGGCAGCGTCGCACAGGAAGTTTAACCTCAGCATACTTCGAGGGTGACCTGCGAGTTATTACAAACCATGTATTTCGTGGAAACTAACAAATGGATTCTCACGAATTGCACACATGTGAAAGCTGGACCTGTTCATTACAACCGGTTTAGGGTCCCCTGACAAGTTTATGAGCATGCCATGGGAAAAAGTGCCAAAAGATGCAACACAAGCAAATCAAGGGGTGAGAGCAGGTTATGAGCAGCAGCTATGGGTCGCGGACTGAAATTCTGGCATATCAGGATACGCCTCGAAACGAAAAACAATGATGTGGATGGACCGAATCCACCCACTAGGATTTCGGTGGTTTGTCAGCCAGTACTCAAATCGGAAGCCCATCCGTTGCGAAATAGGATTTGTCCATTCATGGATGGCTTCCTGCTTTGGAAGCACGTCCGACAGTCTCAGCGAGCGCTGGCAAGCGCGCCTCCAAAATATCGTCAACGATGATGGTCTCGGGCATCTCGGCCACACGTTCCCACCTCGATCGTCGTTTGGCCGTGTCTAAGGTGACTTTTTGTTGGTTACCCCCCCGCCCAAGTGGTTGTCCCTGTTGGTTTCCCAGTAAAACCACAAAAAAGCACCCTCAAAAGGAAGACCCATATATTGTTGGGCTTCTCTGCACGCAGCTCTGGCGGGGGAATGCGAACAAGTCTGCATCTCAATAGCTCATGTCTGAGCTGCGCACAACTCTCTGTCGGGGACCTGACGCATGCATGCCATTAGACTGTGGTCACCGGATTTCTTCAAGTAAACATCCAAAAAACCACTTGCTTTACAGGCGGATCCTCCAAATCACTTGGTAAGGGCGGCTTCATGATTAAATTGTCCGTCAAAAGGGACCCGGAATCACTGTGATCAAACTGGGCCGACCGTCATGTTGGAGCGTCGCTGCACCCAAATGAGGCGCATGCCCACATCTTGTGATAATAAGCTCGTTTGAAGAGATAGGTGCCTCAGGCATGACACATGTATGCAACCTCACCTGGGTTGTTCAAAATGGGGGAGGGGGGGGGCATTCCGTTCCTAATATGTTATTCTTGTAACACCCCTACAACTACCATCTGGCAGAAGGATGGGTTGATTCTGAACAACCCAGACCTTTGCACGCAAGGCGACAGCTCTCAGGCAAGCTCAGTGCTGGAACATTGACATGGTTTCACCTTGTTGCCGACGAACCTGCACGAGCTCGTGCAGTGGCTGGAGAGTCAAACAAACCACAAGCAGTCCTCCGCGTAGACATCCATGATGATCGCCAAGACCATGTTCAACATGACCATGACCTTACAGCACTCTGCAAGACCAACCCAATGCATTGCATCTACGTGTGCTGCAATTTCTCGTTGGTGCTTTGGCAAACCTACCCGGTCCAACCCACACATTTAAGCGCTGGACAAGCAGCACCATGTAAATCCAGCACCACAGTAGCGTGATGAACCAGTCCTAGCAAAGCTCGGTTGTCATCTGTCGTACCCCCAGTGAACATCCCAATCCCCAATAAAATAGGTTCTAAAATGGTTGGTGCACCTACACCAAAATGGTACCATTGGTTTTGACCCACAGCCATATTTGAAATACCACTATCAATTGAATTTCTCATTTCAAAGCCCGCTTCACTGAGGAAGTCTCAAGGGCTCCTCGGAGGACATGCCTTGCCAGTCATACTCGCCCTCCATGGCCAGCTGAAGGCACCTCAAAAATATCACTGGCGACGCCCATTTAGCCCGTTTGGGTGTGTCCTTGTTCTAGGGAGCCCAACCTGGCTTTGGTGTCCCTTGTGGCTTTCTCGTTTCAAGCCATAGGAGTGTCTCCAAAAAGACACACATGTCATGGAGCAAAGCGATCCGAGGGATCCATTGTGACCCGTTCAAGGCAGTTCTATCTTGAGCGGCCCCCCGAGGTAACTTGCAAATGAAGGGAGTCAGCAAGAGATAGGTATGCATCAACATAGGGGCCTCGTTGGACATGGCTTCGGTGGTCCTTTTGGTTTGCCTCAAAACCCACGAAAAATCGGGGGGCCAATGCTGGAAATGGGGGCTGTTCCCGCAAAAACCACCCGAAAGGGGTTGTGCAAAAAGGGGTTCATCAAATCCTTACAGGTTCCCTGGTGGGGGATCCCAAAAAGAGGTTCCGTCCAAAAAAAAGAGAGATCCATCCATGAAAGCCAAGGCGCATGGCAAAGCCACTCAGAGGAGTTGAGAAAGCCTCGCGGCTGCTGGAGTGGTCCCCTTGTCTTTGGATTGCCCTGTTCGGGATTTAAGAGGAATAGGTGGATGGGTGGATAGGTGGATAGGTGGATGGATGGATGGATGGATGGATGGGTGGATGGATGGATGGATGGGTGGATGGATGGATGGGGGGACGGATGGATGGATGGATGGATGGATGGATGGATGGATGGATGGATGGATGGATGGATGGATGGATGGATGGATGGATGGATGGATGGATGGATGGATGGCTGGCTGGCTGGCTGGCTGGCTGGCTGACTGGCTGGCTGGCTGGCTGGATGGATGGATGGATGGATGGATGGAGGGAGGAGGGAGGGAGGGATTGGATGGGATGGGATGGGCTGGGCTGGGCTGGGCTGGGCTGGGCTGGGCTGGGATGGGATGGGATGGGATGGGATGGGATGGGATGGGATGGGATGGGATGGGATGGGATGGGATGGATGGGATGGGATGGATGATTGAATGGATGGATGGTGGAAACAACTGGGGGATAATGTCACAACTAGGTGAGACTTGCACTTTACGAGAATACCAAGAGGAAACCATCCTGTTTGAAGGTTCCCCTTTCTGAGAATACGGAGGGGAAACCGTCCTGATTGAAGGTTATGATAATTCCAGAGGAAACCATCCTGTTTGAAGGTTCCCGGTTTTAAGACAGGCCCGGAACAGATGCATGCTGGCAAAGAACCAAAGCCCGCCTGCATCCGGCGCCCAAACATGATCATGCCGGCAATGGCAAAGCCACACCATGTCGGAATCAGCACCTCAAAGGGGCGTGCCGTGCTGTCGCCATGAAAGACCGCTGAGAGATCTAACCGAGGTCTGGGCAATCAGAAAGTGCAGAAGGTCAACCGTAGACACCTGACAGCAACCGAAGTGAAGGCCTGTTGACATCGGGCTAAACCAACATAAACCGCCGACCGCCGCTTGAAGGCGCTAAAGTGCAACGCCGCGCTTGGCATGACCCCCGCCTTCAGTGTGGAGGTGATGATAGCGAGTCGGGGCTGCCACTGCAACGACAAGAAGCATCTGGCCCTGGGCAAGACAACCTTGACTTGAGCATGTACATGATTGCATGCCATTGCCTTGCTGCATCGCTGCGTTGCTGGCAAAAAAAATGCCAGCAGGTCTCTCAAGCTGGCCAGGTCCCTCACATGAAAAGGATGTGAGCATAGGAAATGAAAATCCGCTGGTAGGAGGAGAACTCCGCCTGGCCCCAAGCTTTGCAGACACTTCGCCAAGTGGACACGGGAAACTTCGGCCAAGGCTGCCATGGAGTCTGACAATCGCATCACTTCCTTGGTCAAAAGTGGCCGATTCGTTGAAGTTCTGATTAGCGGGAGTCGAAATCGGATGCTCCATGACATGTGGCGATCGGAACACGTTTATATTCTTATTGGGACCCGTTCTCTCGTGTCTCGGGTCCTTTAGGCCGAAAATTTGGTTGCTCTGCAAAAAAGACGTGACCGAATCATCGCGAACGTTTGAGTCCAGCACCAGTGTGCTGAAGGTGTCGGGGAAATCAAAGTAATCCTGCAAACCATCAGGATCAATGGCGAAACTCTCACCTGAAATAAGAATTGGGTCTGTCTGAAACCGCGTAAAATTGGGGAACCGGTTCCCACGATGATGATTGGTTTCCTCTTGGTTTCCCTAAAGCGAAAGCATCCATCTACGGTAGCTGTCCTCAATGCTGGCCATCACCATCTTGCGGTATACTTCCTGCCAGCGGTCTGCGATTCGACCCGTGCAAACCATGAGCTAAACACCTGTTCCCCAAACATCTCCCTTTGGATTCCCCTTTAGGGTTTCGTGGCCAAGGGCTGGTTGTTGACTTTTTGCCAATATGTTTTAAAAAAATGCACCCCCCGAAAGAACAACACGAGATTTGGCTAATTCCTGAGTCGTCTATGGCTCATTTGGGAACAAACATGGACATGGTACTCAACAAGATTGGTACAAAAGGCAAATGGACCCGCCCCAAAATGGGTGGTGGCCTTCAATCACCCTCAAAAAAAACAAAAATCGCGCAGCCGCGAGCACTGGGCAAAAGACTCTGCACGCCACCGAAAAAACTGGGGGCCCGGCCAGTCCGAAGAGCATCCCGAGATGAGCCCAGCCTCTCATTTTTTCTCCCTGGATTTGTTTTTCCTTTGGCGACTTCAAAGCTGGGCAAGGTCCACACTTTTTAGACAACCCCGTCCCACCCCCATTTCCCCATTTGGGTTGGATCAGTTGTTTCCGGCCCTGGGCTTGTGCAATGGCAACTTTTCCGGGCTTGCGCAAGCAAGTGGCAACTACCAACTGGCCAATCCATCGCAGGACCAAGGCCCGGCGCACCGATTGGGGTCCTTGTGGTTGCATTTGCAGGCTTTCTGTGGGGGGCGTTCCCTTGAAAACCATCAAGAGGGTCTCGAACATGTCGCTGTGGCCCCTGAAAGTGAGACAAAACCTGACACTCGGTGTCCTGGAGACTCCATTTTCAGACGAAAACCGAAGAGGACATGGGCTTGTCCCAACAACACCCCACAAATCAGCGGTTTCCTTTGAAACCCCCGCTAAAACCAACACAAAAAGGGCACCCTCGAAAAAATACACACCCTGAAAAAAAAAAAGGGCGCCCTCGCAAAAGACACACTGGGAAAGTCGTGAGTCTCTGATGCTTGGACAGGAGTTGACCGACATCGTGTTGCTCAAAGGAGGCCCTAAAATAGCTGTGTTTGAGACAAGCACATGCATACCATGTCTCTTGTCCCCATGTCCCGCACCCGATCTTGACCACGGACAAATCAGGAAGTTAAATTTGTATTGATGGATGGGTTCTCATAAAACTACCCCAAAATCATCGGCTTCCTTCAGGCCTCCCTTACTAAAAGCCAACAACACCCAAAGAGGGCCAAACAAACAACTCGACGCAAGGCCAAAGAGGAGCCCCTTGGTCTCCGCGCCAAAACCACAACTGAGCCAAGTGATGGTGTTGATGGCGTTGAAGTGCCCCAGGAACTTTCCCTCCTGAAACGCGACTTCAGCCCGCCGCGGGAGTAGCGGGACTTGGCGAGCCGACCCCACCCAACTGGCGAAATGTTGGTCCGGATGGTTGAGGCTTATATGGGGGTTGTCTGTTTTTGAGGCTCGGTGCCCAATCTGGTGGTTTCAAGGGAAATCCAAACGAAAACCGGGTGCGGCATCTTGGGGTCCGATTCCTAAAAAAGACACACCCGTATGGGGAGGGTTCTCAAAATAGGGGAGCCCTGAAGATGGTTGGTTTCCTTTGGTGTGCCCTGTCAATACCAGCCAAAAGCGGGGAAAAGCCATTGGCCTCCTGGAGGAGCCTGTTAGGACGAGCCATTTGGTTGGATTCCCATTTTCCAACCATTTGGGGGATGGTCCATGTCCATGTTTAGACAACGGTCTTATCATTCTCCTTTCACCAAAAAGTCGAACCCGCTTCGGAAATGGCCAATGGGAGTCGGTTATGGGCGCTCATTTCATTTGTGTTTTTTTGTTCCGATCGTGCGAAAGCAGCTGGCTTCCCGAAATAGGGGACCCCTGTTGAAGAGCTTTGCAGGGAACCAGGAACGCAGCCAGTTCAAGTTCGGTCTCCAAACATGGATCTATACATGTTACACTCATAGCAGGATATGAGTCCCGGCGGAAAACTGCAGCTCGACCCCCTGTCTTTGGTAAACAAAAAAATATTTGGAGCAGTTGAAATGGAAGATGACTGGTTGAAAAAAAGAAACTAACTGCCAACTGTGGCATTTGTCCACAGTACGTCAGCTGCTCATGTCTGCGTGGCTTTGACCGCGCCTTCATATCCTTCGAGAACTCCCTAGCCTTACATGCATATTGCCGCATGCGCGAAGCACTTGCCATGTGATGTTCTGCGTCCTGAGCCCCGCACCATGAATGCAGAGGATGCCAAGCCTCGGCGCCGAAAGCGAAATGAAACCAGCCCGTCTCCTACAGTTGAATCCCTGCAGCCGCTTTTCTTAGAAACAAAAGACATGTAAAAACAACTCAATCCCTTGCCAAGCTTGCGACCAAAACACCGAGAAGCAAATAAGCAAAAAACAACGCCACCAACCCCGTGCCAAGCAGCACATGAAGAAGAAGACGATATCCACAAAGAGCAGCAGTGCTCGGTTGTGACGAGGCCACGTCTTCAACGTTGCCACCTCTTCGAGAGATTCTTGAAGACATCCCAAACCCACCGGCCGCAAACCAGCATTCAGGCTCTTCTAAATCAGTTGCTATGGGTAGGTGTTCAAATAGGGGTCCACCAAAAAACATTAGCTTCCTTTTGGCTTCCCTTTAAAGCCACTCCAAAGAGGGGGCTACCCTCAAAAAACGACACACTCGCATGTGGTGATGTTTGAACTGGCCCCAGTTGCTATCCTTTAAGGGACCCTGTTCAATTTGACTCCCACAATGGCGTTGTTCTCTTTTTTCCCTTCAAACCCACCCAAAAGAAAATACCAAGCCTCATAAAACTCACACTCAATTGAGACCTCACCTGCGCCACATGCTTAAAGGCTCGCTCCCCCTTCCGCGCCCTTCTGGGCCCAAATCAAATGTAGTTTTGGACTCTATGTCGATGTTATGTTTCTGAGGTTGGATGACCAACCCTCTGTTTAGGGAATCCATTCGGGAGGGTGGTAAACCCAAGAAGGGATTAGTTCCCTCAAGAACGCGAACCCTAGGATCACAAAGGAACCCTAGGGCTCTCAACTACCCCTTGTACCTACCCATTCCGCAATCTATGAATCCAAATTGACAGGTCTTTTCACCCCAGCATGTATGATGTGATGAGACTGTCAAAAGGGTGCTAATTACTCCAAGCTTGGCCCAAGTAAGCCCAAAATATGATGGTCTTCTGTTCTGTATTCAGTTGAGAGAGTATGTTATCTGGTGCTCAGTCGGGAATGGTTGAATGAACCCAGGGGCCGCTTTGAAGGACACCCACCACGAGGGACGACACCCGAACCTCGATCAGCTGTTTGGTGTAGATTCCTCCGCCGCGGCCTGGGCAAAGCGGGGGCCAAAACCCTACCCGAGTTTCCACGAAAGATGGTAGACCACAACCACTATATACAGCCGCGATATGGCAACTATTTGAAAGGTGTAGCTCGAAATTGAACACCAAACAACTGCAAGTGTTTATGTGTCGCTCAATGCGAAACAACCGTGCTTCTCCGTCTGCTCTTTTCGCCACTCGCGTGCAGAACCTGAGCTTCCAGCTGAAGTAGAAGTTGAACTGCACTTTCACCAAGCGGGGGATGTCCTGAGCATGATACAAACAAACTGCAGCTGGCAGCAACACATCTCAGTGGCCAGCGAGCTGATAGTTGTAAGCCACCACCTGGTCAAAGGTCGGTCGAGGATTCAATTCAGGTAGTGTTTGGTGATTGTTGCCCGCAAGGGAACAAGTATATGTATCAACTTCTACTAAAATGTATATAGAGCTTAGGAAATAATCCAAACATAAAGAAAAGATAATCAACACAACACACAAACACACATTCATCGGACACTTTTTGTAGGCCTAGCCACTCAGTGGGACAGTGTGTTTCTTTTTGTTGGTGTGTTTTGGTTTACTTTGTTTGGTTTTCTGAAGAGTTTGTGCTTTTGGCCGGGGCTGATCCAGTGGCGTTGTTTGGATTGAAAGCAATTATTCCTACCTAAAATCCCAGTTTAGAATGGAAATTCAAGTTGGACTCTTTGTTAGATAACTTGTGTTGAAACGTTGAGTGATTTGTAAATAATCCTTTCCTGGAAAGGAAATCCGGTGCAAATTGTAACTTGAAAAGAGCAATGTGTTTCAATGCAAATTATGTGTAGGAATTCTGCATTGGATTGACTCCTTAGTCAATTTCTAATTGAACTCTGATTGAATTGCAAAGTTCGATTTGGCAAGATTGTTATCTAGAATCTAGATGCCAAGATTTAAGATAGGATTTCCAATATGATTCGGAATGAGTTTTGCTTGTCGAGTCCTATTCAAATTCTATTCAAAATAGAATTAACTGTTAGAGAGCGACCGTTGGTGAAGATGTGAATCTAGTCTGACCATGGCAGTGTGGGGGGGCTAGGTAGACATACGATGGTTGGACCTCTGAACTATTTCCTCATCAAACAATACTGAATGTATTGATCAACGTCTAACGGCTTTTAAGTAGAACTCAATGAAGACTCCAATAAGAATGGTTGTTTCAAATAGAACTGTCATAAGAATTATTCACTGCCGAATTAAATTCTACATTGGAGTTCCTTCCCAATGTAAAAGTTGATTTACAAATCAGCCAACATGTTAACACAGTTCATTCGAAAAGAGCTCAACAGAAGCAAAGCAAGTGCAAACAGCAGATACAAACGTGCATGCAGACCACAGTCCCTAGCCCTCAAAACACAAAGCAGTGCCAACAGAACGAGCACGCTGGCATCGCCAGCCAGCATCGCCCAGAAAATGCATCCCCTGCATCTGCAACAAGCGCTCGTGACTAGCAAACTGCTAGAATCAGAATCTGGGTTCAGTCTAGCATGATGCTTGGGCAAAAAGCGCTCTGCGCAAAATACTCCGGATTGCCCCCCCCTTCTATTTGAACCCAACCTCATCAACCCAAAGGTCGCTGTCCGTTATTCTACAATGACTTCAAATCCTGAAAAAAGAAATGGATGCCGTGAAGGACCGTGAGATCTTCAATCCGTCAGATCGCCCAGAAAAAGTATTCTTTTGTACCCCTTCTTGTGGTTTCAAAGGGAAACCACATCTTGATAATCCATTTTTTTTTGGGGGGGGGTTCCCCAAGAAAAAAGAAAAAACTTGTGCGCCATGTCCCCAAACAATCGACGAGGAACTCTGTCAGCTTGTTTGACTTGCGGCTTCGCGGATCTGCATTCAAACGTTTCCACTGCAAACCACTCTCAGGGGAAAGCAGGGTATGCACCCACAGAATGTGGCTAGTGGCTGTATATCCCATCAAACCGCCGGGTTGGTAGAAGCCATCTATTCAGCTTCCCTCTAGTTGGTGGTTTGGATTGGTTTGGTGCTTCAGGAGGGGTCTCCCAGTTAGCCGGTTCAACTCCCAAACCACCAATCCAAACCACCAATTGGGGGATACCTGATCTATGCGGCCTTGGCTTCCAGAGATAGGCTTTGTTCGTCCAGCCATCCTCTGTCCTGCGATTCGAACGAAACGATTCGGGGTGGCGAGCCTCGAACGGGCGGGAAACGAAAGGAACACCCTCTCTCGCCAGTATTGGGGTACCTGGAAAAAGACACCCCGCCATTTACCAGAAAAGACTGCTTGGCGCTTAAGGGGAAGCTAAAAGCACCCAAGAAAAGAGTTTGGTGCTTCAGGGAAACTAACAGGACACCCATTTTGCGGTTGGCGGCTTGCCCAGCCTTCAAGTACTGAAAGCGCTTCCTTAGCTTCTCAAAATGCAGTGCGTCCTCGGAGGTCTGCCAGCCCATGTGTGATTTTTTGGGTGTCTCTTGTTTGAGGGTAGCCCTTTAAGGAAAACCAGCCCTTTGTTTTTGGGGGGGGGAACCCCGTATTGGACAGACCCATTTAGTCCTTTTCCTAGTCGCAACTTGATGAGTGGGAGCCCCATGTCGACAACGAATCTCATCTCGTAGAAACCAGCAGCAGGTCTTCTACAGGAGATTGGCCAAAACACCCGTGAAAAACGTGGAATTCCTTCAGAATGTCCTGTAGCTGGTTTCTTCTTAGTTCCTGCTGACCCCTCTGCAACAGCTTGATTTTCTGTGGGTCCAATTCGGAAAATCCGGACCTGTTTCAACCAACAAGTTGAAGTTCAACGATCCGTTGCCAAATGGCCATGGGTCAAAATCCATATCGTACCCCCAGTGAACATCCCAATCCCCACTAAAATAGGTTCTAAAATAGGCAGTGCACCTACCCCAAAATGGTACCATTGGTTTCGACCCACGGCCAAATAGCCAGAAAGTCTCGGATCACTTTCGTTTCAGCTCGTGCCGGGGCTGCAGCTGATTCTTCGCAGATGAGTCTTTGGCCCGGAGGGTGAACCTCAAACCGAGACGGCTCAAACCTTCGCTGCATGTCCATGTGGCTCACACGCTGCTAGACGCTAAATCATTAGGATGGTCTGAATTGGCCATCAAACAAGTTACACTCCCACCAACTAACATGGAAGTGCGCAAAGTTGGCCTTCTACCGGGGTCTGTGCCACTTCCATTTTAGCCGGTGAGGGTAAATTGATTGCCATTGGAAAATACCGTTCGTATTTTTTCAGCCCCTATGTCGGCTATGGCAAGGACTTGAAGCCTTTGTCGCCCTCCAAGATCTTCGTCAACTGGCGGGTAGATCGCTCGGAGATCGCAAGCTATTGACTTCCGACATCTGAATTGCAAGACAAGTAGGCGTCAAACAGCGTGAGGCGTGTGTCTTAAGGTGGGGGGACCCAAAACTGAGTGGCTTCCCGTTGGTTTCCCTTTAACTCCAACCCCCCTTGAATCATACCCTATGAAAGACACACCCAGGGGCAACCTTCAAAACTTGATGCTGGGCTCGGCTGCCAACCCCGCGAGTTCAATTCATTGGGCCAAAATGGGAAGGTGAAGCCTGCTCGGCGACAGCATGAAATGACGTGGACGGACAAAATCCTGCACTTGGAATTGATGAACCCTATAAATACTGGGAGTACCCGCCTATGAGCTGGTGCAGTATTTTGTCCATCCAAAGTAGTGTAAACTAATACATGCATCTCCCGCCGAGTTCTGCTGAATGGGCATCACTCCAGTGAGTTCCTGGCGAGGTGTTTCTCGAGCAGTAAACATGTATCATGCGGGGCATGTTCAACCCACGAAGGGTCGATTGCTTGTTTAGCCATCGGGTTTCATGCCCGCATGGCGCAATGCACGATTGCCTGTGCCTATGATTGCCTGTTTGCACCATTTCTGGCCAGCTTTCGGATCTTCCTGGTTCTCAGCAATCTGGGAATGAACCTAGGGAGCCTCTTAAAGGAAACCTCTCGTTGGATTCTTCGGTTAAGTGTTCCAGCTCATTCCCCGATCCAAGCAAGCATTCCACAGGGATCCTTAAATGATACACCTGAACATTGCCTTGTAAATGGTGGTCTCCCTTTATTTAATTTTTTTTTAAAAAAAAAAAAATAATAAAAAAAAATGCCATGTTTCAAATGGTTGCAACATGGAGATCTGTTAAGGAGCCCTGTTCCATGACTTCCTTTCGACATCTCCAGCCTGGCGCAGGGGTGCCAGCCGGCGATCCAAGGTCCAAACGTTGATGGACCGCTTGGGCCTGCAAGGCGCTCGGCACTCGGCACTCGGCACTGGTCGTAGACCCGAAAAAAAGATAAAAAACAACTCAAATCCAATGGTTGAATAAGATTGACTCATGTTCAACAGTTTCCCTTTGGGGGCCATGAATCACGCCTGGGTTTAAGCCTACCTCGGGGCAGTCAAAAGATGGAACCCTGGATGCAAGAGCATCAGACCCCCACACAAGGTCCCACAAAACCCAACAATACAGGCTGCAATTCTGCCGAGCCTGGCGGTGAAATTGGAACTGTCCACGCATTCCGGGATCACAAAGCCTGGCAGGTACAGGACGGATCTGGAAGCGGGTGTGTCGTTTTTTGACTGTCCCAACATGGGCTCCAACCCAGGCATTGCCGATTTCAATTTGTGACTGCCCCAGGATGCACTGAAACCCAACAGTGTCCCTTCTGGGGAAATCAACCGCCCCTGGGTTTGGGTCTACCTTGGGGTGGTCAAAAATGGGACCCTGCTTCGCACAGCTGCACAATGCCTTCATCAGGGCAATCGAGCAAAGACTCGTTCCTTGAGCTCACGCGCGCACGCGCGATCGGACGAATTTGTCTATGCCAGCTCTGGCCAATGAGGAATACGGGTTGAAATGATGCAACGAAAAATTCAGCTCGCTATCGCACTCTACCACTGCAAAGTTGGATGGATGCGAGCTGGTTAACAGTATGAGCAGGGTCGGTCGGGTAGTCACTGAGTCTGTCAACCAGCCAGGCAAACACGGACAAACAATGATAAAAAAAAAAGATGGAAAAGAGACAAATAATGAAGATACACAGGCACAGACCACCACTGACGGACACAAACAAACGACCCTGCACTGACTCGTACCAATGGCACTCATAAACTGAGTGACCCAAACAGAACATGACAACGGAAAAAACAAAAAAACTCAACATGATGGACACTCCAACACAGCATGGTGTGTATGTGTGCGTGTATGGATCCGACTGTAGAATTTGGCGGATGGCTAAGCAAAATCCATGCACGCATGAACAAACACACTAGTGAATGAAGGGAGGAGTTCGCAAACAATTCACTGGGCAAAGCAAGCAAGCAAGCAAAGCAAAGCAAAGCAAAGCCAAGCCAAGCAAAGCAAAGCCAAGCAAAGCAAAGGAGGCCAGGCCAGGCAAGGCACAAAAGCAAAGCAAAGCAAAGCAAGGCAAGGCAAAGTAAAGCAAAGAACAGGAAAACAATGCGCGCGTGTGTGTGTGTGTGTGAATGCATGTGGATGTGTGGATGTGTGGATATGTGGGTATGTGGATGTGTGTGTGTGCTTGTGAGACGGTGCGTGTGAGTGTGATTGCTTGGTTTCGTGTGGATGTGTGCGTGTCAATGAAGGTGTATCTGCTTTTAGCGTCCTATCCAGTCTGTTTTTGATGGAGGGAAATAGTTCCACGGGATATCTCACTCATGAGAAGACAAATTCCCAGACACGTTGATCGCTGTTGAAGATTAAACGACGCGCGAGTGCTAACCAGGAAAGATCAAGCGTGGCTCCCAATTCGAACCCTGCTGTTTCTCAGTGGTAGCTCAGCACTGAAACGTCACTTTGCAGCCCCCTTCTGTTACAAGCACAGTGCAGGCTGCTCTTGAATCTATCATGCCTAACATGGGCAACCGCAAATGAAGGGGTTCGAGCAAAGGGGTAGGATGCTATGCATATGAGCCATGGTCAAAACTTCAAAACTCCTTATACGGCCTATGGTCATGGATCCCGAAAGAGAGGCGTCAGAATAATTATTCCTACTCGCAACCCCAAGTAAAGGAACCGGTCTTTTGACCGTGGCGCACATGGTGCAAGCTGGAACCCCCCGCAAGGTCCGCTCAACTGAAACAGCCCAAGTCCCGAACCCAGAATACCAGTAGGCAGCATCTTTCCCCGGCTCGTAGAGTGCGGAAATGTTGCCGCCTCAGGTGGTGCGTTGGTTGGTTTGTTCGTTGGTTGGTCTGTTGGTTAGTTGGTGAGCTAGTTTGTAAGTTGGTTTGTCAGCTTTTGTAAATGCTTCTGCTCTCGTCTGTTCGCTATTTTGATGATAAAAGCTCAAATGGGCCCTGTGCAACCCGGGGACACTGTTTCGAGCGCCCCAACCCAATTCTTTGGATCCTGAAACCAGACTCACTTGCTCAATGGACATAGAAATACAAGCAGAGTCCCTCGACTCGCGACTCGCCCGAGAGGCCAGCCAAACTGATCGGCACTGATGGCGTCCTTGGCGGCCAGAAGGCCCCAACCGGGGCCGGGCTTGTTGTTTGAAGCCACCTGTTTCATTGCCAACCCAAAAACCGCTCTATGGTGACACTTCAAAAGGGATTTGGATTCCAAAAAGTAAAGCCACACCGGGTCCCACTTTTGGGCTCCCTTCAAGCCAATAGGGAGGCACAGAATGTGTGCGCCAAAAAGGTGGGCTTTCCATGTCTCCTTGAAAAACAATAGGGAACATAGTCGTTTGGTTTCCCTTCAAACCAAGCTGAAAAGGGTACCCTTTCGGATCCAATGTTGCGATGAATGACGTCGGCATGAAAAGTAACTCGAGGGCTCCACGGAATGGAAGGTACGCTATCGAGCACAAAAAACATATCCACATCAGGCTGCGTGGCAGGAACCATAGCCATTCTACGGCAGAAAAAAGACGCGTCCAAATGTGCCAAGCGTCTTGAGGAAAGCAAGTGAGATGGTCTACAAGTGCCTCCTGCCGCATGAATCAAGTCAATCATATGCGCGCTGCATCAGTCGAACCGCGGGCACGCCTCGCACTGCTCTTTGAGGCCACGCTCCAAAGTAAGGATGATGCCTCCCAGAACCTGCAAATCAAGCCTGTGCTTCTGCATGCCAACCTTGCTTGGATGTTCAACCCAAATTCTATAACCGTGTGTATCACCTGCTAGGGGATTGACCAGCGCAGGCAAGCTGCAATTTGGACCCTTTGGAGGCTGATGTCCCATAATTTAGACGCAATCAACATTCAACAAGCCCATAAACCCGGTGCTCATAACAGGGGTTCACATGTGGACGAACACATTCAGCCTTTGCATTCTGGCCTGATTGTACTGCAAGTATGTGCCCCGTTGGTCCTGCGACAGAAAGGCCGGCAGCACTTGCATCACATGCGGGGCATGCTCACAATGAATGGTTTCCCCTAAAGAACATGGGAGAATTAGTGAGTCCTCCTAGGAAACTTTGAATGCGAGTCCCCAAATGTTGCCCAAAGCTCATATGCTGCGCTCTAACATGCACGACAAACCAGAATTCCAGACTGGAATCATGAGCAGAGAATGGTCTCCACTACATGGGAAGCTCGCCCAAAACGTGTCCCTTGTGTGAAACCCAGACAAAGTCACTTGTTCGCCCCCTGCGAGATGGGGTTGTTAGATCGAAAATCCGCCCGCCGGGTGCCAACTTTGGAAAATTCAAGGGGTGGGCTTGGGATCGGGAAAAAGCCGTTCGGGGCAATGAAGGGACCCGCGGAAATCGGGATCGGGAAAGCCAGCGAAAACATGCAAGCAGAGAAAAGAATGGAAAACACCCGCCCTACTGGGATCCAGCCACAGAACTTCTCAACTTCTGAAGAAAATAAAAGAACCCTTGACTTGAAGAAGCAGAGAGCCCGTCACCTAAGGCGAGACTGCGTCGAGATATGAACACGGAAAAGACGAAATTCGGCCTTGGCATCAAATTTGGCGTTCCCTGCTAATTCCGGCAGAAAGCAGGAAGAAACGGAGTTGGCAAACCGATTTAGCTGCATGTTCAAATCTCGAAGCTACTTCTGCATGGCACCAAATTTGGCGTTCCCTGCTGATTCCCGCGGGAAGAAACCGAAATGAACACCGAAATGAAAAATCCAAGGCGAACCCATGGAAAACACGAACGTGAGGACCAGCTCCAAACTTTGCGCCCCGAAGCCCCAAGCTTTTTCGCCGCCCATCAGGAGGGGTTGTTCTGGGCTGGCCGAAAATCCGCCTAAAATCCGGTAGCGCCAAGCAGCAAGACACACATGGCAGATGCCAGGGCCAGTCAGATACAAACACATTGGAGCCCGTCAGGTCGCCAGTCAGATGCAGAATGTGTGAGTCGGGGTCTCGGGCCAGATGCACAGATTCGGGTCAGGGTGTCTGCCAGCTGGACGGAAAGTCCGGGTCCGAGCAGGGCGCACGGCAATTCACGCAATCCATCGGCGCCAGGACTGATGATGGCAAGCTAACGTGCTGGAGCAACATCCACAAACTCTGCATTCAAAGAACACACCTCAACAAGGATCCCCCCGTGGTAACTTTTGTTTTTTACTAGGGCTGGTTTTTTCCTAGGGCTGGTTTTCCGCAGGGTTGGCAACATCCCCAGCATCACCAGCATTGTGGCTGGCTTAGATCTTCATGAGGGCGGGTCTTGCGGTGGTTTGGGGTTGATTTAGGCGAAGCGAAGGGCTGACATCCGGGCTGCTGTTGGGCGGGTTTAGGGTTGACTTTGAGTGGGTTTGGGTTGGTTTGGAGCTGATTTGTGTTCGGTGTGCTGCTGATTTAGCAGCGGCTTTAGGGTTGCTTTAGGGTGTGTTAGGTGATTTTTGGTCTCGTTTCGGATCGGTTAGCAGCACACCGATCAGCTCCAAACCAACCCAAACCCACTCAAAGTCAACCCTAAACCCGGCCAACAGCAGCCCGGATGTCAGCCCTTCGCTTCGCCTAAATCAACCCCAAACCACCGCAAGACCCGCCCTCATGAAGATCTAAGCCAGCCAAAGCCCACTTAACCCAGACCCCCAGCAACTCCAAACTGCAACCCAATCAGAGCCAATAGGCGGCCCCAGGGCTAGTGAGGCTGGTGATGCCGGGGATCCAACCAACCAACCAACCAACCAACCAACCAACCAACCAACCAACCAACCAACCAACCAACCAACCAACCAACCAGGGGACCAGCCCTAGTAATCGTAGAAAAATAAGAAAACAACTAGGAAAAAAATAACACCGGATCCGTGCCCCCTCCCCAATTGAAAAACAAATAAAAGAAGAGGAGTCGGCAAACGTCGGAACAGCACAAAACGAGAAACGAACACTCAGGCGCAATGTGACGTTGCAGAAAACCAAGCCGCCCCTACGGCTGCGATGTTATCAGCCCACACGCGCCGCTACACCGACTATAGTCTTGGCGATAGCGCAGGGGTGAAACTGTAAGCGCGCAAGAGCGGGAAAAACTCGGGGCAAACTTGGAAAAACTGACTGGAACAAATCGCTGTCCGGAAAAAATCGCAAAATCTGGGCGGGGCAACTGGCCAAACTGGGCACAAAATATTGGATACAACTGGCCGCAAACAAAGCGGAAAAACTGGCCGGAGTCGGAAGAACTTGCCGCGGAAAAGCTGGGAAATAACGTGATCCGACGAAGCGGAGATTTGTGAGAAAAGCGGCAGCGCGAATCTGGGGCTGGTTCGAAGTAGTAAACCCCCAGAGACGGTGGGAAAAAATGCGCAAACCCCCATGTCCTCCCCAAACCAACGGAGAAGCGGAAAAAAAAAAGTCAGCTCTGTGAGGGGCCCGCGACTTCGCGGGCCAAAAAAACCAACACATGGCATCTCTCCTCTGGCAAGGGGCGCTGGTAGACGTCTGTGTCCCGCAAAAAGAAGGGAATGAAGACTCTCTCCAGGTAGTTCCACCTGGTGCGAGCCAGGTTTGACTATGATTCAAGAGTCGGGTTTTCACCAGGGGCCATGCACGTCCATGGTCGTTGTCAGGCCATCAAGCCTGGCTGCATCGGTGTATTTGCCCCAAGTTCCCCAAGAAGCATGGAGGATTCCATAGAGGAAACATGGCCAAAACCTGCCGTCCGCTTCCCAAACTGTTCAGGTCAAAACAAGCATGAACTGAAAAGAACACAATTCACCTTACCCCCAGTTGGTGAATTTGGTTTGGACGTTAGGGGGTACCTTCGCCATTTGGCTTCGAAAGGAACTAGGGTTCAGAGCCCCAACCACCAACTAGGGGGTACCTGAATATTGTGCTCTTGAGGCTTGACACTTTTCACGACTTGCGTTGAGAAAAAAAAAGCGCGACCAGGCGACATGTCTGCGGTTGGCTCGTCGTCTTCATCCTCAGCATGTGCCATGTTGCTTGTGCATGCAACACTGCATGCGAGGGGAGGGGGGGTTGTCAAAATCAGAGACCCGCTTTGCTCCCTCAAGCTCGACACGAGGGCACCGGGATCCAAGGGGGCGGTATTTTTGGCAACCCCCCAAGGCAGCTTCTGATCACAAGTCCCCTGCCAGCAAAGGATTCAGGGCATTCCGCACTGGAAATTCGGTGATATGCTTCGACGGCACGTCCTGCAGCACACGTGGAAAAACCGCCCACGCGGAAGCCTTGATTGGTCCTCGTGCAGGATGGATGAAAGGGAGTAAAAGGCAAAGAAGGCCAAGGTGATTGGAAGCATGACACCTCAGCGTTCAACTGCACAATGTCAGTCTAGGCTGCTGGGATGCTGGGATGCTGACATCCCCAGAAGCGTCTGTTGGTATCTTCGATAACCTGCACGTATAGATGGGTGTGTTTAAGAAGGAAACCAACATGAAGCAAGCCTTTTGGGGAACCAAATACACCGCACCAATATTCCTACTGAGACTTGAAAGCCAACCATTGGCACCTCCTTCAACGCATGTCTCTCCACGATTCGCGTTGAGTTGGAGATTGCCTTGGTCACACAGGCAAGTCCCGTCTCTCAATGGGCGAGCCTGCAAAATGGGTGGCTTGCCTTGGAATCCCCGTTTAAACAACCCCCCTATATATATATATATATACATACATACATACATACATACATGCATGTGTATGTGTGTGTATACAATATAATATTAGCATCTGATCACGCCAGCAAATGGGCAGTGCGAAATGGCTCTGAGTCGGCGTTCTCTCGACGTAAGCCCAGCACCACGCTCCGTAGGACTTTGTGAGCCCTTTTCACCTGAGAGCTTCACTCATGGCACATGCTCCACGGGGCCAGAAAACTGGTTGCCACAGGCGTCCTTTTGGGGGAAATCGATGGGTTTCCCTGGTAGATGAGAAAAAACCACCAGGTAAACCGGGAATCGAAACCCATCGATTTTTCGACCAAAACTGCCAAAAAGGACACTATGCTTGTTGCCCTCGCCCACCAAAAGCAGCGAACACGCGAGCTGGATCTGAGGTTTTGGACGGGCATGGCGATGTCGCTCATCTCCCCTGCATCCTGCCCGATCCGATTCTATCTGGGTCCCTACCACTTTGAGAAACCCCATGTCAGAATGTCCTTAGATTAGGTCTTCTTGTGGAAGTTCAAAGGAAGCGAGGAAAGCACCGACGGGATCAACGCAGAAGAGCACCCCATTGGAGAATTGGGCAGGTTCGATGGGGAGAAATTGGACGGCTCCCTCCATGTCCCGCCTGCGACATAGCTGAGCCTTGGCGTCAAAAGTAGACTGGCCTGTCAGGGCTATGAGCCTAGTGCCAAAGAGGTGTGTTCAGGTAGGAATACGGGTCCCAAACTGGTGGTATTCTCTTTGAAACCACATCAGAAAGGGTACCCTCTCCCCACTAACATGGCACCTCACAGGGGGTCCCTCCAATAGGAAACTGATCTTCCAGGTACCCTCCCACAGGTGCCATGTTAGTGGGAGGAAGGGTAGATGGCAACAAAAACAAACCCGTTGCCTTGGGATGACACGGCACTCCGGCACGTCTTCCCCCTCGCCAGATCCTCTTGACTCTGAGCCAAACTAGCAGACGTGAATCGACTACATGAAATCGGATTTTCAAATACCTAACAAAGGCAAGATGATTCTCTGTGGAACTTCCTGCTGGCTTAGAAGCATACATGGTTGTGGAAAATGGGTCGAGTAACCAGACTTCTGTGATCCCAAAGAGCGCGTTTTCCATGCCCGAGACTGCCACATCACTTTCAAGGGGATTCACTATCATAGAAAGTGGAAACCTAGAGTCTCAAAGATGTGGCAAGGCCCCCCACCCCTCCAGTTGGTAAGGTGTCCCTGAATTTCATCAAAGACACACAAACCCATTTTGCACAACCACGATGGACAGGTTCGAAGCGATTTTCTGTCCAACAGCTCTGCTACCTGGCTTGGCCAGGAGAAGCCGAAAATGCGCCCGGGAACTGCAACCCGGCCGCGTGTGTACGCTCTCAGTACATCCTGGATGACAAGAGCCTCAGCCACGGGCAGAATTGCGAAGCTTCGCCTAGACAGGGGAGAAATGGGGCTTGCCTTGTGGTTTTGGGGACGAATGTCCCTACAACAATAGGTCAATTTGACTTCAAACCTCAGACTTGGCTGCGGAATACTTGGATACCCCCGAACACAGCCAGAGTGAGCAAAAAAAGGCAACAGCCTCTGCTTTCTCCAGGTCCCCGTCCAAAATCTGGGTCCCCTTCGCGCTAAGCCAAGCCACGTCTGCTTTGGAGCTGGCTTGGGCTTGGGCCCTGCAAAGCGGCCTCGGGCATGGGCGTAGGGAAATTGACGAGCTTCCCTTTCAGTGGGTTGGATTGGTGGAGCTTGGAGCTTGGTAGCTTCCCCTCCCACAAGATCCAGGCAGTTGACCAATTGGGGGGTAACCAGAAATGGGTTCAACACAACGGCATTCCGTTTGGCATCCCTTTTTGAACAGGGTACTCAAAAAACACAAACCCGTGCACCGCACCGCATCACGTCTGAGGCTGCCGGCAGTACTCCGAAGGAACAGAGACATTTGGTAGTAGCACAGATACCAACTCCACTGCAAAGCTTTGGCAGTTGTGGCTCAGCAACTTGTATTCCTGGGCTATGCTGACAGACACCTCCCTCCAAAAACCAGACTCCTCAACTCGGTGCATGCCATGCATGCGGCTCGCTCCTTTCCCGGCCATTTGGGCTTCATCTTTCTGATGACCTTGCAAAGGCAATCCTTCTCGGGGGTCCGTTTTGATCACCCAAGGTAGACTTAAAACTTGGGGTGGTTGATGTCCAAAGGGAATCCCTGGGATTGAATCCTCCTTGTGATCAAAAAATGGAACCCTGATCCTTCTCATCCACCACACAAGCACTGCAATCAGAGGAACATATCAAGTGCCCTCTTTGATTCAAGCGTACTCCTCATGAAGGCCCTCCCCAGTGGCTCAGTACCCCCACCCTTCTGCCGTTGGACTGGCTAACCAAAGGCCCTCCCGTTTACTTTAGAGACAAATCCATGGAAATGTGCGAACATGGGGGGATGCGGCAATATGATTGCTTCTCTCTCGGCTTCCCTTCAAAAGAAAAACCCGCACACCACATGTGAACGGTTGAAGTTAAAAACAAAAAAAGACGACCATCCCTCCGCCTGGTCGACACGGGAACTGCTGAGCTTCGTCTTCCCCAGAGGTACTGCCAGCTTGTGGACGCCTTGGCCGTAGCCTGGCGTGTCACGGCCAGGCATTGAGATGTTTGATCACCATGGTAAAGAATGAAAAGGCGGAATTTTCGCACCCATTTATGGTTTTGGGGGATTCTCCTTAACCTTCATCTTCCCGAATCGTTTTTGGTTTTTCCCTTTTTTTGGTCGACGCGACTTACATGGGAAGCTTCGAGCTCATCCCTTGGCTCTGGAACCCATGGTCCAGCTCCCGATTTCTTGGGGTCATGGTCGTGCTTCCTTGAGAACTAGTTACAAGGGTTGTCTTCAATTGGCCATGCCTACCCAAAAACCCAGTCTTTTCACCATGCGCAAAATTCTGCACAAAACTCCGACGCTGCAGGGACGGTCAATAATGGTCACTGTGCATTCATCCGGAAGACCGTACTAATCAGAGGGTCCCCTTGACTAGTGGGCTCCTGTGGATGATCCGAAGCGAGCATTCATGGTGTCCCCAACTGGTATGGGAGTTTGGTGTTTGTACTCTCCATTGCCGGATGGCAATTTTGTGAGCGCGATGGTTTCCTCCCGTTTAAAGTAGATGACTGGACCGGACCCTTTTCAGTAAGACGCAAAATGAGTGCTCCAAACGGTGGTTCAGAGTGGTTTCCCATCACCCCTGCCCCAAAACAAAAACACAAATTCACTTTGGAGAAACTCCATTTTTGCGAATTGCTAGAGCCACCACCTCCAATTCTGAGAACTCAACATGTTGACTTGAGACCCAGAAATATAAATGACCGGTGCAAAAAAATCCTCGACCGTTGACTCGGCCTTGTGGCCAGCATGTCTCAACGCCCTCCAAGCAGAAGTAGTGCTCCATGCCGTAGACCTCCACGGCAGGCAGCGCCCACTTGAAGGCCAAGGTGGTGAATCCCATGGGTCTAGGGGACACTTCCCCATTCTGTCCAGGGATCCTTCTTTTCAGAAAACCATCAGAACCCAAGGGGAAACAACTGGTTTTGGAAAAGAACGATGGTTGAAAAGAATGGGGAATCAACCCCTAGAATGGGGTTCCATCCATCCTAACCTTGCTGGTGCGAGAGACGCAGGGAATGAGAAGTGGAATGACCCCAAGAGAAAAACCATCCAACTGGTGGTTTCCTTTAAACCCCTGGGTTCATCCCCACAGTCCCTACTTATCGCAGCAAGCAACTGGCGTTTATCCATCCCCTGCAACGATACTTCCACTCGCCAAATCTGCAATCTATAAGCATCTCATTACGAGGCTTTTCTTGAGACAAGCTGGTTTCCTGGTGCACCACACATCTTTCCCGAAAAAAAAACACCCGATTCTTTTCGTGCGGCTTTTTTGCGCCTCTACCCCAGTATGGTAGATGGGCAGGCCCACCACCTTAACCTCGGCTGGCTCCCAAAGCTTCAAATGCCGGTCCGAAAAGCATGGGATTCTTCCAAAATATGCGGGGCATTTGCTGTGGAATACAATGCATTGTAGGCTCAAGGATTGCTAAAAAAAGAGTGCAAGTGGGGGCGCTGCTTGCATTTCTTTCTCACATGCCAGTTGGAGCACGAATGTCCCATGTCTGAACCAATTGTTATAACCCTCACAGCCCTGGTATGGTTGCAAAGAACTTTGTTTTTTTGCAGCCCCCCCACTGAGAATGCACAAAACCAAACAATCAAAAACAAAATGTGAAAAAAAGAAGCTTGCCAACGACAGTGAAGAACCACACCTTTAACTCCCAAAATGTGGCTCCGTGTAACCGTCAAAGCCGTCAAGAATGAAACCTTCAAGCTCCCGGCGGCTTTTGCGAGGTGGTAGACCTGCAGCTTCACCTGAGAGCGCTCACCCCACCCGCCAGCACCCCTTTCCTCAGGTAAACCAAAAAGAAAGAGAAAGTCTTTTTCAGCGACCCTTTTGGGGCCTACCTGTGTTTAATACATATATATATATATATTTGGTTCCCTGAAACGAGTTGGTTTTTTTCTCATTCCCAGCCTCCCCGTCCCACATCTCATCCTCAATGCCATAGAGGACATCGGTGGAGTCTCCGCGCCTCACAGGAAAAACTGCAGAGAGGAAACCATGGGGCAAGTCGCCCCATGTTGGGTAGGTCAGCCATACTTTCTGGGTCTGGAGTTGGTGTTTTTATGGGTCAGCCCAAAATCTCCCAAAGGAAAAACAGGAAAACTCGCCCCCCCCCAAAAAAAATAAAAATAAAATAAAAATAAAATAAAAATAAATAATAAATAAATAAATAAATAAAAATAGCCCTCCATACTTTATGGGTAGGTGGGTCCAGGTAGGGTGGGTGGACGAAATCCATTTCTCACCGCCTAAGAAACCATGGGAAACCATTGTTCGTTGGTATTTACAGGGGAAGCATCACCCCAGAGTTTCTTAGGTGCAGGATTTCGTCCATCCACAGTATTTTATGGGTAGCTGGGTCCAGGTAGGCCATTTGGCCGAAAACAAATGTAGCAAATTTGAGGGTCCAAGAGCTGCAGGCCGGCCTCGGGATGAGTGCATCCGGGAAGATCGCCTTGCGGCAACTCCCCGCGCCAGGGTTCGCTTCATGCGGTTAACCGATGAAAGCAACAACCTGCAGAAATTGAAGCAACGAGCTTCCCAAAGGCTTCCTGGGAAGTGTTGTCGTTTTTGAGGCTACCCATTTGTTGTCTGGTTCTAATGGGAACTCAAAAGGAAGACCACCAATTCGGAGGGTCCCCCCGAACAAATGACACACACAAATGAGTCACAATCAAAACCTGGTACTAAAATGGTCAACCCACAACCATGCCAAGAAATAAAAAGGCGGCTAGCGGCACCCATTTGTGGTTGGGATTGCCCCGAACGTTCATCCACCCGGGGCTTTCAGGACGTGGCTCACATGGAACCCTAAGCGCAACCAAACAAATGCACCAAATTGCGCCTCCCGGGATCGCAAGAGCCGCGCATCGTTCTGGGCAGACCGAAACCGAGATTTCGCTCTGCAATCGGAACGCCAGAAACCCCAGTTTGTGTGTGTGTGTATAGGCGGGCGGGCGGGCGGGCGGGCGGGCGGGCGGGCGGGCGGGCGGGCGGACGGGTGGACGGGTGGGTGGGTGCTTGCTTGCTTGCTTGCTTGCTTGGTTGCTTGCTTGCTTGCTTGCTTGCTTGCTTGCTTGCTTGCTTGCTTGCTTGCTTGCTTGGGTGGGTGGGTGGGCGGGTGGGTGTGTGTGTGTAAAGGCGTGTGTGTGTGTGTGTGTCAAAATAGTGGTTTTCCTTGCGGCTTCCCAAACAAAACAACACACCCCAAAAGGGGACCGGAGCAAAGAAAAGAAGACGCACCCCTTGCAGTAAAAACCAAAACCTCAAGGTGCCCTCAATTCCCCATGTTTGAAGGAGACCAAACTTTTTCGGGGCTGCCAAGCTGCCAAACGTATGTGGAGTAACTTGCCAAATGATAGGGGTGTCAACCATGTTTTGGGGTAGGTTGCTCGGGTCTGGAGAATTACCAGCTTCGTTTCTTTGGTGTGGGGAGGGCGGGGTCTCAGAGTTTTGTCCATCCACTGTATATTTTGGTGACAAACACTCAGTCATGAACCAGATCATAGCATGTCCACAAGTCTGCGGCATCGTAGCCATTGCATCGTTTCCGCAGGCCCTTACTCAAAGTGGCTCCGTAGCCTGTTCAAGTTGGTGTGAAGGGAAGCCAAATTGTGTACACCGCCATTTTTGGGTGGTCCAAATCCCGACTTTGACATGGGTATGACTCCTAGCCCTTTCTTTGCTGTTTTGGTGGGGGGTTCATGTCCACCATTGTCCACCGACCACCTTTCAGGTGATTCCAACTCTAAAAAGTCGGAGCCAAAACATGGATGTGGTGTTTTTTCAAGGGCCACCTGTCAAAAATTCGAATTCGACGGCCCACGCCTGCGATCCCAGCCGAGCCGCTGCCGTTGGGATGGCATCTCCAAGCAATCGATGCGGCGGACGGAATCGGACCCTCAAGATGGGTGGTGTTCCGTTTGAAGTTTCCCAAAACCCTCCCCGAAAACAACGGTACCCGCAAAAACTGACACGTCCAAACGACCCCGAAAGCCTTTAACTCGCACTTTGCCCTTTTGAAGACAGACTCGATTCCTTGTGTCAACCTCAAGGGCAATAGCGGGATGTGCAACATGGAGGATCCAAGTCCGTAATCTGCACGGACACTGCTACAAGGGAGTCGGACGGCATATAAAGGATTGACAAAACACACAGGAAATGGCGTGTTTGAACGACAAACCTAGAAGTTCCCCTCAACCCAAGAAGGGTCATTGCAACCTCAGGGGTCCTTCGGGATCTAGAAACTTTGGGTGAGTCTAAAAATAAGGGAACCCGCGAAACGATTGGCTTCTCTCTGATTTCCCTTGAAACCAAGCCCGAAAAGGTACCCCAAACCAAAAAAAAGGCACGCCCATTCTGCTGCGTGCCATGGGACCAAGGCAGCTCCAAAATCCGATGTTTCTTGACGCCCGCCTGGCCGCATGGAGGGAACAGCGACCATTGCCTGCATGGTTCGGTTGGGCGAAGCGCGGAAAGGTTGCAGCACAAGACCCTGCATCAAACAATCAGGGAAGCTGACGATCGGAAGGTGGCAGGCTGCCTTCGTTTGGGGAACCTTCCTGTCTTCCATTGAGAGGGTACGCTCAGCTTAATTCACTTCCAGGAATCCGCTTCCCCTGAAACAATTGCGCCGGTTTGTTCAACCAATGTTGCAAGGCTTCCAGGTACCTGGACCCCGTGCCTCCTCTTTGCGCGAGGCTTTGGGCTTTGCTTTGCCTGCCGCTTCAGCTTGCCAGTGTTAAGACGCCTGGCTAAAAGGGAACCAAACCTTTTAGAAGTAACATCACTTCTTCTTCTTCTTCTTCTTCTTCTTCTTCTTCTTCTTCCTCTTCTTCTTCTTCTTCTTCTTCTTCTTCTTTCTTGGCGGGGCCTCAGTTTGACATGTCTTAAGTCCTAAGATTCACATTTGGGCTTGTCTCAGAATCGCAGGCTGGGTTCCTTTCGCCTGCCTTGTAAAACACACCCAAACAAGGGGGACCCTCAAAAAAAATAATCCTCTGGGTGTGTCTCTTCTTTTTTGCCAGGTACCTCCTTTTTGCTGGGCTTCAAAGGAAAACCCAACAGGAAAACCGAGGCACCTCCGTTTTGCTAGGCTTCAGAGACAAAAAGCCAAAAGGAAAACCGATGGGGTGCAACCTGAAAAAAGGACACCGCCCCACACGTCGCAGGTCACAGCCTTTCGCTTTGGCTCTGACCGACTTTGCTTTGGCCTTGCCCGCTCCTACGCGGAGGGCTCGCTGACTCACAGGTGATGTCTAGGCATCGGGAACCTTCTTGGACCCTCAAATGGCCCATTTTGTGGAAGAAAACACCCAAGTTGGATCAAGCATCAAGTCAGTCCTCGTTCTTTGCAAGGGGCGGGAAGAGGGCCAGGAGTCGAGCCTATCACTGCGACATCAGAAAAAAAAAATAGAAAATGAGCCCCACCCTGCCTTCGTTGCAAAGGGGTGCATCTTCGTTTTGTACGGACTCACTCTCATCCTTGGCCGCCTGCCAGTGATGATCTTGAGCTCAGCTCGAAAGGGTCTCGCAGCCGCTCAGCGCTTGTTTTGTCCGCAGGCCTGTGACTCAATCGCAGGGACCTGCGGATGGGCTATGGCGATGATTGGGCATGTGCTTCTTTTGAGGCTCGGTACCCGTTCCAAAAGAAACCTGGATGGGGTCACCCGATGTTTACTTAAAAAAACGGGACCCTATCAAGCTGGCGGCTTCCCTTTGGTTATCCATTTTGGCCCAAGAAGGGTGCCCTCCCTCCAACAATCACGGAAGCTGAGAGGGTTCTGGAAGACTACTCTCCTGTTGGGGGCACTACTCGGAACCCTGGATTCATAAGCCTTTGGTTGAAACAAATAGGGGGGGAAAAGGTCCCCTCTTGGTGCGCGATTCATAGGCACTTTCGGAGGGAAGACCCGACTCATAGGATGGGTCAACATGATCCAGGTCCATTACCGTTCAAGGGAGCTCCCCTCGAAAGGAACCACCTGGATCGCCGGCTGCGATCGCTTCTTTCCATCCACTTTACCCCCAACAGCCAGGGACAGTGACTGACAAAAGCCGCAGCTTGGCGAACAAAGGCACACCCCACTTCCCCAAGAGTCCGCTGGGCCTCGGAGTCGTCTTCGCACAGCAGCAGCTCTTCCTTGGAGTTCGGCGCGACAAGTCACTTCCAAACGGGAGATGGCTGTGGTTGTCAAAACCGTTTTGGGATCCCATTTTGGTTGGTAGGTGAATTCACCACCCATTTTTAGAACCTATTTCAGTGGGGATTGGGATGTTCACTGGGGGCTAACCGATTTGGATTTTGACCCATGGCCATATGGATATGGCTCACATTGGGAGACCCCCAAAATGGCTTCGGGCGTCCTTTGGTTCTCCCTTACCAGGCACCAAGCCTCAACAAAAACACAAACACATATTGGGGCCGGGGGTGACAAAGCTCAGGTCGCCTTTAATCAAAGGTTTCGCGCTTCAAGAAAGCTACAAGGTCGTATCCATGGCAAACGCATCAAATGGTTTCATTTGACAAACAACTCCAAGAAGCAGCGTGTCCTGATTGGCGTTTTCGATTGATGGTTTGAAGGTTTTGGGGCAGTTTCCCACGCACCCTCTGCAAGAGGTTCAAATCCCCAAACCAATCCAAACCACCAGATGAGAATTGCTTGAAAAAGGGTACAACCAAGGGGAAACCTCTGTCTTCTCCCTCGAAGGGTTTAGGGTTTAGGTTTAGGGTTTAGGGGCCATTTCGATTGAGGAGTGCAGTTTTTGTTTGGTAAGCGACACCAAGGGGACGACCCCGGAGTCCAACAGTCGTGGCAGGCCCACCCCCGAAGCTTCGCCGAGGCACGGTCGGCTCGGGAGCCAATGCGGCAAGCTCCCATGGCCGTCTGGCGGCAGGCGGCTGCACCAAGCCTGCGGCCTGAAAATCGGGGTGCGGGGGGGTCTTGCTTTCTTGCGACCCTTCTTTTTGGAGAGTTAAGGGGAATCCAGAATCCACCCCCCACCCCCCCCCACCCCCGCCACCCGCCACCTTTTCTGGGGACCCTAGTTTGAGACACGCCTAAGGAGACTAACCCCGCTAGAAAGGGACACCAAAAAGAAAACGGAAGCCGATTTGGGCCCAAAAAACACAACACATACACACCCTCTTTGACAATCCAAACACAAGCATGGGTCAGCTTTCACCAGCAGGACATGCACGTCCCATGTTTTGCGTCCTTTCAAATGAAACCATAGACTACTGGAAACGTTGACCGAACCTCATGTAGCAACATTCTGAGCTTTAAGGGCACAAACACCATGTTTAACAAGTGTTCTAGCCTCATATGTTCGCACCTACTTGTGTACCATGCAGTCATATTACACTGTACACCATGCTAAGTTGGAAGGACGAATGAAAGCTGCCATGGAGTACCACTAGCATTCACCGGCAATGAACTATTAGTTGTCGAAGGTGTGGCCCTTTCTCGCCCCTAGTGCCGCCTTACGCCGGCCTTTAAACTAAATACCACTAAGGCCCTAATCTTCACAACCTTAGTACCTAAATAGCGGGTAAACCCACATGTTTCCTCTTGAACAAAAAAAAAGCTGATGGTTCCCTTTTGCGGATTTCACCTGTTCTTGCCCCTGGAGGTCTTGGTGCTGTTTTGGTATTAATATCCTGCGAGGGTGGATCCACAAAGTTCGCCTCCAAGCCGTTTCCAAGACGTGGATTTTGGCCACGCCTCAGCCGGCAGGCTCAAGTCGAGCTCCGTCAGCGCTACAGCCTCGGATCGAAAGTCATGTGAGCACGCGCATGGCGGCCCAAAAATCGTGGGGTGAGGTGTCTTCTTTTTTATCCAACAAAAAATAGCCCCGGCGTTTTATTCGCCCCAAATCGTTGGTAACCCAAAAAAGGGTTGCCCTGGTAAAATTGGAAAGGACGAGAAAGCCTGCGGTCCATAGCCCTGGTTTAACTTTCACCCACGAATCATCAAATCAGGTCTTGCCCACCTTGCGGGCGAAAAAACCAGCGGTTGATTTCCCCAGGGCGAGCAATTCTTTCTTGGAGGATACCCCTTCTCTTTTGTGGTTTTGAAGCATAACCAAACGTGGAACGCCCGCTTTTCGCGTGGAAAGGCCCTAAAAAACAAACATGACCCGCCACCAAAAAAGTCTGCCTTGAGGTCTCACCAAAAAAAAAAGAAGGGGCGCCCCCCGACGAGCGAAGCCCTGACCGCTTTTCGCCAAGCGTCTGGCTCCGTGGCCCCGGATGGGCGGCAACCATGTGGCTGCCCAACGACCGGACGAGTTTTAGGGGATCCCCAAAATGGCTCAAACGCTGTTGGTGTCCCTCTGAAACCACACCAAAAAACAGCTTGGTCGTGCAGGCTTTTTGAGTGCAATTGCTGCAAGCTAACCTTGACAAATATCGGAGTTACCACCACAATGCCATATTATGTTCGAGTTGTCTGCATCGCATGTCGCCCTCCGAGTGCCTTGTGCCAAGCAATTATGCACACGGTTCAACCATCAAACCAAGCATCAATGCAAATGAGTCCGTCTTTTTTCGAGCACCTCCCAAAATGGCGGTGTTCCTTTTGGTTTCCATCATACAAGAAAAAAGACTCAAAAATGGGTTCCAACCAAAAAAGACAGGCCCAACATGGCTGCGCTGCTAGTGCCTTTTCCCCTCAAAGGAGACGTCATCGCGCTTCGTCTCTGGGAGACAACAGCTCACCCGTGAGGGTCTCGCTCGCTCTCTCAGAGTGCAAGGGGAACACCGGATTAAGCAGAACCCCTGGTGGATTCCCTGGTGGATTTTGTTTTATGGCGTCCCCTTTTTCATGGTGATGCATCACTTGAGAGGAACACTTTCTTAAGCCGGGGTCATTCAATGTTCGAGGGGCCAAATCCACTTCTTTGAGCAGAGAGAGACAGAGAGAGAGAGAGAGATTCGCTATGGGAAGCGCGTATGTACATTGTCCTCACGCGGTGCGCTGCAACAAATGAACCCCCACATCGGTGGTCACTAAGTCGTGAACCTGCGAAAAGCGATCAGACAGCAACGAGACACTCAGGACATACTGCACGCCGCGGGCTGGCAATGAGGCCCTCTTATGCCTTTGGGCATTTAAAACATGTCCGCCAATTTAAATGTGCATACTGGTGTGTGTGTGTGTATGTATAGTATTATAATCAACACAATCATAATAAATTATAATACTCATAATAATAATCATACTAATCATCATAATACTAGAACAACAATGATGATGTACACAATGACATTCGCATGTTGCTTTGTCGCAATGGCTGGCAGCAGCGTGGGATTGACCTAGGAAAACCCCCCACGTGTTTGGTCTACCCCAGCGTGAAACCCGACACCCCAGCACCTGCCTCGCCCACTGCAAGCTGGAATGCCGCTTTCTGCACAGCTGCAGGAACCTGAGGTCGCACGCCTGGCAGGTCGTGAGGAAGCCATGGGAGGGAGGGGTCTGGTTTCCGGCCCCCTAAAAGGTCACTAGGCACAAGGTTGCAATGCCCCCTCTGACTCTGAATCAGATGAACCAAAGGATGTCACGAATCCATCCTGGTAGTTTGCATCTTGGACTTTCGACCATTGAGCTGGCGAGTGGCATTGCAACATGGCAGACAGGCACTGCGTTGTACTGTCGAAGAGTGTTCAAGTCGAACATGCACTTGGCTCCAAAAAAGGGGAGGCCAAAACCTCAAAACCAAAACAATAGGGTGGCTTCAATAACGACATACCCAAAGTTGCGTATGTGTCAAAGGGTGCTTGGACCCAACAGGCTGGTTTTCCTTCTGGCTTCCCTTCAAACCCCACACGGCCGCACCCGCCTTGCTTGGCTTTGTCCTGCTGGATGCCCACTCCCTTCACACGATCCAGCCAGCCCATATCACCCACCAGGTCGCCTCCCTTCAATGCCGATGGGCATTCGGACACGTTCCGGCACACCTTCCTGAGACGAGAAAATCATCAGGTTGCCCCGTTCATTGGCGGTTTGCACTGGTGTTTTGCAATGTCCAAAGGGGGGAAGCGGGAGAGGGAGGCAGAGTGAGGGAGGGAGAGAGAGAGATTGGGTGACCCGAAATCGCAAGCTACACACATGCTTGCCTTTGGTTCAAGCTGGAATCCTTTGCGATCCCCGGAAGAGATGGAAAGAGAGCGAGCGAGAGAGAGAGATTGGAAGCAAACAAACAGCTAGATCCTGGCACCACATCCGCCAGATGGTGCGTGCTTCGCGTATTCCTTTGTGAGGCCAGAGTGGCTGAAAGTTCTTGAAGCCATCTGCTTCCAGGCTTTGAAGAATGTCGAACATCTCCGACTCAGCCTCCTCCTGAGTTCGCTTCACCTCAGGAGTGCGAAGCCTATGAATTCTATGCTCGCCTTTAAGCCACCTATTCATTGGCCCAACAACCTCCCTTTTGGTCTCTCTTCAAACGCGACCGAAATGGGCAACTGGTTGTCCCACTTGCCCAGTGACCCTGCTGGAAAAAGGGAACTCTTTAGGGGTTAGCCTCTTGAGTGGGCCCCGAGCCGACCCAACAAATTCGGGAACCAACCTGTCTCTGCCTGAGCAACTAACCAACGATGCTGGGGGTTAACTGGGCTTAGCATGTAATGAGGATTCCAAGTATTGGCTTCATCAATATCCATGGAGCCAACCAAGGCAACTGGCAACTTTTTGGAGGGAAAAGCTTCAGGAAACCCACTCCCAAAAAGTGGGTGTATTCTATTCTTACTCCCTTATACTGACCTCAAGGTGGGTTAGCTTCAGTGTCCTACCCTTTTTCTGGAGTTGGTACCCTTTTTGTTGGTGGTTAAAGGGAGAAGCCAACTGGAAAACCACCCGAAAGCCCCGCAAAAACACACACCCCACCCGGTGAATGAAGGGGTCGCCCCCAGCTGGTGACCCATCCCACCTGTCGACGGCGGATGGGATCCATCACTGGTGGGCCAGTTCCAGCAGTCCGCAGCAAGATCTGCCGCAGCCGAACCTACCGATAAAAATCCCCTCGTGACCATTGGGTGTGGGTCAAAATGACACCACCAGGAATCGGACCGCAGGTGTTAGTCCATGTTTCCATTTACAGGGTTCCAGTTAGGGTACCTATTTTTGACCCACAGCCAATTGCTTTTTGATTGGGCCAGGAAAAAATGGCGTCAGTGTTCTTGTTGGCTTCTCTTTAACTGGGATAAAAGGGCACCGTGAAAAGCAGTGGCGCCTGTTTTCAGGTTGGTTTCAAGGGAAGGAACTCTTCTTCAACCCAATCTCCGCGAGTGTCTCAAACTTGGAGTCGCATCCCCCAAAAATGGGTAGCTGTTTTTTGGTTTCCCAATGCCCCTGCGCCTGGTCAGCTTTGCCACCACCACCAGAAGTGCCAGAAGTGCCGACGGTGAAGATGGGACTCGTCAAGTCCACCTGTGCTTCTACTTGGATGATCAAACTACCGGGATACACATAGCAAGTAGCTTACAAAGTATGATAAGAAGCCAAACCAGGTAACCATGGTTACAACCGTACTAACTCAGCAAAGGCTTCATGCGGGCTTCTGAGAGTTCACATTACAATTGACCCACACGAGAGTGTGTTTTGGGTCTCGGTACCACATCTCGGGTTGGTCTGAAGGTAAACCAAAAGTAAAACCGCCATTCTGGGGTCCTAGATCCCCCTACTTTCCCTCACACCCACATGGGCAACGCCACACCGATTGACGTTTGGTTCTGCCAACATGTTTATACAGGTGTTTCTGGGTTTGTACTTGGTTGATGGTACCCGTTTTGGGGTGGTGTCAAGGGGGAGCCAAACGGAAAACTCGTGGTGGTTGAAAAGGGGTCCTCGCCACACAAGACAACCCCAATCATTGGGGGGCCTTCTGGATATCATGTAGCTGGGGATGTGTGTCCACCAACCATTTGGGTATGAATATAGCACCCCCAAAACTGGAGGGCTTCCTTGTGTTGGGAAACGGGAAGCTTCGGGCCTTGGCTGAACCCCCAAAGCCATCCCAAAAAGGTACTGCCTCAAACAGGGGGACCCCCCAAAATGGGCGGCCTCAACCCGCAAAGGGTACCCTAAAGACACACCCCTCGCACGCGCCATATGGGTGTGAGCCAAAATTAAACCACCAGGAATCGGACCGTGGATTCTTGTCCATGTTTCCTCTTACCAGGGCTCCATTTTGGGTACCCATTTCTGACCCACAGCCATATCTTTCTTGCAGCGCTTCGAAACGATTGGAACTCGAAGCGAAACATCGTAACTTCGCGCCTTCGGGCGCTTCGCCGGGGGCAGGTCGAGGGCATCACTCCTACAGTTGGGGGGGGTCGGTTTGTTTGTTGGTTTCCCGAAACAATTCTGAAAGAACATGTAGGGGTGTGTCTCCTTCAGGACACCCCCCAAAATGGTTTTCCTTGTGCTTTCCCTTTAAAAAACCACCAGAAAGTGGTATCCCACAGACCGATATCCCAAAGGGGGGGACCGATCCTAAACATGGGCCTTTTGGTGTCCTTTTGGTGTCCTTTTTGGTGTCCCAAAGGAGGGCTTCTCCAAATCCTTTTCAGAAACCATTGGCACTCCTGGGACCCTTCAGATTGGGGGACTCGTTGCGAGGTGGAACCACCTATTGAAATTCTGGGAAGGTGTGGAGACTATCTAGCTTCCCAATTTGTGGTTTGGAGCCCGGTGGTTTGGTGGCTTGGATTGGCGGGGAAATCCCATGTAACCCCTACAAGACCCAGGGGGTTCGAATCCCCACACCACCAGAACCACCAAACTAAGGGTTCCCTGAGTACCCGGATTCTGAAAATGCCCTCTCAGCGCCACGCAAATCCGGCAGCAGGCGAGCACATGCCACGGCCAAGGGCTCAGCTGCGCTGCGCTTTCTGGCAGACTTGAGAAGGGCAATGGCACCTGCGACTCCCCGGGGTCCCCACGTGCCAACAGCCCCGGCAAAAGGGCTCGTGTCCAAATAAGGCGGACCCCTAATTAGGGTCTTCCTTTTGGTTTCCTTGTCACCAAATAATAAACCCATCAATAATATTATTATTTTCACCAACCTGAGCCTCAAACAAACACAACACCCCTAAACAAAACACTCGCAGCTACAGGCCTGCGCGTGCCCAGCCCTTCATCAATTGCGGGGCCAGGACTTTCTCAAAGTCTTCTTCCAGGTTCTGTCTTGCCCTGGACAGGTCAAGACAAGTCTGCAACGACGTGGTAAGTCATCTCTGTCAGAAAAACACCGAGAGCCATGCGAACCCCCTACGGTGGCAGCAGCAAACAGCTCATCACCAGCTTTCCTGAAGTCGAGCAGATTGACACATCTGCCGCGGGGCTGCTTCAAGCTTCGAGAAAGCTGCCCAAGGCTCAAAACCAGACATCTGGAGCGAGATGAAGCAGTCGGTACAGCAGTTGCAGTCGGCTTCAGCAATCCACCGGCCTCAACTTCAAAAATATTACCTCCTTAAACTCACTGAAAATGGCTTGTCCCAAAGCGTGATGCTTAAAACCTCCAAAAAGCGAAAACACAAACAAAAAACGGCGTGAGCATGCTGTTCCAAGTAAATGGGGGTTGATCGATATTCCTGGCCCCCAAAGCACCATGGGTGCTTTTCCCATTTTGTCGGAACTATCACCTTTTTGGTGGTTCTCCAACCAATACTCATCCCAGTTTGGACATTTTGATGCACTGAGCGCCTGTGTGGGTCGCAGCGACAGCCGAAAGGCTGCTTCTGGCGTGGCAACCCCGCAGGCCCTGCCGCCAAAGGTCGCGATGACAGACCTCATGTGGATGGTTACGAAATCCATTTCGAACCACCTAAGAATCTATGGTTGAAACCATTGTTTGTTGGTATTTACATTGGAATCATCATTCCAGGCTTTCTTAGCTGGTGCGAAATGGATGTCGTCACGTCCATCCACAGTACGCGAAATCCATCCAACTCTTTTGGGGGCGGAGTGGGGGCGGGAGGGGGGCAACACCTAAGACTCCATTTCGCATTCAAAAACCCAACGGAATGATTGGATGCCAACGATAACCAAGAAAGGGCGTCAACCAGGGCTGCAAAGTGGAGATGGAGTTGCTCCTTCAATGGCCAGGTCAGAACATATGGGCCTCTGTTTGGACCCTGGTACCGGCTGCCAACAAGACCAAACAGGGCCCCTAATTTTGACAACCTTTCATAGGCACTAGTTGCAATGTCCAAGGCACAAAACTACCCCCCTGCTGATTCGCGTGGAGCCCAACACATTCGCAAAGGAATTTCCTTGTGGATCTGTCAATCTGCAGGCAAGCCCAAAAAAGGATCGCCCAAAACGGATCTTCTCAAAATTTGACCATGCGTGAAAGGTGTACTACAGTTTGCCCCTTAAAAGGGCATGTCGCCACCCTTTTTAGGGCGTTCATTCTGTCCCCCTAAAACCGCCTGAGAAGGGTGCCCTTCGCCTCAAACAGAAAAAACAACATTGCAATGAAGACACAAAAACTGCTCTGCAGATTGGCGTGGCGCCCAAATCTCTGGTGTTACGACTCCCAAAACCACCCAGAAAGAAGGGACATCATACCATAACTTTGGGGCAATACCCTCAGCTTGTATGCGTAGTTTGAGGGTCCAGGTTGTCCCTTTCCCTTTAGAACCAACACTATACAGAGTACGGGTCCTTCGCCTCAAAAATCGAAACACACCCATAGAGGAATCTTGTTCGTGGCCCCTTTGAGGGTTCCTTCCATATTGTTGGTCTGTCTTTTTTGGAGGATCTCCCCAACATGGTTGTTCTCCTTTTGGTTTCCCCAAAAAAACACAAAACAAGGGGGTACCCCCCCAAAAAAAAAAACACAAAGGACCCGGAGTTGCCAAAAACTGCTTGAAAGTCGATTCTTTGGAATCGATTTAGGGCTTGGAGCGTCAATCCGGCTTCGCCTTTTTGGGGCGAGCGGCACTTGAATGGACTCCGATGACACCTCCTGCAGGACCTTCTCCATCGCCGAGGCCAATTGATGATCCAGCCACCGGCTCCGGTTCAGTCCCAAGCGCTTCACCTGAATGGTCAAAATGGCTGTGAAACTGGAGGCTAGGCGGTTTAAAGCGGAGCCAACAGGAAACCCTCTTTTTTTGGCGGTTGTGTTTTTTGGGCGGGGGGTTCCCTTATGTTGACTAGTGTGTCAAAATGAGGCTTTGGAGCCCCAAAAATGGGTCGCTGTCCTTTTGGTGTCCGGTCAGGTCAAGCCAACCTGAAACAGTCTCAAAAAATAACATCAGCTGGAAAAGAACATCATGAACATTTAACTTGGCAAAGTTGGGGGAAAAAAAGAAAAAGAAGTGGAGGAGCGTCCGGAACCAGCCGGGCACCACTTCCGCAAAGAGAACGAGTCATGGTCATACTCTGGATGGACAAACTCCACCAGTTGGATTTCGGTGGTTTAGCCTGATATTTGTAGGGAACATCCGTACCAACTGCCAAAATGGATTTCGTCCATCCACAGTAAGGCACCTGGTAAGGCACCCAGAGGGGTGCGTCCTTTTTGAGGCGGGGTACCCCTTTTTCAGACAGTTTTTTTTCAGGCGAACCAAAAGGAAAACCGGTATTTATTTTTTGGTTTTGGGGGGTTTGTTTGATCTATCTATTTAGTGTGTTGGTTCTTTTTCTTTTTTGAGGGGGGTTGGTCCGATTCCTAAAAAGCTTATACTCAATTATTTGTTCTCCAGTCTGGTGGCTTCCAGTCGTTTCAGCCATCAAAACCCGGGTAGCTGCTGGTTCTGGGATCTAAGGCCGGCGCCAGCTTCTCATGAAAGCTCCGCGCGGCCATCTCCCCGGTGAAAACGCCCAGCATGGCCGCGGGCTTGTCAACGTGTGAAAGGTCCACTTTCCTCGGGCACCGGGCACCGACAGACGGGCTTTATGCGCGCCTCGTTGTTTTTCGTTTATTGTTTGGGGGGGGGGGGGGGGTGAGGTGGGAGAATTGGAAAAGGGAAACCAAGTGGAAACTGAAACGAAGTGGAGACTGGCCACATATGTTGGTGTGTGTGTGTGTGTTTTCTGTGTTGTTTTTTGGCTTAATATATATATAATGATTTATTGTTTTTTTTCTGAGGGGGGTCCCGTATGTGTTTTTCTCCTTTGGACCCGGAAATAGAAAGGTGATCACCTTCTTGGGACAACAACGGTTGCCAAGGGAAAACGAAAGGTCAAAAGGTCGTTTCGCTTTGGGCAAGCGAGTCTTAAGGGGAATCCCTTCAAGGTTTTAGAGGGAAACCAAAAGGAAACCAAACCATTTGTGGGGGGTGCCATATGTTGAGACACACCCATTTGCAGATCAGTCATCTGATTCACAGCCTTTTTCCCAAAGGCAAGGCTTCTGCGACGTGCTCGAGTGAAAGATAACCCTTGTGAAACCAAACATCTACCCGGTTTTCCACAATGTGAGGGGTTGCTTTAAAGGGAAACCAAGGAGAAAGCCGAAGCAATTTTGGGACCCCCTAAATTTTTATTCAGGCGCGCGGCCGGCCATGCGTCTGAACTGAGCGCCGAGAGGCAAGGCCGAAGCCACCCGATGCAAGTCCGGAATCACCACGGTCTTGGGGCCCGCTTTGGCTCCGTTCGCCTGAGGGTCGAGCTGCAAGTCGCTTCCATGCTCCATGTGCCGATCAAAGCCACCCATTTCGACCCCCAAAACGGGGCTCCTGATTCTCCAAAAGCTTGTCAAGCCTCACCCAAATCCTGGGCAAACGGACCGAGAATCCCAGGAATCCGGGCAAAATCTTATTCCAAAACCAGCAAAATGCACCAACCCCAGATCCATACCTCACCGCCCCGCCTCAGCCAGCGAGGCCGCACCACCGCCGAAGGTCAAAGGCAGAGCTTCACCTTCGTAGAGCTCCTGGCGCGCCCAGCGCCAAAAAGGAAAATAAATGTCGCCGCAACAAGAAAAACACATAGGTGGGTGTGTTTTTTTGTTTCGGGTCTGCCAAGAATGGCGCAACCGTTTTCCAGTTGGTTTCTCTTAGCCACAAAAAAGGTGCCCTCAACAAAGACACAGTCCTGTTTTTTGGAGGTGCACACACACACACAATTCTAAGCCACAACTGCTCGAGCTCCAGAGCCATACCGCCCATAGAAGCTCTCGCTCGCTCCTTGTGCTCTCCACTCTCCTCGTCAAACCACAAGAACTTCTTTGTCAAAGTGACGAAGAAAATCTTGTCCTCAGCTTACGCAAGCTCAAGGGGGTAAGTTGCGTGCAACTCCACTTGACATCGTGCTCCGCGAGCTTGAAGCTCGAAGCTGAAATGCATATCATGGATATTATGCACACGCGCGCACACATGTCAGTGCGTGTGCACGTCGGGACAGGGGAACCAAACTGGACTCCTTTTGAAATGAGACCAAAAGGGAACTTTAAATTTACATTTTTGCAAGTTGCGAGGGTGACGTTGATGGGTTTTTATAATATGGGTGGATGTTTTAAAACGGGGGAGTCTTTATTTGTGTATGTGATATGTGCTGTAAAACGGGGACCCCATGGACCCCCCGCAATGGTTGGTGTCTTTTTGGTGTCTGTCCAAACTCGAGGCCGAGCGGCAGCTCGGTTATAGTACCACCCAGCCTTCTCCGTCTCCTCAAACCCAGGTGGAACGATGTCCGGATCTAGTCCAGCCTCGCACAAACAAACAAAAAAAACGGGGGGAACGCCCTCGGACGCTTTTTTGTTCCTGCTGCGCCAAAGGCCTGCTTGGCCTTCTTGGCAAAAAGCTCGGGGTTGTTGGCCTGCAAAGTGGGGCCATCTTAGTCAATCCTCAAACAATCACCTACAATTAGTTACCCTCCAAGCGACTTGAAGGGGAACCGAGACCCAGAAGCAATTTGGAGCCCCCATCACTTTGAGACGTTGCGGGTGTGGAACTAGGGGTGTTGGTTCACTAAGAAATGGGAACGCTTCCAAATCCCCCTTGCGGGAATCCGCTCAAGCTGGTAAAGGTGATGTAGTCCAATTTCACCGACTTCACCAGTTCACGCCTTGAGCTTCCAGAGATCTTTACCACCTCGTGTCTCGAAAACAAAAACGCGAGGACATCGAATGGATGGCACAACTTGTCTGATCCAGAGCCATAGCATGCTCCTTCCGTACTGGCCCCTAGGCTGCTATGGCTCCCCTATGGCTCCAAATGCCTGTGTCTGTGTCTTTTAAAGGCAGCTCTTTCGGGCAAAACGGGAAAACTCAACAACACACACCCAAATCAGAATAAGACTCTGAGTTGCATTCATGCATGCCACTAAGCCCGACGCTATTCCCGCTGGTATACCAGATGCTTGCATTGCTGACGCCTGCTTGCCGCTCCTGCTTCGCGGTCAGAACGGCCCCAAACCTACAGCTGTGGCTGCTGATTGCCGATGGTGGATGCTACAAGAGAATGTGGGAGAACTCAGTGGTGGACATGAGTATGGCTCAAAATCAAACCACCTGTGGACCGCAGATTTTAGTCCATTTACCAAGGTTCCATTTGAGGTACCTATTGATTACCCATGTCCAAATTCTCAAGGCGCATGACATGACCCCGTTCCCCACGAAGCATCAGTCAGTTCACAGCCAAAGCTTCCCAGCTTGTCAAGTAAGGCTCGAACTTGTTTGCCATGGGTCAAGCGTCAAGGAACTATTCCATGGACATGTAGATGTGCTGACATGCGGATTGCATTCCGCATTGCTGTTTCGCGCAATGTGCTGCGTGGTCTAGGTGCAAAGATGCGGACATGTCATGCGATGGCAGGCTATGACGCTTGGTCCAATCTGCAGATCCATATCTTTCTTGCCATGAGCCAATCTCAGACCGGCGCGCTCGAAAACCTGAGTGCCAAGATTCCAAGTCGTCTTCCCCAAACAAAGCGGCAGAACCAATCAGCCACTTGACGACGCACTACATGGACACGAACATCTGCAAACCACGGTCCGCACTGGCCGTATCTGAACGAGATTCATTAGGGCCCCCCTACTCTCAGAAAGGCATTCACATCCCGAATCTAAGACTCGAAGAACCTTTCCGGAAGGAGGGAGGGGGTGGGGCCCTAGGTCGTTCCCATCAACTGGGGTCATTATTTTGATGGTTTCTGGTGGTCATCAAAGTCACAACATGGGGGTATTTCCCTTTAACCCACCACTTGCGGGGTGACTTTGATCATGGTAAAGCAATGAGGCCAGATCAAGCCTTCGCTTCCGCTTTCTCGTCGCTTTCGACACTCCGCCTGCTGCGTGCTTTGGGCCGGGGCAGGTCCCCGACCGCCAGCTCGACGGGCGCCTCGAAGCCGTCACACCACTTGTGCCGCAAGACCTGCTGCAGCGGCATCCTGGCAACCGGCTGAAACACATGGCCCATGCCAAACGGTTTAACCCAGCTTCGGACCGAAAACTCGGGTACCAAAACTATAGATCTGCTTCAAGCTTGACTTGTGGGTTCAATGGAAACCCAACGCAACAAACCAACGAGAGAAAAGAGAAGGAAAAAAGGAAGAAACAAAATAGGTAGAATAAGAAAGAAAAAAACAACGAAAAAAACCTCAGCAGCACAGGAATGGACTTCCGACGCTCCTCCGAGAGCTCTCCCTGAGCAGCAGCCCGCGGATCAGCTCCTCGGCGCCCGGCGAGATGCGGACGTCGAAGGTGAAGTCCACCGCGCAGATCTTGTCCATGGTCTCCTGGAGGGGTCGACCACTCGACTCGACCGCATGGGCCATGGACTGGATGGGTCGATTGGATGGGATGGTCGACAGAATGGGTCATGGACTGGATCGCTTGGATGGGGCATGGGTTTGGGTCATGGACCACTGGATGTTTCTTTGTGGAGGGGTCGACTGAATTTTGTCACGGACCACGGGATGGGTCGACTGGATGGGTTGACTGAATTTTGTCACGGACCACTGGATGGGTCGATTGGGGGGTCTTTTTGCCACTTGTGGCAAATTGTTGGACCCCTGGGGTCCACCACTGAATGGGTCATGGACTGGATGGGTCGATTGGATGGAGCATGGGGCCCCAACCTGGGCCTTTTTATCGCAAGAAGCCAGAAAACCGAGGGACAAAAATGACCCCAACATGGGTTGTCCCTTCGGTTTTACCGTAAAACCAAAGGAAAAGGGGTCAGTACCTTCAAGCAAAGATATGCCCAAATGGTTGGGCCCTTTTTTGAGACTACCCTGTTTTGGTTTGTTTTGAAGGGAACCAAAGGAACACCAAAGCCATTTTGTGGGCCTCCAGGAGTTGCTGGAAAGGGAAGCTCCATTTCGCGGTGATCGTTTGCCTGGAAGGCGTTTTATTGATCAACCTTGGGAGAAAGTCAAGGGAAATGCAACACTTCCCCTTTGAAGCTTCATCTAGTGGGCACACCCTGGTACATCTAGCAGCTATGGTCAAAACTACTTGTTCGCCCATGGAAACATTAGGGCTGCCCTCGATTCTATGGGGAAACCTGGGCACGGGCTGGAACGTGTTGACTCCGCCCTTGCAAGTAAAAGGACTCAAAGCCTGGATTTTAACCGTGGCTTTAAGCCAGCCGGCCACCTATTGTTCCACTTGTGTGCCTTTTTTGAGGGTGCCCCATGTTTTGCGGATGTAAAGGGAAACCAAAGGGAAAACGCAAGCCGCCAATTTGCTTCCCGGTCCGATTCCTGAAGAATGACCCCAAACCCAACCCATGGGCGTGTCTTTTTCAAGGCCCCCGATCGCTGAAAAAAATAGAACCTAACATTCCTATTCATTTAAAGAGCAAAATACGAATCAAACCCCTAAAACAAAGACTCCCGTTTTTTAATGCAAACCACAACTTATGTTCCTAATCTCAACACCTCGTTCGGAACGAGGGATATCAACCTCTCAACCGGTTTTTCCGGTTTTCCGAGACCCGCCCAGCCGCGGCCTTCTTGGAGGGCATGGAAAAGGGCGCCTTCCCGGTGAGCAGCTCGAAGAGCAGGACCCCCAGAGCCCAGAGGTCCACGCCCTGGTCGTGGGGCTCACCGAAGAGCATCTCAGGAGACACCTGCTGGAAACATAACAAAATGAGACTGGAGAGTTGGCTCAAAAACATGTACCAAAGTGCCGCCTTGGTACATGGAGCCAACAACTAAAGCCACACCCATTTAGTGTATTATAGTCTTCAAACCCATGAAGACGATGTAGATAATATGGATGTAGATTTTTGGAGAACGCGGAGAGAAGGATTGCTGAAATTGGGTGATGAAATCGGAGATTGGCGACTTGAATCGACTCAGCCGCTTTGCCGTTGTGAACATCTGGGCCTTGTGTTTTTGTAGCCACCCCAAAATGTGTGGTGTCCTCAAACCAACCAAACAGTGTACCCTCAAAGAAAGACACAACCATTTAGGCATGTCTATAACTTGAGGGTACTAACCGCTTTTGCACTTGTGAGGGAAAACCGAAGTGGAAAATTAGCTTGAAGAGTAAAGTGGGATGCCCTCTTACTGGTGGATTATCCCCCAAGTGGCTGGCCACTTGCTCGTTCGCCTAAACAAACCCTTGGTAGATGAGAAAAAGACTCGGCTGAAAATGAACAGATCCAAAACTCTAAAATAGAAAACGACAAACAAAAACATGCAGACAACGCGAAGACACGTAGTCCAAGGTCCCGCAGAAGGTCAGCCGCTTCTCAGAAGCAACCTCTGCGCACCACCCGAAGTCGCCCACCTGGAGTCAGCTCGTTAATGGATCACACCAAACTCACACCAAACAAGGGATTCCCCCGTCTATTTTCCGTTTGAACCAGAAAATCCATGTTGGGGGTGAAACGCTGGCGGCTTGCCGCTTGCCAGTTTCGAACCGCAAGCCCGGTACGAAATGAGTCCACCCAAACATGTGTGAGGAATCAAAAGAGCGGGATGGGTCATAGTGTGGACTGCCCCCTTGTAAACAATGCTTAAAGCGAACATGTTGAGGAGGTCTCAAAAACTATGTCGGGAAATTTTGCAGATGTACCAAAAGCGACCCAGTTGGAAGCGATGCCCATCGTTTCACCCCATAAAATAGACGGTCTTCTCGGCTTCCCATTGCCCCCCGGCCTCCTGTTCCACCCTCCTTAAAAACCGGGGAAACACCCCCCTTCCCCCGTTCCCCCCTCCACCACAACCAAAAAAAAGGAAAACCACCAACACCCCCCACCAACCCCCCCCCCCAAACCCCCCCCCCCCCCCCGGCGCGCCCGGACGTCCGGAAGGTTCCGGGCCTTGGCGGTCAGCTCCTCCCCGAAGAGCAAGACGTTCTCGGGCTTGAGGTCCCGATGGGCGACGCGCAGCTGGTGCAGATACGCCACCCCGGAACCTGCGCCCGGGTGGCCCGGCAGGGCCGGCTGTCCACCGGTGGCCCGGGGTTTGGGCGGAGTTGGCACCAGTTTCGCGGGGGACGAAAACGGGGATGGAACTCTGATGTTCAACGCCCCCAGATAATAGAGTGTGGCAAACGTTGTGTTTTTTGAGCAACCTCTGAAGCGACTGTGAAAAGTACCAAGGTCCTGTAAAGCATAGAGGGGAAGTTCAGCAATCACCGACCAGAGGGATCCTGCAAAGCTGGTGGTTTGAGGATGCGTCCTTTAAGGGACCTGGACAAGCACGATTGAATCTACTAATTCCGTTGAGCATGTTGCATTCACGGGTCGATTTCTCGCGCCAATAAAACGTTAGCTCGGAGCACAACACTGCACACTGCAAGCTGTGTTTTTGCTTTGGCCGCCTGAGCGCTTGCGGGGGCGCATCAAGCACCGCTGTCAAGAGCGCCACCCCACACCAACCCACCGTATATTGACAGTGTTTCTTCGAATGGTTTTGCTCCTTCAACACAATACCGCAAAACGGTCACCACATTAAACCGCCAAGTGTAAGCTTATCCTGAAACGGGCTTTGGTGTAAACTTAGCCGTGCCTGGGCATGAATAAACTGCGACGTGGTAGCTTCTTTAAAACTTCTCAATCGCGGTGGAGATTTGGACAAGCTGATTGCATGCGTCGGCAGGCCAGATCTGAGTCATTCAGTGAGAGGCAAGACGCGCCTTACCAGGCCAGTTGAGGCCGGCCTCTAGCAACAGCCGAAGCACAGCAAGTTGTTAGACCCAGTTTTCATGTATTTGCATTGAATCTGAATTAGTGAGCATGGTAGGGACGCACTGCAGACATGTCCACACGCGCGACTAGCCAGTCACGCCAGAAGCTCTGGCCAGCTTCGTGCATCCAATATGGTTCACAAAAAAAAATGGTTGTCGTCGAGCTGGCAGCTGTAGAGTGGCTGCGAAACCATTGCGAAACCATAACCCCAACAAACGCAGGAAGTTACAGCAAGTACAGTAGAGTTGTAAATGGCCGTCTCACTCAAACTTTCTCGTGCTTCAAACAGTGAAAGTCGGTTCAACTTCAGTTGCCGAAACTCCGCTGCAAAATCTGGGACATCAATTCCAAGAAGTTTGCACTAATGCCCCAACACTGCTTTGAAAACCCAGCTTTGCGCCGGAAATACCCAACTTGAAACACGAGTAGCTGAAAACACCTCCTCGACGGAATCAGCAATTGAATCCACCTAATCTTCAAACAAAAGCTTGCATCTTGAACTTTAAACTAGTCTTCAAAACAACCACTTAAACCCCGGATTCAAAAAAATATCATCTTGGTTCGCGCCCGGTGGGTTTTTGGTCCGCCTGTATCCAGGAAGAAGCGTGCAGCCATGGGCTCCGGCTGCGCCCCGGTGGTTTTCAGGTAGGCGAAAAGCTGACCCCGGTCCGCGTACTCCAGCAAGCAGTAGATCTGAGAGCTGTCCTCTCACAGCTCGGATAGATGGCTGTGGTTGTCAAAACCGTTATGGGATACCATTTTGGTTGGTAGGTGAATTCACCACCCATTTTAGAACCTATTTTAGTGGAGATTGGGATGTTCACTGGGGGTACGATTTGGGTTTTGACCCATGGCCAGATCTTGGGTGTTGTCGTTTTTGGAGTTGGTACCCGTTTTGGGTTGGGGATTGGGAAACCAAAAGGACGCCAACCATTTTGGGGGATCCCCGAAAAAAGACACACCCACTTGGGTTTAAGTGGTTTATAAACCATTCTTGGGGTTCTATCCCCGACTATGAAGCCGTGAATAGTGGTTCATCCACCAACTGGTGCGAAGCGGATTTTGTGTATCCAAGCATGGTGGATTTCCTTTTGGCTTCCCTCAAAGAAACCATTCGAAAAGGGCTCCCTACATGTCTGCAATTTGCTTTGGAATTCCAAATCCTTTTTGACTGGCTGGTTTTGCGGTTTTGCCAAACTCACGTGGTAAGTGAAATGAGGGATTCCTTTAAGGGACCCTTCTGCATAGTCCAACGGTAGCGCAGGGCATCACGTTCCTGGTCCCCTCAAGGGCTCCTCATAGATGGAATCCAAGTCGTGATTTTACCAAAGTCGCTCCCCTAAATGGTATGTCACGGCAAAAAACAATTTCCAGTTTGTGGCTTTGAGAACAAACCCTCAACAGTGAATCTACGAATTCTAGATGTCCAAGACTTGAAATGGGTGTTTCTTAAGATAGGGGACCCAAAATAGCGGTTTTCCCTTTGGTGTCCCTTTAAAGCTCCAAAAGGGAGGCCTGAATTATATAGACCCCCAAGAAAGGGGGCATGAGCTCGTCAACCAGGTGAAATGTCTAATTCCCTTCTTGGGTTGCTTGTGGAAACTTAAGGGAACCCGCGAATACCCTGAGAACAACCGAATCATTCACGAGCACCTCGAAATAGTAGTGCAGCCTCACCAGATTCCGGTGCTTCACCTTGAGTTGGGTGAGCACCTCACGTTTCACCTGCTCCTCCATACTCTTCTCCTTACCAGCAGAACTGGTTGAAAGGGAACCAAAGGGAAAGCCACAATGTTGGGTCCACTTGTTTAAGACACTCCCTTTTGGCACTGTGGTAGAGACGATTAACTTTCTGCGAAACGAAACCTGGTTCTCAGCTCAACAGTCAGAACAACCCGCACCAGGTGAGCGAGTCTTGATTCCGGATTCCGGATCATGGGCCTGGATTTCATGTCAGAAAATTCAAGAAATCCGGGGTTCCGAGGGCCACTCAAACCGAGCTTCAATGACCTTGTTCTTTTCGATGATTTTCATCGCAAAGACCTGGCCCGTCTCCGTGTTGACGCATTTCTGAACCACTCCGTAAGCACCGGAGCCCAGCAAGCCCTCCACCTTGAACTGCGACAGTGAATACTCGTTGCGCACCTTGGACACCTCCATCTCAACGCGCCATTCATTCTGGCAATCGAAAAAGTGGCAAGGAACAAGCGACTGCTCTGCTCTTTGGCGACCCTCTGTCTTTCATGTCTTTCAGAGCTGCATCCTGTTTCATAAGGACTGTCGAACTTGAGGCGCCTCAACCTGACATGCGCACTCCCAAATGCGCCGCTATCCACGTGACCCTGACACGCCCGCCTGTGAGTAAGTGCGTTTTGCGGCTTTGTGACTTTGCCCATGGGCACAGTGTCACCCTGGTGATTTCACCAAAAGTGCGAGCGCAATCTGCCGAATTGCTTCCCATGTGGTACCAACCGCCGGCAACACACCGGGCTTCGGCTCAAATTAGTTGCATTTCAATCGCCAAGGCGAGCATTCGATTCGGAAGTTTCAGTCTCCAGCCCAAAGCAGAGAGGATTTCTCAGGTAAGCCTTCGAGTGCTTCATAGGTTTGCATCTTTGGCTGGACACCTCTTCAAGAAGACATGCAACCGCACCGGTCAAAATTTGCCACCTTTCTGCAGCCGCACTGGGAATCTGTGGCCTGCACTGCTTGACAAGGGGCATTTTGACCTCGACGGTACCAATTCGCTACAAACTCCAATCGGCCTTGTCGCTCAGCGCTCAAAGCTTCATGGCAAGTGGCTACAGCCCATCGAAAAGCGTGCAACCGCGGCCGGTGCGACACAGTCCACGACAAGATGAAGTAACACGTGCGTTGGATGTGAAAAAACTGCGTGCAAATGCCGGAAGAAAAATATAACTTTGATGCAGAAATCACAGGGCGCCATGTCGACGTGTCGCTGCGGGGCAAGTCTCACCAAGAGGCCTCAGACGATTTCGAGCCTGTCATCCGAACCGCGAAGCATGCTAAACGCATGACTCATGACTTGTGCAGTGTTCTAGGGGTACCTTCCCCATTCTTTCCAGGCATCCTCCTTTCAACATAAGCTCAGGTGACATCCCCAACAGCATGCGGTGCTCTTTTTAGTGCTCGCACCACCCAGCAGCCCTCGCAGAACCTCGTGGAACCCTCGTGGAACTTTGGTGGAACCCTGGTGGAACCCTCGTGGAACCTTACCTCAGGGCCGCCCCGGACCACCCCGGAGCCTATCTGGGCTGAGACCCCAAAGCTTTCAGCTGTTGGGGAAAAAACACCCAAACCCTGGGGAAACAGCGATCGGTTTTTGAAAGAACGATGGGTGAAAAGAATGGAAAAGGAATCAACCCCTAGAAGTGTTGGTCACAAAGAACCATCTCTTTGACATGAACTGCACCCAACGCCTTCCTGGGCTCCCGGCCAAAAAAATTGGCGCGCCTCCTTGGCTGCCTTGGTAATAAAAGCCCATGGAAAGCGCATGGGTGTGTAATTGTTTAGCGGACCCTCGTGGGATCCCCAAACTGGTGGGTTTCCATTTGGCTTCCCTTTAGCAACCACAAAAAAGGGGGAGCTTCAAAACATGCACACCCCCAAGCAGACTGGGCCGAAGACTGATGCATCTCACACCTGGCAAATCGTCATGGAGTTCGCTTTCATCAAGCGACAGCCAGAACTTTCGCCTCGCGATCCAGCTTGAAGCCTCAGGCATTTCTGAGTGCATTGGACACTCACGTGCAAATTAATGACATTCCAGCAAATGGATGGAAATTCCATGGTGATGTGCAGCCAGTCTCTCGCTGGTTTCTCAGGTGTGGGCGAAGTGTGAGAAAACGCTTCTCCTGCTGCCTGCAAATTCGTGAGATTGAGTGTGTCCGGACCGACAAAAATACAGAGTCCATGCCATGATAACAGGAATGATGGTCTCGAAGGTCAGCGACAGCCGTTGACTACGAGACAATGTGGCTCCTTGCAAACCTTTTGCCACAACCCATTTCATGCGTGCATGGTTCGAAGACAGCTCAGTCTGCCAGTTTGCGACAAACGGCGCGCTGCAGGCGGTATGCAACCAACGTATGGGTGTGTCTTTTTGCGGCCCCGCAAAACGACTTTGGCTTTCCTTTGGTTTTCCTTTAACAGCCACCAAAAAGGGGGGTGCCCGCAAAACAGGACGCACATGTGATGAATGCAATGCAGTGCCCAACTTCTCGTTGCTCAACAGAATGTGTACACTCCGACAAGTGGGAACTGGTTGAGTTTCTCCAAATTGGCAAGTGGGACCCCTTTGCAGTTGGTATGTCTTTCGGAACACCAGAGGAATCCACTTTCAGGTTGAATCGATTCCTGTTTTGAGCACCAAGTTGCAACCAAGGCACTCTTCCTTCCAAGTCCTCTGGATGAAGGCCCTGCCACAGGCCAACCGAACACTTATCTCAGTGCGAGCGGTTAAATTGCGAGTACATGGGAAAATGAGTGAGTCCCGATGTTGCGAGGAATTTTGTGAACCCCCCCCCAATCCCCAATCCCTCCCATCGAAAAATGGTTACATCCCAGTCGGATTTGGGTGTGGCGGTGTGGCTCAAAATTTTAAGAGCTAGGGATACGCAGGTTTGGGTTTTTGTTTCCATTTGTCTGGGGGCCATGTTGGGTACATCTTTTTTGAGCCACAGCCATTTGGGCGCGTCTCTGAAACCTGCCAGGGGCGCTTGGCTTCTCCCAGCACGTACTCCTCGTTGATGAAGGCGAGGACGTCTCCAGGTCGAATATCTTCTGGCGAGGCCTCCGGCCCGCGCAAACACCACTTGGGGATGTGTCAAAATAGGGACTTGGACCCGACAAATGGTGTTTTCTTTTGGCTTCCCTGCGAAAAGCACCCTGAAAAGGGTACCCTCAAAAACACACGAACCCATATGATTCTGGATAGTACCTTTCCAATAGCTGGTAGACTCCCATGACTATCTTACCGCTGAGGGGATCTTATATGTATCACAGGACCTGACATTAAAACCTTATGTACGTGGAAAAAATGCAAGCCAATTTTGATCCACGCGTATTGCTTCCGTGCAAATGGATCTCCGAATTCAAGTGTGACATACCATGCCAGGCCGCGTTCACCCACTTGGGCGTGTCTGTGTTTCAGGTGGGTGTCGGGAACCAAAAAGAACACCACCCATTTTAGGAGTTCCCCTAGTTTTATGGACCATACCTTCCATTTGCTCAACTCCCCTCAAAAAGCAAAAACATATTTCGAGCAGTGATGATAGACTCCCTTTCAAATCAACAGGAAAAAAACTGTCCCGTAGTGATAGACTCCCTTTCAAACCAACAGGAAACATATACCACATATTCCCAACAGAAATGGATACATCCATTTTCGCCCATCCAACTTCCTTTCGGCTCGAATCAAAGCCACGCCCCCACCCCCCACCCCGGATGGCGCTGATGGCGCCTGAGGGCAGTTCTTGTTGAGCACCTTGACGCAGGCACCGTGATCCGAGAACTTCCAGATGATGGACTTCATCTGGCGATGGTGAAAAGTTTCACTTGGCTCTACCAAAAGTGGGTGGAGTCGTCGCCAAAATTTGGGTGGAGTCTTAAGAACCAACAGGTGGAGTGGAGAGTAAACTGGAATCACTAAGAGTTGGAATGATAGTTGTTGACGTTCTAGCAATATGTCCAAGACATGACTTTTTAGAGTAGGAACCACCTCAAGTTGTCTCAAGTTCAAGTGTTCAAGTGTTGGTAACCTTCCCTGAGGCGAGAAGAACGCATGTTACAGTGGAAGTGGGTGAGCATGAGTCACCGAATCTGATGTCCGCCAATGGGCCCCTTACAATTAATGCCCACGTGCAAAAGAAAGGGGGGAAATGAGTTTGTGTTTTTGGGCACCCATTTCAGGTTGGTCAAAAGAGAAGCCAGCTCAAAATAAGGGATCAAAACCAAAACATGACGATTCGTTCCACCGATATGTCGCGCAGCTACTTATACACCCCCCAATTGGTCGAATTAAGCAAGAGCCAAATCTGCGGAAAGTCCGCAGATGGGGGCACTGTACCCGTTTAAAAGGGAAGCGTTCAACAGGAGAACGCATTTGGGGGTCCGCAAAAAGACCCTGGCCCCATGTTTCCTCTGGCTGGAGCCAGACCGGTTCCACCTGCTCGGGGCTGTCCGCATCCAACTCCAGGGTGAGGTTCCCGGCTCTTGGCGTCGACCCTCTGACCTGCTAGGCCGGAGGCTTTTTGAAGGCGGTCCGTTTTCGGAGCTGAAAGTGGCTAACGCTTAGCGGGTTAATGGGAAACTACCACTCAACCAACTAAAAAGCCAAAAGAGGGAACCGGATGGCTTGGAGCTACCATTTTCACCGCGTATTTGGCGGTTGCCTTCCACGGAGGTTCCAGAAGGACTCTAAATCTGGAGAGCCTCCAGAATCCGGTGCCAAACTTGAATATGTCGGAGTCCTTCGCTTTAAAGAGATGCCTTCAGTTTTGAGGGTTTCTGGTCATAGAAGGGTCCTTCGTTTACTATTCCCCTCCAACAGAACCCTGGACACCAACAAGGGTGTCTGGAAAACTGTCAAAAATGTGTAGTCCCAGGGCATCTTTAATCTAGGTTTTGTCACCGTTGGTTTCAACCATCCTTCTTTTCCAAAACTCGCTTCCCCTGGGTTCTGAAAGCTTTCTAACAAGGATCCCTGGGTTCTGAATTGTGAGAAGGTGGTCCCCAGCTTCAAAAACCCTCACAGTGCGAAACAAACAAATCCCCACACCTCACCCGACCTGAAATCCTAAGGCTACCCACCTGCGACTTGCGCTGGAAGCCCTCCCTGGCCCCGGTGTAGATCTCAGACTCGGAGGAATCGATCTCGGGCCTCAAAGCGACAGAGGCGCTTCCAGTTGCCACGTTTGGGGGTAAGGTAGCTGGCAAGGTAGCTTTGCCTCTTTACATGAAAGCTTCCCCTGCTTACCTAGTGGCTCGCCAAGTTGCCAGTGTTGTGGGCAAGGTAGCTTGACCTTTTGGTTTTACCGTGAATGCTTGGTGGGTAGCTTTGCCCTGGTTACCTAGTGGCTGTGTGTGTGTGTCTGTGTGCGAGTGCGCGGAGGTGCCCGTGCGCCTGCGCCTGCGTGTGCGCCTGCATGTGCGTGCGAGTGGCATGCGATGTGCGTGGCGTACGTTGTGCGCGGCGTGCGTGGCGTGTGTACTGTGCACTGTGCATTGCGCGTTGCGTGTTGCGTGTTGCGCGCTGCGCGCTGCGTGTTGTGTGTGTGTGTGTGTTGCGTGGTGTGTGCTCTCTGTGTGGTGTGGCGTGTGTGTGGCGATCTGGTGTGTGGTGTGGGGTGCGTGGTGTGTGGTTGGGGCGTGTGACGTGGTTTGGTGGGGTGTGGTAGGGTGGGGGTGGTGGGGTGGGGTGCTTTGTTGCGTTGTGTTGCGTTGTGCTATGTCAGTTGTGCGTGTGGGCGAGGAAACCTCATAGCTTGCCGTGATTTACTCAATACTTCTCGGGCAGTAGCCACATGGATGACTAGAGTCCGGAGATCTGGGTCAAAAACAGGTACCCCAAAATGGGTTGCCCTGATAAATGGAGCCAAGGACTAAAACCTGCGGTCCCCAGGTGGTTGAATTTTGACCCATCCCCATCTGCCGAAGCTTGGCTTACGGGCTCAGCCCCTGGCGGGGGCTGAGAGAGCATCCGCGAGCCCCTGGATCGGCGCTCGGGAAAGCCTCACAAGAAAAAAAGAAAACCTGCCTACCGAGTACCCAGCCTCAAACAAGGCAACTTCTTGAAACAAAAACAGGTTGGCAAATCAAAGGTGTAGATTGGCCTGAACACGATTGTGCCCCTATAGCATTGATGCTCCGCGCTTGCTCCAACGCTGGCCTTCATCCTTGGACGCGCGGTTCGTGGAGCGGCGCTCGCCTTCGCTCGGCACCCGCTTCGCCAACAGCCAGCGGTCATGGGAACCGCGGATGTTCATACCCTGGTTGAGTTTGATCAGGGGCGTCCCCTTTTGCTGGGGCTCATCACTTTTGGAGGGTCCGTACAAGGACATGGTCGACACCTTCTACCATGTCCACACAGAACTCCCCGTAGGCACAAGATCCTCAGCCGAGCGGCATTCCGCGTAAGACGTGCGGTTCGCCAAGGAGCGGCGGGACTCGCCTCACCGGACAGTGACATAGAAGTCCTCCCTACCGAACAAAACTGCGGCCAACTGTCTCTCTCTATACCAACCCTGAAACCCAAATGGCTGTGGGTCAAAAATTGGTACCCAAACTGGAACCCTGTAAATGGAACCAGGGACTACAACCTGCGGTCCCCTAATGGTTGATTTTTGACCCATACCCAAATGAGTCCCTTGTTTAGAAAACCAGCTTATAAAACAAGCTAAACCCTGACTTTCACACTCTTTGTTTCAACTTCGGCATGACTTTCACTCTCTTTGTTTCAGTTGGTGGCAGGCGAGCCGCGCCGCTCCATTGCCGGCCGAAAATCGCTGGATGGTCTTCTTTGTTTTTTTGTTTGCTTGCTGATTTGTGGGTGCCCGTGAGAGGTGGTTGTCGATGCAGGCTTGGGATGAGGCAGGCATTTGGAGGGAAAAGCAAGTTTTCAGGTAAGAAGTTTTAGCAGCTAAGAGCACCTATGAGCGGCAGGCAGCAAAGCAAAGCAGAAGTAGCAACTGCGGCAACGAGCAGCTAAAAACCAGGCAACTGCAGGCATGTGAGCAACCAAAGAGCAGCTTGGATGACCTAGCCGCTAGAGCAAACGAGCCCGAAAGGGATCTAATGATTTTCACCGCTGGAGTTCTGGTTCCTTGGGGTCCTAGTTACCTGCCGAAATCGAAACAAAGAGAGTGAAAGTCAAGCCGCAGTCGAAACAAAGAGAGTGAAAGTCATGCCGAAGTTGCCAGACGTGTTGCGTGCAGACATGATAGGTTTTTCAACCCAAGATTCCAGTCTCTGAGAAAAAGCCGTCACAGCCTTCGTCATCGCGAACGTCATACGACTTCCGGCTGGCCAGAGAGCGGCGAGCATCGCCTCAACACATAACCATCAAAAAACAATACCAGTCGTTCTCACCTCTGAGAAGCTTGCTTCGAGCCATCCCAACCACCTCTCAGAGGACCCAACCACCTGACTCCAAGGCCTTTGAAATAAGTAAAAAGCAGAAGCAAGCCCAAACATCCCAAACAAGCTTCTACCAAAGCTGTAAAACACACCAAGATCGTAGGACTTGCGATTGGACACAGAGCGGCGCCCATCACCTTCACTGTGAGGCACAGCCGCTTTGACAGCAACAGCCAAACAAGCTGTAGCTCTCGCTCTCATTGCTCGCTGCTCTTTGTTTGCTGCTTTGAACTGACTTACATACGCTGTGCTGAGTTTAACTGTCATTTTCTGTTTTCGGACGCCCTCAGTGACAACAACTCCTGAATCGTGTATTTTTGCCTGCCACTGACTGCTGCCGAATGGCCTTCCTCATCGCGGACATCCAGTGATTTTCGGTTGGCAATGGAGCGGCGTGACTCGCCTGCAAAAGCCAGACGCGGTCTACGCAGACATAATGGCCGTTTCAACCAAAGATTCCAGTCTCAGGCAAAAAAGAAACAAGGAAAGCACGCGGGAGGTAGGCTTCGGCCTTCGTCATCGCGAACGTCGTACGATTTCCGGCTGGCAACGGAGCGGCGAGCGTCGCCTCAACTCAGAACCATCAAACCACATTCAAGGCTGGAAAAAAGCCGGCCTTCGTCATCGCGAACGTCAAACGACTTCCGGCTGGCCAGAGAGCGGCGCGCGTCACCTTAACTCAAAACCATCAAACAGTAATACCGAGCAACTACCAACCCTGGCCGATCTGGCCACAGCAAAGGCTGCAAGAAAATGAGCCGCCTTCGTCATCACGACCAAGATCGTAGGACTTGCGATTGGACACTGAGCGGCGCCCATCACCTTCACTGTGAGGCACAGACCGCTTTGAGCAACAGCCAAACATGCTCTAGCTCTCGCTCTCCCACGCTGCTGTCTGCTACTCGCTGGCTGCTCTTTGTTTGCCGCTTTGGACTGCGCTACACTTATATACTGTGGCTGCTTTTGACATCTCCATTCTCTATCTTCGGACGCGTTTAGTGATGCTTGCTGCTCTTAGCTGCTGAAAGCTGGGTTTTCGCGCTGGTACACTTTTCCTCACAACTGCCTGCTGATCATGCCTATCCATGCCCTAAATCGACATGCCTGCTCCAGCACCCACCATAAAAATGCAAACATACAGACACGCAAATACACGCAAGCTGGCAAAAAAGAACTCCTGAATCGTGAACGGAATATTGCCTGCCACTGACTGCTGCCTGCCACTGACTGCTGCCTGCCACTGACTGCTGCCGAATGGCCTTCCTCATCGCGGACATCTAGTGATTTTCGGTTGGCAATGGAGCGGCGTGACTCGCCTGCAAAAGCCAGACGCGGTCTACGCAGACATAATGGCCGTTTCAACCAAAGATTCCAGTCTCAGGCAAAAAAGAAACAAGGAAAGCACGCGGGAGGTAGGCTTCGGCCTTCGTCATCGCGAACGTCGTACGATTTCCGGCTGGCAACGGAGCGGCGAGCGTCGCCTCAACTCAGAACCATCAAACCACATTCAAGGCTGAAAAAAAGCCGGCCTTCGTCATCGCGAACGTCATACGACTTCCGGCTGGCCAGAGAGCGGCGCGCGTCACCTTAACTCAAAACCATAAAACAGTACTGCCGAGCACCTACCAACCCTGGCTGGCAGGATGTGGCCTGCCAAAAATGAGCTGGCCTTCGTCATCACGAACGTCATACGACTTCCGGCTGGCCAGAGAGCGGCGCGCGTCGCCTCAGCTCAAAACCATCAAACAGTACTGCCAAGCCCCTACCAACCCTGGCTGGATGTGCCCTGCCAAAAAATGAGCTGGCCTTCGTCATCACGAACGTCATATGATTTCCGGATGGCCAGAGAGCGGCGCACGTCGCCTCAACTCAGAAGAATTAAGCAACAATACCAACCCTGGCCCGGCCCGATCTGGCCACAGCCAAGGCTGCAAAAAAAGAGCCGGCCTCCGTCATCACGATCGTCATACGACTTCCGGCTGGCCAGAGAGCGGCGCGCGTCGCCTCAACTCAGAGCCCTCAAACAGTAATACCAAACACCTACCAACCCTGGCCGGATCTGGCCGGCCTTCATCATCACGAACGTCATAAGACTTCCGGCTGGCCACAGAGCGGCGCACGTCGCCTCTGAAAAAGAGAGACCAAGCACCTATATACCAACCATGGCCGGCTCTGGCCACATCCAAGCCTGCAAAACATGAGCCGGCCTTCGTCATCACGAATGTCATACGACTTCCGGTTGGCCACAGAGCGGCGCACGTCGCCTCAACTCAGAACCATCAAAGCCATCAAAAAGCAATACAAAGCACCTTTATACCAACCATGGCCGGCTCTGGCCACATCCAAGCCTGCCAAAAATGGGCCAGCCTTCGTCATCACGAATGTCATACGACTTTCGGCTGGCCACAGAGCGGCGCACGTCGCCTCAACTGAGACCAGTCAAAAGAAATACCAAGCATGTTCACTTCTCAGAAGCTTACTGCCTATTAAACCTCCTTTCTGAACAGGTCTCGACAAACATCTGAGCAACTTGCAAAAACCGCTCGTATAGCCGAAGGACGGCGGGTCGCGGTTTATGGTTGTTTTTGTAACCCCTATCATTCCTCAAGGTTCTTGTGAACTTTGCATGTCGCAGCTTCATGCCTGCAGTCGCAATAGCGAGCAACACAAGTAACAGAATCTACCTCCAAGGTCGTTGCAAGTCAAAAGCAACATGCTAAGCTGAGAAAGAACTGCCAGCCTTCATCGCAGCCAAGATTGTAGGACTTGCGATTGGGGACGGAGCGGCGCCCATCATCACTGCAACCTGCAGCCGCGCGTGGCACAGGCTGCATAATCGGAAGTGCCCGCGCGGAAATAATGCGACTCCCTGCACCCAACAACTGTTTTCTCGTGTACAACATCCCAAGTACTGCCCGGGTGCTGGTCTGAAATCCCTGGCTTCACCGGCCAAGTGGCAATCCCCACGAGCGCAAGACGCGCGGCTCGCCAAGGATTGGCGGGACTCGCCTGCAAACCAGCGATTTCAAAGTGGCGGCCAACACATGGTTGCCATATCCAGACTGGCCGGTGGATGCTTCGTCAACAGCCGCAAGCTTCCGACTGCAACAATGTCATAAACCATGCACATGACGTGTTCCACCAAGAGGACATAGACAACCTAGTGAGGCCCCAGGCGGGAAAAAATTCCCTGCCCAGGCATTGGCGGCTTTTCACCGAACCTCGCCTTCCGGGTAGCCATGGGACTTCCTGGTGGAACGGCGCGTGTCACCTGCAAGCTCTCAGAAATGGATCTCTTGCAGGGGGCCAACAAATTTTGTTGGTGGTTGGGACATGGGGGCTCGAGATCCCTCCCAAATTCAATTTTAAAAAAAAAACGGAAAATTGACACAGCGTGTGTCTCCCATGCTGGCCTGAAGCGAAGAATGATTAAACCCAAGAACTGTCCAGACCTTTTGAGCATTCAGACATATGAATCACATCCTTGGAAAAGGTATGCTCAAAAGGTATGCTCAAAACTTCTTGGATTCAGAAAGGAAATCCTTTAAACACCAACTGCATTAAAACAAGAAAATGAACCTGATTGGATCAAAATTAATGGGCTAAATCAACTCAACATTGGATCATGATTGGATCAAAACGATTAAGGGCGTCTCTTCCTCCCAGAACTTCAACTCGTCTTTTCTTCCAGCACCAATTCGCGCCTAAGTCGCCGGACTTCCCTCTGAACACCTGCGGAGGTTCAGCGATGTGAAGCGACGTTGTACCTGGATGAATATAATGTGTATATATATGTGTATATATATATATCACACAAGTATATTCATGTACACGTGTGTATATATACATAATTATACATATATATATATATATACATATATATATATATACATATATATAAATATATATATATATATATGATTATGTATACACAAGAAATAAATATAGAAGTGCGCTTCGATTGGGGGCATCTTTGCAGACCCGAAATGGTGAATGTGTCAAAGAAGCGACCCCCCCCTTTCGAAGGTCTCCTCTTGGCCAAACTTCTGAAGGAACGAGACACCGTCCGTCGGAAGGGCCAGCCTCTGCAGCTGCCTTCCATTCCTGCTCTTCTTCCACATAGACCTGCCAAGCCCTCTGGCTTCAAGCACACTTTCGCATCTGGAACTGCAGACACAGCCGCAATCTGACGCTTGCATAGTCACAGCTGGAAGGGATCTTAGCTTCGGGAAACTTTCTGCCCCAATGATTCTCACTTGCTCGCAGGTGAGTCATACCCCAGAACCCCTGGAAAAGACGCAACCTATTTCTCAGGATCCTCACTCCGGACACGCCGCGACAAAGGCCCCGGCCAGAGTCTCGGTCGAAGCCTCGGACCTCAGCGAGGCTGAGGCACCAGGGAACCGCAGGTTTCAGTCCATGTTTCCACTTACCAGGGTTCCATTTTGGGCACCTATTTTTGACCCACAGCCACATCCGGTCCAATTCCGAATTTAAGACACACCAGGTGTTTTTCAAGCGGTCATGGCCCGAGGCTCTCACTCGGCGCCTGGCACGTGGATGTGCGGGGGTCATGGGGGGAACCCCAACATGGCGGTTCTCCTTTTGATGTCCTTGTGATACCACCAAAAAAGGGGTGCCATCACGGTGCCATCAAAAAAAAACGCACCCATATACCCTCCCATCTGCCATAGAACCTGACATTTCGGGGGTCGTGGTTTGGACCGTTCTCCTCAAGGGCACCTTCAAGGGTTGGTTCCATGGCAATGGACAGGTCGTGGGACAACAGGTGATATAACCTACACGGGGGGCGCGTCTTTTTGTTCTTGTCTTTTTGTTGGGGGGGGGGGTCCCCTTGAAAAGGTTGGCGTACAGGGAAACTACAGGGAAGTCATTTGGGGGTCAGAATCCCAATTTTGGCCCATGCCCGGTGGAAGGGGGGTTCCAGGATTTATGAGGCGAAGGGCTTGTGTCTATTCTTGGTTCTTGTTTTTCTCGGTCCCGTTATTTGACGCATACCCACTATTTCTCCCAGGACTAGCCTTCGTCGCGTCTGCTCAGGGAGCGCCGCTCACCTACCCGCGGGAATTCGATTCGGTGTGTCGTTTTGATGTGAAGGGTACTCTTTTTGGGTTACAAAGAGTCCAAAGGAACCAACCCTTAGGAATATCCCAGCTAACACAAACCTTTTTGGGTTGAATCAGTTTTGGGGGTACCCAAATGCCTCACCAACGCTGGTGTCTCCATGCTTCAGAAGACATTTCTGTGCGTTCGCGAAGTCGATATTGTTGACTTCCCTCGCACGAGAACTTGGTCCTGGCTCTCATGGAATCAAGAGGGGGCTGGGAAAAACCGCTCTCACCGAAGAAACAAGACTTATTGGATGGCTCAGTGAAACTCATTACCTCACCAGCGAATGGGTTGCGCATGGGTTCCGTTTTGCCGAAAAGGAATCAACCCCAGAACTGTGGGGCCCGTTGAGACCCACGAGCGAAATCGTCGAATGCGACACAAAACTGCGGCCTTCATCACGGGACTTGCGGCTCGAGCGGTGCAGCTCATCTGCAGCAGTTGACATGGTTGCCCTCCTATGGAACCTATGGAGCCTGACTGAGCGACTCTATAAACCTCCCATGAATCCCTATGTCGTATCAAGTTGCTTACGCGCAAGCTTGGGCTTTCCTTGCGCAACCCATGGTTTAGCTTACGCGGCAGTTAGCGAGCAGGTTAAGCTTACGCATCGCTTACGCGTCGGCGTTGTGAGCGTTTCCCCTCAAGAATTGCTTACACGGGCTCCTTTTCTCGTGCAGCCGCCAGAACTGTTCAAGATGATGTGGATGACTCAGGAAGAAGATGACGAAGAACTACCCTCACGAGTTTCAGTGGCCTGGCGTTGCTGTTCTTACTGCAAGTCAAGAAACGGGTTCTGCGACAGTGGCATCTATCGCGAGGGCTAGCGGGCAGCCGAGCTAGGCGAGCTTACGCGAACCTTACGCGCCTGCTTGCGCGAGCTTGCGCCCCCGAGCCCCTTTAGTGCTCCTAAATCAGCAGCTTCAGAAGCCTTTGTTTGTCCTAGTACGGGTTGCAACAGCACCTAGCATGAGCCCCCAAGAGCTCCCAATCAAAGCTCTGCTGGTGCTGTTTCTAACGGCGGTCTTAGACGTCTTCCTGCAGCCAAAGTCTCCGGGCAAGTTGCCAAGCTCGACTAGGTTGCAACAGCACAAGCCACCAAAACACACATAAGCACATGTGTGAAAGAACTCTTCCGAGCATGCTTACGAAGAAGAGCTTACGCAGGCCTTACGAAGCACGTTCTCTCAAAAAGTGCCAACTCTTAATTGGGATGTAACAGGGGCTTTTAGAGCCAAGACAAGCAAATGCGCCCCCAGGTCCTACCTCAGACCAAGACACGTAGACACACATCTACGCTCCTGCAATACATGGAACCTGCGGGACCGTTCCAAAAGGAAACCTCTTCTGGTTTCCATGCTAGCTGGCAGGGTCACACACACACACACCCGCGCACGCGCACCCACCCACGCACCCCACGCACCCACGCACCCACTCACCCACGCACGCGCGCGTATCCTCTTTCCAACAATCATAGAAGTGGCAAATCAGTTGTTGGAACAGTAGCATTCTCTTGAAAACCGCCCGAAGGTCCATCAAAGGGATGCCTAACTTTGCGCATACAAATTGTCTAAACTTTAAAACTTTGGTTGAATCCAAGGGTTCATCCGACAATTGTACGCATTTTGCTCCCAATGGATCATGCTGCGTTGAATGTCCGTGGAAATTGTGCCCATCTGCCAAGCCCACCCCTGTCATCTCGGCCAAGGTTGTTGGACTTGCGGTCTGAGCGACGACCTGCCAACAGGAAAAGCATAGGCTGTTGACTTCTATTGTGCAGAATGATAACCCAGGAATTGAATAATCAACCCCTCTTTGACACATGCTGGGTGTCCCAATTTAGGAACTCCACCAGATTTGGGTCTGTTTTCACATAGGGTGACGGGTGGCCCCCAAGAATGGTAAGTTACTCTTGGAGTTCCTTCAAGCCAAGCCCAAAAAAGACCCTTCGCCTCAAAAAGACACCAACACATTTGGGTGTGTCCTTTTTGGGGGACCCCCCAAAATGGATTTTGCTCTTCCTTTTGGTTTCCCAATAAAACCGGGGGAAACAAAAGGACGGGGGGCCGAAAAAACGCACACACAACAACACACACTCGAAAGAAAGCCAAACAAAAAACCCTCCTTACAGAATGGTGCAAAAAGAAGAACTCCTTTCAGAAAATGACGATGTCCTTCAGCACACAAAAGGGAAATCGGCGGAACATCGTGACACTGACCTTCATCACGGCCATTCTCATAGGACTTGCGGTACGACGTCGATCGTCCTCGCCAAGGCTCACGGAAAGGCATGTGAGGTACGGTCAACACGACAAATGTTTCAACAAGAGGACACGAGAAATTGAGTGAGTCCCCTGCTTCTGTTCTTGGGTGAGGCTCCTTTTTGTAAAGTTGGCACCCTTGAAGGGAAATGAGAGAAAATAACTGTTTGTTTGGGGGAGTGCCCTATTTCAAGACACACGCACTTGTGCTCGTGCTTGAGCCGTCGTGTGGCTGTGCTTTCTCTACGTACGAGACGCAGGCCGCCCTTCTGTGCTATTCGTCATGGCCAAGGCCATTACTTGGCGGACTCATCGACCGGTTGCACAGGTGCAACCTATGCAACATTGCATCCCGAAGTCGACGCAGTGACACCACAAATAAACCAACACCCCCAAACTGCACGTCTTGCACAGTACATCCCAGCGCCTCGTAAATTCTGGAGCGTCACAGTCCCAATCTGTTGGTATTCTGTTTCAGAAAAAGGATATTGCCGCAAATGTGACTGCTGCCTGCAGAAACGTCTACCGCTCTGGGTGGAACATCGGACAGAGTCAAGGCTTGCTCCTCCATCTCCATGAGTAGACCTGGATGACAGCCGTCCTGCCATGCTGGAATGGGTATGTGTCTTAATTGCGGACAATTTGGTGGACATCATCTTTAAAGGATTCATTATTATTAGTACTCTTTTCTTCAAAAAAAAATGGAATGTCTGTCCCCCAACACGCTTATTTACTATTTTATTTTGGGATTTTTTTTGTTTTCCGTCCTGGCTACTAAAATGCTGTAATTTACAGCATTTTCTCGCGAAATGTACGTATTTTACGCTAGTCCGTCAACATCACCAGCATCGTTTTCAACATCCCCCGCATGTCCAGCCAACATCCCCAGCATCACCAGCAAATTGGCTTCCCGCATCTCATGGTAAAAGTGAGGATTCAAATGCGGGCAAACTAATCCCTGTAAAACACCTAAAACGTGGCGGCAGCCCCCCCCATGATGATTGAAAAAGTGACGACGGCAGCCCCCCATGATGATTGAAAAAGTCTAAAAAATTGCGGGGGGGTTGGGGGCGGCGGCAGCCACCCCCATGATGATCAAAAAATTAAGGGCAAAGAATCTAAAAAGGATCGGTCGCATGATGATCGAAAAAGTGATGATTCAATTCGGGGCAAAAAGTCCAACAAATAGCGGGGGGGTTGGGGGGGGCGGCAGCCCCCCCCATGATGATTGAAGAAGGTTCCTCTGCGGCAAGGCCTCATGGTACAAGTGAGGATTCAAACACGGGCAAACTAATCCCTGTAAAACACTTAAAACGTAGCGGGGGGGGCTCCATGATGATTGAAAAAGTGATGATTCAATTAAAGGCGCGGGGGGGTTGGGGGGGGCCGCAGCCCCCCCCATGATGATCGAAAAAGTGATGATTCAATCAGGGGCAAAAAGTCTAAAAAATTGCAGGGATCGAAAATTAAGGGCAAAGAATCTAAAAAGGAGCGGTCGCATGATGATCGAAAAAGTGATGATTCAATTAGGGGCAAAAAGTCCAACAAATAGCGGGGGGGTTGGGGGGGGGGCGGCAGCCCCCCCCATGATGATTGAAAAAGTGATGATTCAATTTGGGCCAAAAAATATTTATATAAAAAAGCAGCGGGGGTCATCAGTTCCTCTGCGGCAAGGCCTCATGGTACAAGTGAGGATTCAAACACGGGCAAACTAATCCCTGTAAAACACTTAAAACGTAGCGGGGGGGGGGGGGGGCGGCAATTCCCTCCATGATGATTGAAAAGTGATGATTCAATTAAAGGCGCGGGGGGGTTGGGGGGGGGGCGGCAGCCCCCCCCATGATGATCGAAAAAGTGATGATTCAATCAGGGGCAAAAAGTCTAAAAAATTGCGGGGGGGTTGGGGGGGGCGGCAGCCCCCCCCATGATGATCGAAAAATTAGGGGCAAAGAATCTAAAAAGTAGCGGTCGCATGATGATCGAAAAAGTGTGATTCAATTAGGGGCAAAAAGTCCAAAAAATCGCGGGGGGGTTGGGGGGGGCGGCAGCCCCCCCCATGATGATTGAAAAAGTGATGATTCAATTAGGGCCAAGAAAATATTTATAAAAAAGCAGCAGGGGGGTCATCAGTTCCTCTGCGGCAAGGCCTCATGGTACAAGTGAGGATTCAAATACGGGCAAACTAATCCCTGTAAAACGGCACCCCCCCCCATGATGATCGAAAAAATAGGGGCAAAGAATCTAAAAAGTAGCTGTCGCATGATGATCGAAAAAGTGATGATTCAATTAGGCGTGCATTTTAATCGAAAGGGGGGTGGCGGGGGGCCCAGAGAGGAACTTGCGATGCTGAGGATGCAGGAAGCCAAGGCCAAAAACCAACTGGGAAAGCATCAGGATGCGAAAAGCCAAAGCCAGAAAGCCAAAAGCCAAAAAGCCAAAAAGCCAAAAAGCCAAAAAGCCAAAAAGCCACCTGCCGCAGCGGAACTGGCAATGCAGAGGATGCGAAAAGAGAGGAACTGTGAATGCAGATGATGCGAAATGAAAAGCCACAAAAGCCACAAAAACCCACGTAAAAGCCACAAAAGCCAAAAAGCCGAAAAGCCACCGACCCTGAAAAACAAAAATAATTCCTAAAAAAAAACGAAAAAAATCCTAAGAAATGGCCCTCCTTTACTATTATCATTATTCTTTTCTTGCGGGGGTCCAACGTTCCAACCCTTAAAATTCTTTGCGACATGGCCACCGTGCTGCGCCGTCCTGTGGATGCCCGCGAGTCCCGCACGTCTTCCACCTACGCGGCAACCAGGCGGCTCGGTCTGCAGCTTTGGCGCCTTTGTTTTGAGCCGCGCTTTCCGGAAAGCGCTCAAGAAAGCTTTTGAGTCTGTACACGCCGAATCTCCGCTCTGAGTTCCCCGAAACGAGCAAAACGATCTTCACCATCTCAATCCCGGGACGCCCGGCCGGCGGGCCTGAGCCTCAAAGCCAAAAGCAAAAGCACAAAGCTGTGTGTCTTGCACGAATTCGGTGAGACGCTCATGCAAACCTCGCGACATCCGGCTTCGGAAGACCATGAGTCATGTTACTCTGCATTTGCTGCTGCCAAGCCCACACAAACATGTCTTGGGCTCGTCTTTGTCATCATAACATGCAAGAGGCACGAAGCGTTCGTGTACAAATTGCGGATGCCAACGAAGTGGACCTGACTTCTCAAGATATGCTTTGCTGCCCGAGCACTTCAAAGTGTTCAACACCACGTGGCAATGGTCGTAGACGCGGCCCCTAGCAGCAGCAAAGTCGTTAGCTTTGCTGAGAAAGTTCGACTCGAAACGTCGAAATCTGTGACAAGAGGTTCTTCTCGACGTGTCTCAAAGTGTGCAAGCCCCCGGTTAACGCCTTTGCATACATCGTCCCCTTCTGTCCAGCTTTTTGGAAAAATCTGGCATCTGGAAGGTGTGAGTATTTGGTACTGCATGAACTGCGATAGGATGTGGCACTGGACTTCGAAACGGGACTGCGTAAGCCAGCCTCATCCAAGGCTCAGGCGACAAAGAATGAAGCTGCAGTCTTGGACATGTGGACATGAAAATATGGGCGGGGGTGGTCCCAGATCATTGCCAGTGATGCAGAAGCTGCCGCCAAGGCCCGGCAAAAGCATATCGAATCGATCATTCATTTATCCGATCCTCGGAATCGTGTAGGCTGGATTGAGCCCCAAAATGGCTGCGGACTTGCATAAGCGCATCATGAGACACATGATGCGCCTTCATCCATTCCTGGTCGCTGAAGGAGGCCATTCCTGCAACTTCCGCTTCACTGCAAATCTGGTCTGCTTCATCCCTCAAGCAACCATGAAACGCAAAACATGCGTCCCAGCACTCCCCAACGACTACTCTTTGTGGACAGCATTTTCGGCTTGACATGCAAAAAACATGCCGTCGCTGTGGGGTGCTGGAATGGTTTTGACTTGAAGGCAGTCCTTTGGGAAGTCGAAAGCTGCGAGTCACGAAGCTATGCTTGAGAGGATCGCCAAGACCCAAAAATCGCTCGCGCCGCAAATCGCTCATGGACAGATCAAACAGACTGGATTGTTGGTTATCAACCTGAGTTGATAGTATTGCATCCATTCAAACTCAAGGATGTTGTCCATCCACATTGAAGCAACTGAAGCGCACAGAGCAATGCTTTCTTTGAGGCAAAGTCGGAAATGCAGCTGAAGTGGAGGCAGCTTCAAGCTAGCGCCCACAGAACCTAACGTCCGGCTCGACTGATTCGCCACACTGCCATTGCGCAAGACTCTGTCGGGTAGACCCACGGAGACTGGCACAGTCGAAGCCAGTAAGTGAGTAAGTGATGAAGAGTGTGGCCAACGCAACTGTCTTTGCCCAGCTGTTGACCACATCTCCAAGAAAAAGACATCAAGCGATTGCAGCGCTCAATTAGGCACTCATCCGAGCGCTGGCTGGTCAGAGGCCAGGCACCCCTAGTCTTCTGAAGCAGCCACATTCGAACTCCATACGGAGGTGAAGGCAAGTTTGCGCTGGGTGTTAAATAAGGGTTTGGGGGAAAAAGAACGAAACACTAGGTTCCTCGTGGGGAAATGAAACACATATCGGCCGCTTACTCATTCAGCACCCAGACTAACTGTACTCCAACAAGTTCACTTGCATGTGCTGAATCTGCGTCTGCACGGACCCGAGGAAAAAGATCATGAGCTCCAGAGTCGACATGGCGTCGCTCTCCGGCAAATTGTTCCTACGCATAGCAGCCGCCTGACGAGAGATCCATGAACACTGTCCAGTTGGTTGTTTTTTTTGGGTGCCCTTTTCAGATCGGCTTCGAGGGAAACCAAAAGGGAAACCATCATTTTGGGAAAGTCCCCATTTGGAGACACAACCATTTTACCTCAAAGAATGACCTTCTTTATTTAGCGCACCCCTTTGGTACAGGGAATGGAAGGGGCCCGATCTGGAGGTCTTGAACAAGTGGTATTGAAAAGCCAGCCTCTCGCAACCGGTCGAAGATCAGCAAGAGACGGAGTGCAAAGCTATCCGCGACCCCCTCTTTTGCACCACCCTTCCTTGGCACATCTCAGTAAACAAAATACTTATTTAAAAAAATAAAAAATGCTGCAAATATTTATGAGTTTGCGTCAAACTGGAGGAACCCCCCAAAATGGTTGGTTCTCCAAAACAAACACACCCATATGTCATGTTTGGTCACTCTCGCCAAAATTACAACTGTTCCGAGACAACCAACCAAAAAGTTTGGCTCCACCAAAAAGACCCGCCGATCAAAAGGAGAGCTTCTCCAAAGAGGTCACGGGAGGCAAAGGTAAGTGAATTACTGGCGCTTCCTCCTCCAAGGATTCCTTTCGGAGCTGATGGGCGAACTTCTGCAGGGCCCGCTTCTGCTTCCGAATCTTCTCTGCTCCTGCGTTTCATTAACGAGCTTCATTAATCCATTACCACTCCAAAAAATACCTCCGAGTTGTTGCTGCCTATTGTCCAAAGGTCCAGGGCAACTAATAGTTTCCAGTGCTCGTCTGCCCACCCCAAACTGATGTCAAAATCGGAGAAATTCCGAAATTGCCCATTTCCCTTGTCGTCTCCCTTTAAACGGGTACCCGAACAAAAAGACACACATCCGATGGATGCTCCTGTCTTAGTGACATTCAGCAGGGCCTTGGCCCTTGACGGACTGGCAGTCACCGGGTCCTCCATGGCATTGGCAACAGATCAACAGGGCCCCACCCTTAAAGAAGGTTGACCATCCCAACGACGAACACAAGGTTGAAACGACTGTGGTTCAAACATGTGTGTGTGTGTCTAAATAGGGAAGCACCCGAGGGTTCATGCGCACACTTGAGGGGGGCCAAACTTTGAACTTCATGGCCACGCGTGCCATTGTCAAAACTCCTTCTTTGACCTCTGGCCACGGTTCCCTTAAAAGGAATCATTATAACCAGGACCTCTTGCGCTCGCATCAAGTCATGTTAGGGGTTCTTACAGACCTTCACAAACAAATAACTAGACCACGGTTGGCCCGAAAGCATAACATCGCAAGCGAGGTCGGCCCAACGCTGCAGGATGCGTTCTTTTTCCCTCCACGAAGCATTTGTGAAGCAAGCGCGAGACAGCACCAGGCAAGGTGCTCTGCGCAAACTGGTCGGTGCAAGTTGGTCTGCGCAAGTTGCTCCGCGCAAGTTGCTCCGGCAAGTTGGTCCCTGCAAGTGGCTCCCTGCACAAGTTGCTCTGTGCAAATTGCGCTCCCTGCAAGTTGCTCTGTGCAAGCTGCTCTGTGCAAGTTGCTCTGTGCAAGTTGCTCTGCGCAAGTTGCTTTAAAATGCAAGTTGCATCTTGCGACGCCCGCCCGCGGACCAGGGAGGAATCGAACCCGCGACCCGCCGGCCCGGGAGCAGGCGCGCGAACCACGAGACAACTCCCGAGGACCAGCTCGAACAACAAAAGACGCAAAAAACCTTGAGTTTTTGCACCTCGACCACGCCGATCCCGCAGAGGGTTCAAAACCGCAGAGGGTTGCGCGCAGAAATCGCAAAAAACCTCGAGCACCTCGACCACGCCGATCCCCGCAGAGGGTCGGGAACTTTAGAAATCGCAAAAAACCATGGGTTTTTGCACCTCGACCACGCCGATCCCCGCAGAGGGTCGCGCGAGCACCGCAGAAATCGCAAAAAACCATGGGTTTTTGCACCTCGACCACGCCGATCCCCGCAGAGGGTCGATTTTCGTGTAGTGTCGTCGGCACTACCCCGCCGCCCTAAGAAGAGATTTTAACTCCTCGCAAGTCATTGCACTTGACTCCTTGCACTTGCAACTTGCACTTGCCTCCTTGCACTTGCACTTGACTCCATGCACTTGCAACTTGCACCTGACTTGCACTGACTTGCACTCTACTCCTTGCACTTGCAACTTGCACTTGACTCCATGCGCAGCTCGCAACGACTCTCATGACTCCTTGCAATTGCAATGACTCCTTGCAATGACTCCTTGCAATGACTCCTTGCAATGACTCCTTGCAATGACTCCTTGCAATGATGCAATGACTCCTTGCAATGACTCCTTGCAATGACTCCTTGCAATGACTCCTTGCAATGACTCCTAGCAATGACTCCTTGCAATGACTCCTTGGCTCCTTGCAATGACTCCTTGCAATGACTCCTTGCAATGACTCCTTGCAATGACTCCTTGCAATGACTCCTTGCAATGACTCCTTGCAATGACTCCTTGCAATGACTCCTTGCAATGACTCCTTGCATTGACTTTCATGATGATGATTCCTTGCAATGACACCTTGTAATGACTCTCATGAGAACAACTCAAGTGAACCCAGCGGAAGAACCCTTCGCCATGCTTTCGGGAAAAAAGAATCGTTATAAGGAATAATAGCCTGCCATGACCATCCCTTGCGCCAACTAAAAACATGCCGTGAGCCAACCATGAAGGAGACTGGCGCCCTCCAGTCACGCCAGCCCCCAGGCGCTTCCGTGGCCGGAGCTCCGCTTGCTCCATGTTCTTCACCTCGTCACTCGCCCCACGACCACCTGGCTTGTCGGGCACGCCAGCCTCTCCCAGGTGTCCTCCGGCTGCTGAAAGGGGATCCGGCGTGCCCAGGTTGAGATTGATGCACTCCCGAAGCTCCAGTATGCGAGCTGGAAGCTTGGGGGGGGAAGTGCTCGCAGCACGCGCCTCCCATTCCTGGACCTGCAGCTGTTCTGAGGTCTTACTCACTGCCGTCACGCCCTCCTCCGTCAAGTAAGAGGAGCTCACCATCTCGAAGGAGCCCATGAGAAACCAAAAGGGCAGTTTCACAGTTTCAAGCAAAGAGCGACACTTTACCAAAATGGCACATGTATCATGCCATTTTGGCTCCTGTTGATGACAACTTTACATGACATACCAGTGGCACACTAGGCCCCAAAAGTATCCTTACAAACAGGCGCAGCATGCGGGACCTCGTTCGAATCCTGGCCTTTGAAGCTGACATGTTGGAATGGAGATGGTCGGAAAAACTGGCGCAAGCCACACGTCGCGAGTTTGGGGTTTGCTGTTTTTGCCTGAGAGGAAGTATTTGCTCTGGTCGCATCGCGTCCAGGCTGCCAAGCCCTTGCCAAACGGAGTGAGAGCTGATCACCGAAGTGCGATAGATGACGGTCACAAGCATACCAAGCATAGGCTTTCTCAGCCGTCTTGAGCCAGGTCCCACAGGCCTTCATGAGTTCATCCTTAAATTTGCAGGTCATAGAAGATGCTTCACACCATACATGATGCACCTGAAGCAGACGTTGTGCGACTTAGACCACGAAAAGTTCTGAACAGCTGGCTGGCTCCGGCAAGGCCATCTTTGCTCTGAGCGATCTGGCCATCTACCGAGTCTGGTCTGGCAAGGTGCATTCCACGCAAGGAAACGCACAACCCAGGAACGGACTTATCAAGTTGGTACTGATCCAGGGATATTATAGGTGTCCTGGGGAGCATCCAGAAACAATCATATGTCCGTGTTGCATCGTGAGCACGCCGTGGTTCCTGTCGGTCTAGGCTCCAACAAGATCCTGACCCATACAAGCGTCCCAGATGCCCTTCGTGAGACCCTGCGGTATACACCAAGCCGCCTCAAGGCATCTTGAGGGTCTTTCGACCGTGGCACATTTAGGTGGCTCGTCATTTCTAGGGCACCCCCCAAAATGGTTTCACTTTAAATCCCGCCAAGAAGGGGTTCCCCCGAAAAAGTGGACAGACCCATATGGCTGTGGGTCAAGAAACAAAGGTACCCAAAATGGAACCCTGGCAAGTGGAAACACGGACTAAAACCTGCGGTCCCCTAGTGGTTTAATTTTGACCCATACCCATATGTTACAGGCGCCGTCCTCCAGGAGGGGGTTGGAGGCGCTGCGCCGTAGTCGAGTCGACGGACTTGGATGCGATTGAAAATCCTCATCCGGCAACCTCAGCGAGAAGATCCCTACTGTGGGTGTGTCGCCTTTTCCGGGAATCCAAATTGATAGAGCATCAAAAGCAAAACCACCACAGCCCTTATACATGCGTTCTTTCTGGCGGCCCTGCTGGGGTTGATCTCTTTGTATGGTTGCCTCGCTTGTTGCTTGACTTCAAAAGAGCGCCAGCCTTCGTAGAAAGGGGAAACAGTGGCGCATGTCGGCGCCATTCCTTTTTAGTTGACGTTCAAGCGGAAACAAAGCAGCCACAAGGGTGCCACGCAACAGGGGCGACGGACTGATTAAATCGTCCAGACCCAGGTGTTCCAGGCCCACTCGGACCGTTGCCACATTTGTGGACTCCTGTTCCGCCCTGGCGACTTTCCAAGCCGTCCGCCAAGGTGAGCGAGCAATGCGGCAGAAAGCATTGCTCACCGTCTTGGTGTACAACTTGTTTCTCAGAAGCTCCTTGACCCGCTCCGCATCTTGTCTCTCCTGCTTGGCGCTCCAAGGCTGCGACCACACCATGCCAGACGCGATCACGCGGATATTCTCCAGCATGAGTTGCATCTCTGAGGCCAAAGTGGCCAAAATCGGCCGGAACAACTCCGTGCGCAGCACCGGCTCTGCTTTCGCACTTGGCGTCAATGCCTTGAAGATCCTGGATCCTGCACGCAGGACCATGCGCTTCTGTGGCTTCTCCAAGATTTGAATGGCCCACTGTACTATCCGAAAGTGCCGCGCGATGATCCGGAGCCCTTTCTCCAAGTTCTTGAACAGATCTGTGGGAAAAGGGCGCCCATCAAAACTGGGCTCATCTGAAGCGTAGGTCAACAAGGCGACCAACTCGTCTAAGTCGTCGTAGATCCCGGCTTGCAGCTTCGCGGCCACATCGGCAGCATCATCCTCTTCACCTTTTTCAACATCATCCCTCTGCTGGTCTGCGGGATCCAGCACTTGGCCAATGAACGCAGAAACCCGCCCCACGCTGCGGAGCAACCTCTGCTTTGCCTGACGCCGAGCACTCGAGCCCAGCAGGAAGTCGACCTGGAAAGCTGTATGTGGCACGTGTTTTGAACGGAACCCGTATCCGCGGCCGGTTGTGCGGCCAAGGCCCTATGAACACACGCAAAACAAACACGGCGCACAGAAATTTAGTTGTCGGGAAACTTACCTTTATAGACTCAAAAAACACACACCCATACGGGCATGTATTTTAATTTGGGGACCCTTTATGGACATACGGCTGGGATTTCGCCAACCTCCCCCTTGTGAGGGATTCCCCACTACACTTTCCTGCCATATATGCTCGTCAAGTTGGTCATCTCTTCTTGGCGCGTTGCCTTTTGCGGTGGCTTTGAGGGAAAAGAAAACACACCCCATGTCAGAACCATGGCTTTGCCATCTTGGGAATCCCCTTTTGGTTGATTCAAAACGGAAAACCAAAGGGTCCCCCCAAATATATATATATACACACATATATGTTGATTCCTAAGGCCTCTTCCTGGGATTGCTTGGGATTCCTAGAAAATCCTGGCATCCCCTTCAAGATGCACCTACTTGACCCGGGGTCTCTGTCTTTGTGTGAGGTACCAACAGCAAGACCGCCACGCCGATGAAGGTGCCGGTAACCTTGGAGAACAAAAAGCTCCCGTCGGAGTCCGTGAGCTTCACCTGCCCAAAGCTGAAGCTTCTTTTTCCTGACGATTCCAAAGCAGCTGGGTGTGCCTCGGCTTGTTTGTTTTTTCTGACCAAGGAAAAACCAAAAAGGAAAGACAACCCTCCCCTTTTGCCTTTTTTGTGTATAGATTATTTCTTTGGGGGGGGTGGCCACAAACGAAACGAGACATGGGAAAAAAATGGAAGGCAGGCCCTGACCTCCCTCTCCCGGAACATGCCGTCCACAGGCATGGCCGTGGACATGGCGTAGGCGGCCGTCAAAAGAGCGACACCTCTCGGAAAATTTGGTGGGGGGAGGGGTCCCCAAAATGGAGGTCTGTCCACTTTGGGCCTTATGGCCAAGGAGAAAAGCGTCCAAATCCACATTTACCTTGTCGTGTGGGTGAGCTCTGGCCAGAGGGGAGTGTCCGTACGCTTTGGGCTGACATAAGCCAAGGTGAGTCAGAATCAAAACTCGGTAGCAGAATGTTCTACCCAGATCCATGTAAGGAGATAGAAAGACGGATAACCGCACCTATGCCTTGCTGGGACTAACCCTTATTCACATTCCTACCCGGGTTTTGATTATTCATGTGAAAAGAGTCCAATCCAAATTCACCCTGTTCGGCGGTGGGGTGGAAGACCAAAGGGAAGGCGCTGAGAGGCCAGAGGGTAGTCCCCCCCCCAATTGTTGGGGTGCAAAGGGAGACCAAGGAAGGGCTGGCTAAAAGGGAGACCAAAGGGAAACTTGGTATGTTTTGCAGGGAAAAGAAAGGAAAGCCAGCATGTTGGCGCCCACCCTTTGTTGATCCTTTTGCCAGACCTCCATGCTGCTTGGAGTGGAAAGCCAGAAAGATCAGCAAAGTCACAGTGACCAGCTGGAAGATTGCGAAGCAAGTCGCATGGCCAACTGTTTGCACGGCGAACAACCGCTGGGCCATGCTGCCCATGACGTTGCCCAAGACTACTCCGTTCAATCGTTTCAGCGTCAAAGGAATGCTGGAACCCGTATAGGTGTAGATAATCACGCTCACCACCACTGCAGGCTGGGAGGAGTAGGGCGCAATGACGTTCGAAACGCCCAGCCAGCCTATGATGAAGGTGAGGGTCAGAGAGATGGTGTGCCGCAGCACAAAGCGCGGGTGAGTGATGCTCCGCTCATAGAGCTTGAACTCCATATGGCTCTGCATGGAGGCAACGTAGCGCGCAATCCTTTGGCAGCAAGACCGACGTTGCTCCTGAGGTCGGTACATGGGCGTGCCCTTCTTGCAGCGTTTTTTTCTTGGGAAACCAAAGTGAACCACTCACATGGGGCGGGTCCGCTGATTTTGACACATACCCACGTATCAGACATATCACCTATTCACTCTTGTGGCATCTCGTGACCAACAAAAGGAGGACTTTAAGTATGGAAATGCTCCACATTGCGGCCAGTGTCTTCAGAGTCATACAGCGTCAGGGAAGATAGTGCTTCACAGGTATCCTGCAACACACCAGTCACTGCCAAGACGAAGACCAATCCGGGTGGCAGCAGCAGATTTTCTGCGCGTTGTCCTTTCTCAAACTCCCCGGAAAGCTGCTCTCGCAGCGCCTCAAACCACGGAGCATGCATTCGTTCGGGAACCCTGGATGCATCGTGTGGGAAAGCACCCCCTCAACTCTTGTGGAGTCCCTATCTTTGTTTGGTTATGGGGGGGGGGTCCTATAAAAACACTCCCTAAGGCTCCCTAAAGTCCAAACCTTGTACCTACCCCCCTATAAAATTCCACGAAATTGCCTTTTCCAATGTCCAAAACCCCAACGTTCGGTAACCAAAGACTCAGTTCGCCCAGTGGAGGGGATCCGAGCAAAGCCGACCCTCGGGTTTGCCCACATTTAGGCCGATTTCGGGAGCCTCAAAATGCAGAATTGGCGGGTGGGTGGGGGGGGGGTTCGCCCTTTCTCGGGAAACCCCCGGCAGATGTCTCCGCGATTAAAAAAAGGAGAAGAAGGAAAAAAAACACGGCCTGACGCTTCTCCAACAAGACGTGCACCACCGGCTTCACTTCATCCGGCGTCTTCACCGCCAGAAGCGCCCGCAAGGTGCTCGCCAGAAGCACGCACTCGTGCCGAAGCGAAGGCAGCAGGGCCGCCAGCTGCTCGGACTCCTGGAAGACATGGCTGTGGGTCAAAAATGCGTACCCAAAATGGAACTCTGGTGAATAACCCAGGACTAAAACCTGCGGTCACCTGGTGGTTTAATTTTGACCCACACCCGCATGGGGAATTCTGGGAGTTTCGACTTAAGCCTTCCACCAACTAACATGGGTTAGTGCAAAACGGCCCTTTCCAAGAGAAAAGTCGTCTTTCAACAGGCGTCTGTGCACTTCCATGTTAGCTGGGGGGTGGGAGGGTGAGCTGCCCGCTTCCCTTAAAACGATGAACGAAAGACAGGGAAATAGAAAAAGTTCCAACGTTCAAACTTTCTGGGCGGCCAGAATGACAAAGAAACCTAGCAAGAAGCTCAAAGTTTAGCAACTCAATGTCTCCATCTTGCAATGTTGAAAAAGATCCGACACCTGAAGAAATTGGGATCCCAAGTAAAGGACCTACAGCATGGGCATGTTAATTCGGAGAATCCTGTTGAGGTGCCTCCAACTGACATCATAGCCTACGCCCTTTTTTATCCCCTTTCCCCCCCCCCCTCCTCTCTTTTTGCACCTTTTTGACTCCCCGGTTACCGATTCTACCCTTGCCTACCCCCATTCCGGTTTGCCTTGCTAGGTCGCAAACGCAAACTCGCAACGATTCGACGAGCGCTCGCACCTTCAGCGGCAAAGCAGCAGCGGCACAAAGCACCGCATCGCAGTTCCGGATCGAGGCCTCCGGTGGATTGCTGTGAGAAAACGCCATGGCTATGTCACTCATACGCTGAAAAGCTATGGAGGCTTCTTCCCCCCCCAAAAAAAAGAAAGAAAGACAGAAAGAAAGAAAGAAAGGAGATCATGGTGTGTGTGTGTGTGTGTGTTTTGGATGGCCATGATGTGGGTCTTCGAGCCTGTTTTGTCTTATTTATGTGTTTTGTTTTTCTTTTGGGGGGGGATGTTGGTTGCCACTTTTGGGCCACTTCCCGAACAACTGGGTATGTCTTAAGAGGGGAACCCGTCAGTTGCTGGGCGTCCTGTTGGTTTCCCTAAGCCAACCAAAAAGGGGAACCGGCTCTTCCTAACGCGCCGACAGGAATCGGGACCCACCCCATCATGGTTTACACCATGAGCCTCGGTCTGTGTCTGCGGTAGCACATGGGTCAACCCTTTTTGGATGGAGGGAAAACAAAAGGAAACACCTGGTCACCCAGGTCCTAATTTGAGAAACCTGGCTTCGGCTTTCCTTTTGGTTTCCCTTTGAAACCCGCCAAAAAAAGGGGTACCTTCAAAAAAAGGCCGACCCAAATGGGTGTGTCAGTTTTGGGTGGGTGGTGGAAATGGAAGCCTTTTAAGGAGAGTGCTTCCGCCAACGGCGCCAACGCCTGCCTTCAGTACCTCGGCATAGCTCTGCAGCCAGCGCCGGTACCTGGCGCGCCTTTGCAAAATCCCGAAGTCCTCGAACCACATCATAGCCAAGTGGAAGTCCAGGTCCTGCGGCGTTGAACATTTTTTGGATACCTTTGAAAGGGGCCCAAAAAGGGGGGTCTATTTCAAGACACAGCCGATTGGAACGCAAAAATCCCTGTTACTACATGTTGACATATGTGGGAAATGCCCCTGGCCATTCATGGGCGTGTGGTTTTGTGTGGGAACCCTTTTCACCTGGAAACCAAAGGGAAAACCGAGGTCATGTTGGAGGCCATCCTTGCACAGCATCCTTATATGGAAAAAAACGTCTTTTGGGTTTAGTCATCCCGGTTACTTGCCCAAAAGGAAACTGTGCCATCTGCTGTACCCTTCTCTGCGCTACCAAAGTGGGCTGGTTTTTCCCGGAGGCAGCCTACAACCAAACTCAGCACCATGCTGTGCAAACCCACTTAGTTGATGCCGTTCCGGCTTAGTTGCCTTGCCATGGTTACCCACACATGCGTGTGGCTCAAAAATGTGGATCCAAAATTGAACCCTGGTTTTTGGAAAGGTAGACTCAAACTTGCGTGCCCCCAGCTGTTTAATTTTAAGCCACACCCACATGGCTCTGTTCTGTTGGGGTCCCGACCCCCCCCCCCCTTAAAAGAAAAAAGGTGTTTGTCCCCCGGGGTTCCCCCCCGCCTTCATGAGGGTCGCCATCTCCTCCACGGCCGCCTGCGCCTTGGCCCTGCACAGCTCCGAGGGCGTCAGCGGCAGCGCCTCCAGCAGCATCGCCACCGCGGAGCCCGTGGTCTCCAGCAACGCGCGCGCGCGGGCGCGGGACGTGATCGGGGCGGGGAAGAGGAAGCAGATCCAAAGCGCCAAAGAGGAGCACACCACCTCGGGTGGCGTTTTTTTCTGCTCCCCTGCTAAATGTTTTTAGCTTTGGGTGGTTTAATACGGAAAATGCTAAAGGTTGAAAACTTTTGGTGGTTTAATACGGAAAACCCCATGAGTTGGCAAAAAGTGAAAGTCCGAAGATCCAAGCAAAATGCGCCAAAGCCACGATGCCCAGGTAATTCGTCGCAAGTGACGGGGAGATGTCGAAGGATCCCGTGACGGGATTCAAGAAGGTCATGGCAAAGTAGACATGGGTGGAGATGCTGAAGGTTCGAACATTCCTCGGCCCAAATCTGGGGCACACCAAAATTCATACGTGTTTGTTCTTACTTTTGTCAGGAGACCGGCTAGATGGACTTGTGGTGAAACATGTCGTAAATCCGGCTCTAAACGCAAGTCAAGTCCCCGATCGGCGGTTTCCCATGGTTTCAAAGGTGGGGCGCAATGGATTTCGTCCATCTACAGTAAGTTCCAGGGTTGCGGCAAATGAGGATCACAAAATTAATCGTCTTTGGTTTCGTTTTCAACAGTCGCCTCAACTCTGAACCCCTGGGAATAAAGCAACCATGACATGGGTATCTCTATTTAAAGTACCCCCAACCTTGCTTCTTTCCCTTGGGTGTCCCTTCAAACCCACCAAAGAACAAACGGAAGTAAAACAACACATCCATCAAACTTGACGTTGGGAGGGGAGCAAAATTTAAAACTTCAGCAGTTGAGTGGGGATTTCAACCACTAAACCATGCAAGGTGTGTTCCCTTGTTTCTTTCCCTTCAAACGCACAAAAGAACACACGGAAGTAAGAAACACTAACCCATCAAGCTGCCTTGTTTCTTTCCCTGGGGTTTCCCTTGAAACCCACAACAGAACGAACATGCCAGGTTTTCGTTCCCTTGCTTATAAGAAACACGAGCCCAGCCGCGTGTTGAAGCCCAGGAAGAGGATCAGAAACACGAAGATCACGAAGTCCAGCAGCACCACCGCGGCCTTGCCGAACTGGGCCTCGTGGCCCAGATCCGCGTTGACGTTCAGGATGCAGTTGTTGTAGCTCAGGTCCTGGCCGAGTTGCCGAAGGACCCCGTGACTCAAAACTCAAGGACATGGAGATGCTGAGGCTTCGAACATTCGGCCCAAATCTGGGGAACAAGACAAAACATCATACGGGTGTGGGTCAAAATGAAACCAGGAATCGGACCGCAGGTGTTAGTCCTTGCTTCCATCTACCAAGGTTCCAACCTAATTTTGACCCACAGCCACATCTTGGGAAAACCGCTTTTTCGAAGGTCGAAGCTCGGAAAAGGAAACGACACCAAGAGAAACACGATGGGGGGTGGTCACCAAGAGAAACACGATGGTGGGTGGGCATAGGTTGCTGTATGTTTGGTTGATTTTTGTCGTTTCAGATTGTCTTCTGTTCTTTTCTATCTTTCTTCTTATTTTCCTTTTTTTTTAGGGGGGGAGGAAATAGGGATGAAGAAACAAGTGTAAGGCGGCACTTGCCCAGAGAAAAGGGAAAACGTCGGCTGAGCCGGAAAAATATAATGAAACAACACGAAAGCAACGAAAACATATGTGACGGGTCGCCAAAACTGGCCCTTGTTGAGATCTTCTTTTGAAAAAGAACAAAGAGGGTACTTGGCCAGGGACACCAAAAGGAAAACCGCAATTTTGCTGGTCTAGATCCCCGTTTTCTGCACGTACGTACCCATGGGAGCCAAAATCAAGACATGGCACTGCCAAACCCAATGGGTTCGGTCCCAAACGATTTGAATCCCACCGACACACCTGGAGTCCACCTGGTCTCGTTAGAAACCAACGGTTTCGCCCTTCCCATCCTTGCCATTTCCACACAGCGGAAACCACTTGGAGGTGACCACCAGGGACTGCGTGGTGTTGTCGAAAAACTCGATGCGGTCCGTATAGGCGCCCCCCGACATCCAGTCCCCGGTGACGTTGTTCAGCAACAGCCTCGGCTTCTCGTGGCGAAGGATCGATTTGGCTGCGGCTCAAAAGAACCGGTACCAAAATGGAACCCTGGTAAGTGCAAACATGGACCAAAACCTGCGTAACCCCTCCTGTTGAATTTTGAGCCACCCCCATTTGTTTTCTGACCGGAAGTAAAACTCCTGGGGACCCTTGGGGACTCTTCTGAGCCTCTTCTGAGCACTCTAGACTCTTCTGAGCAAGTCTTTATCCCCGGACTTTCTCCAGGGACAGAGACTCCTGAGCAATCTTGGGGAGCTTTACAGCGCTTGAAAGCTTTTCAAAAACAGCCCAAACATTTGCTCAAAAATTGAACCCCTCTAAAAAAAAACACATCATGTGCAAGTGTCACTTTCCATGTGTGTGGAGTGTAGGACAATATCAGTGTGGGTGTGGGTGTGGGTGTGTGCTTGTGCGATGTGCATTATAGATAGACAGGTAGATAGACAGGTGGATAGACAGGTAGATAGATAGATAGATAGATGGATAGATAGATAGATAGATAGATTAGATTAGAGTAGATGAGATTGGATTAGATTAGATTGGATTAGATTAAATAGATGGATAGATGGATAGATAAGATAGATAAGATAGGTAAGATAAATAAGATAAATAAGATAGAGAAGATAGAGAAGATAAATAGATAGACAGATAGATAAATAGATAGATAGATAGATCGATAGATAGATAGGTAGGGATAGGATAGGATAGGATAGGATAGGATGGGATAGGATAGGATAGGATAGGATAGGATAGGATAGGATAGGATAGGATAGGATAGGATAGATAGGATAGATAGGATAGATAGGATAGGATAGGATAGATAGGATAGATAGGATAGATAGGATAGATAGGATAGATAGGATAGATAGGATAGATAGGATAGATAGGATAGATAGGATAGATAGGATAGATAGGATAGATAGGATAGATAGGATAGATAGGATAGATAGGATAGATAGATAGATAGATAGATAGGATAGATAGGGATAGATAGGATAGATAGGATAGATAGGATAGATAGGATAGATAGGATAGATAGGATAGATAGGATAGATAGATAGATAGATAGGATAGATAGGATAGATAGGATAGATAGGATAGATAGGATAGATAGGATAGATAGGATAGATAGGATAGATAGATAGATAGATAGATAGATAGATAGATAGATAGATAGATAGATAGATAGATAGATAGATAGATAGATAGATAGATAGATAGATAGATAGATAGATAGATAGATAGATAGATAGATAGATAGATAGATAGATAGATAGATAGATAGATAGATAGATAGATAGATAGATAGATAGATAGATAGATAGATAGATAGATAGATAGATAGATAGATAGATAGATAGATAGATAGATAGATAGATAGATAGATTAGATAGATAGATAGATAGATAGATAGATAGATAGATAGATAGATAGATAGATAGATAGATAGATAGATCGATAGATAGATAGATAGATATATAGATAAAGATAGATAAGGTAGATAAGGTAGATAAGGTAGATAAGGTAGATAAGGTAGATAAGATAGATAAGATAGATAAGATAGATAAGATAGATAAGATAGATAAGATAGATAAGATAGATAAGATAGATAAGATAGATAAGATAAGGTAAGATAATATAAGAAGATAAGAAAGAAAGAAAGAAAGAAAGAAAGAAAGAAATAAAGAAAGAAAGAACGAAAGAAAGAAAGAAAGAAAGAAAGAAAGAAATAAAGAAATAAAGAATGAAGGAAAGAATGAAGGAAATAATGAAGGAAAGAAAATAGATAGATATATCAGATAGATAGATAGATAGATAGATAGATAGATTCATACAGAGATTCATGTGTGCGTGTCACACCACTACCAGCTTTAACTACTTCAACTTGTGCGGACCAGAAGAAGCGCCGTGGGGTTGCTTTGGGTGGGTGTAGGGTGGGTTTAAGTGTAGCTCAATGTTGGTTTAGTTGTACAAATATGTATGTTATATATATATATCTATGTGTATATATATATATATATGTACTGTGTCTGTATGTATGTATGTTTGTGCGTGGTAGAGAGATAACACAATATTCGAACAAATGCTGCTGCTGCAAAATGTAGATCTTCTCCCAAAGGTAGGTCAAAGATCCCAGCGTCAAAACAAGAGAGAGACACCGGTCGCCGAGCCGCATATTGGCCCAGGCCAGAACGGTCCCCAGCAAACCGTCCAAACCGTACTTCACCGAGGCGCCCAAGGTGGGGCCCACGCAAAAGAGGAACTGAAGCAGCATGGAGCCCCAGTATCCTCCAAAAGAAATGACTAGAATCCCTGGATCCCCATGACTGGATGCCATGTGGTATGTGGCCCATAGCTGAAGCGAGCTGGCAAACATGCGGGAATCCCCCAGACCGGATCCCGAAGGTTGGATCGGTCAAAAGAAATGGCTGTGGGTCAAAGTGGTACCCAAAATGGAACCCTGGTAAGAGGAAATATGGACTAGAACCTGCGGTCACCTGGTGGTTTAATTTTGACCCAAAAATGGGTGGAAACTAAACCACCGGGAATCGCACCGCCTGTTTTAGTCATGGGTTCCATTCGCCAGGGCAAGCCATTTTGGGCACAAATGTTTGAGCCACAGCCAAATGACTGGAATCCCCCAGACTGGATACCGAAGGTTGGATCCCATGACTAGATGCCATGTGGTATATGGCCCATAGCAGCTATCTGGAAAGCAAAATGCGGGGCAATTTCTGCAGAGTTCACCTGAGTCATAATCAAAACCTGCCATGTAAAGAATTAAGAAGGCGGCCGCAGCTATTTCTGGTTAGGATTGTCCCTTACTAACCTTCATCTACCCGGGTTTTGGTCGTGGCTCACCAGGTTTTAATCAAATTCATGGGGCTTTTGCCTCCGAAAGCAGAGGTCAACGATTCCCGATTTGCCCACCCCAGTTTGAGTCCCACGATTTGCCCACCTCCCCCACTTTGAGTCCGAACTGTGCTTCTTCCCAGTTACCACCTCCGGGCCGACCCCTGTCCTAGGTACTCATTCTCCATCTTCCCGGTTTCCTGGAGCCAGGCCGCCACCGGCCACGCGATGATGGGCAGCGACAAGAGCACCGTCCACCAACCCACGCGGAAGGCAGCGTGCAAGTTGGCACGAAACTGCTGCTGGGCGTGCGTGTCCGCAGTCTGCCCCTGAGCTTCGGAGGCTTCAAGGAACCTTGAGCGGGCCCAGTGGCCTTACCCATATTCTTTTCCCCACAAAGTCCGCCCCCCCAACCCCCCCCCCACCGGGTTTATCTCACTTGCTCGTTCCTCACAAGGGCACCCAAAGTATGTCCATGCCTTGGTGTAGGTGTCCAAGGCAGACAAGGCCTCACCATACTCCAAAGAGGTCTCTTCTGGCTTCACAGCTTGAATTATCTCAAGCGCCGTTGCAATCGGCACCTCCAGCGACTCCTCAGATGTCCGCGCGGCAAAAATCGAAAAAGGCCTTGGCCGCAGCATGGCAAGCTGTTGCTTGATCTTTCACAAGGCAAAAAGAAGAACCGAAAGGACAAGGGTGCCATACATGTGGGTATCTCTGGAGAGCGCCATCGGACTCGGACTCGGACCTTTCTCGAGCTCTGCGCCTTTGCCATCGACTTCCTCCGACTCCAAAGGGTCCAAAGGCTCCAAAGGCTCCAACGGGGCCACGGAGAGGAAGCCAGGGTCTGTGTTGGACCGGAGGATCACTGGGCCCTCACCGTCAAAGTGGACAGTGGGCAGAGCTAGCAAAGGGAGAGCCGGGCTCTGGACTCGTGCATCTATGGTGCCAGTAGGAGGGGGGCGCTCGTCATGCTGCTCCTCATCCTGCACTTTGGCATTCAAATCGAATTCAGAAGGCTCCTCTGCCTCTTGAAGCATGGCGAAGCTATTTGCTTCAGGTGTATTTGCGTGCCTCACGCAGTTGGGCCTAAAACAATCCGGGCCAGGAGAAATTCACGGAAAGCAATTCTGGGGTCAAGCTGGAGCAAACACATGAAATGAACAGCGCCCAAAAGTGACTTCATACTCAGAAAGATATATTTACGTCGGCCTTACTGCAACCCCAATTGATAGAGGTAGTCATCTACCAAAATGGCTAATGAGTTTGGGCGCTGCTCAAAACACATACACACACACACCTCCCTCACCAACGTGGATGCGTGGACTGTATGTGGGTGTGTCTGTTTTTGAGGGTACCCCGAAAAATTGCTATTGTCCTTTTGGTGTCTCTTCAAAACCACCAAAACCCGGTGCCCACAAAAAAAAGACACACCCCGTCTTTTTCAAACGCGTATTGTGCGGAAACGGCTTCGGCCTGTCAAAACCGCTCATGCCAGCCTTTTCCATGTGGGCCCCAAGCGGGCACCACAATTGGATGGAGAGTTCTCTGGAGCTGCTCAGCTCTATTCTGGTCACTTACATCCAGGGCAACAAGGGGAGCCTAAGGTTTACTTGCACAGCTAATCTAATATCTACAACAGTGAATCTCAATGGAGGTGTCATGAAGCATCTGCAGCCCAGATCCCTCCGATTTCTAGTACGCTGTCCCACCTCACTTTCGAGGATCCTTGGCATGGCAATTCACGCGCCAACAGGGCTCCCGAAACTCCAAACCAAGCTGCGGATCACAAGGCACAGCGGATCATGGATGTCTTAGGTGTTTGGTTTCGTGGCATAGCTCAATCATTCTTTGCAGTGTCTGTACCCAAACCCTGCCGGCTTATGCCAGCGGACCGAGAACCGTGCCCGCGAAAGTGCAAGTGTTACCCTCGAATGGCTGGACATTTACAGTACGTTTTTCTCAGGACTAAATGAGCAACATCCGCAACAGGTTATCCCCCTGTCTTGTTCCCTTGAGGGTTAGGACCCCCATTTTATTGAAATGAAACAGGCGGGCTAACCTTGTTTCCAGAATAAAATGGGGGTACTAACCCTCACAAAGTTACAGAGTAGGGGACCCGCGATAAGTAGGTTCACAATAATACCAATAACCATCCGAAATTCGAAGCGGCGGAACATGTGTAAGTGGATGGGCGGTCGCTTCCACATGGGCTGTATTGTCTTGCATGAGGAGACATTCTGTGTTTTCTGTGCGGCGTGTGTGTATGTGTGTGTGTGTGAGCGTTGTGTGTATGTGTGTGTGTGTGTGTGTGTGTGCATGAGCATGCGTGCCTGAGGGCGATGCCTGCGGCCAACCCATGTGTGTTTGTGTACGTGTGTGTGTGTGTGGGCGCCAAGCTGTATGTCCAGGGTGTATGAAAACCATCCCCCCTCCACAAACGGACAACTGCGACACATCGGCTGGTCAAAACAGTCCTAACCAAGAGAGTCGCCCTTTTGCGGGCACGGTTTGCGGTCCGTCAGCAAAAACATGGTGATAGTCGCATGTACAGGCCAAGACGAACCAATGAATCTTCCGAGCTTGGATCGACGAGAGATGCATCTTCGCGGCACACGCAGCTGCTGAAGACAAGCTGCGACTCTTACACGATCAGCTCCCTAGCCTGCCAGCTTGACGCCCAAGCAAACACGCAGACACAAACGCAGACACTGAGACATTCACGACACAGGTTCACAGAGACACAGATCTAGGGGTAGCTTCCCCATTCTTTCCAGGGATCCTTCTTTCTGGCAAACCCTGGAAAAATGGCTGGTTGTTGAAAAGAACAATGGCTGAAAAGAATGGGAAATCAACTGCTAAAGACACACACACACACACACAAACAAACAAACAAACAAAAAAACAAACCCAACTTGAGAGCGTTGAGCATCCTCGCCTCGGGAAGAAGCTGCAGCCCGGCTGCAGCCGAGGCAGAACTCGCGTAGGTGCACAAGCCCGTGCCCATGATCTTCTGGCAGGAGCCAGTGCCTAGCAACAGCCAAGCTACAGCGTCTCATGCGATTGCAACAAGTCTCCACATTCCTGCCATTCACATCACCAATACCGGAACTAAAGCAAAGACATGCAAATACAATGTGTCGGAACAGCTGGTCTGTCCCCATTGCACACTTGCTTAGTCCCTCAAGCGACCCCAGACGAATATGTGATGGAGCCACAAATGGGTAATCATGAACATGCATGAATGCAACTCAGCCACCGCAGTCGGAGTCCGACTCGCACACGAGAGCGCAGTACTTGTCGCCCGTGGTGGTGCGCAGGGCGCACTCAGGAGTGGCCTTGTCGCCCGTTGGCACGTCGCTAGGGCAGCTTCCCTGGCTGTCGCACTTGGGACTGCAGAAGTCTCCAGACAGGCCCTGCACCCGCACAGCTTGCTCGTCCGTCTCGCAGCCCGTCTTCGGGTCCCCGTAGTGAGTCGGGTTGGCGAGCGCTGCCACCTGTGCATATATAATTGACTCTCAAGCCCCCAACGCGCTGCACTATGTTATCCCATAAACAAGTCGTTCGTCAAAATCAATATTTGACCTTGCCTGGGTGAGAGTAGCCATGCTGCTCAGGGCAGACGCGTCATAGGTGCACAAGCCCGTGCCCATGATCTTCTGGCAGGAGCCAGTGCCTAGCAACAGCCAAGCTACAGCGTCTCATGCGATTGCAACAAGTCTCCACATTCCTGCCATTCACATCACCAATACCGGAACTAAAGCAAAGACATGCAAATACAATGTGTCGGAACAGCTGGTCTGTCCCCATTGCACACTTGCTTAGTCCCTCAAGCGACCCCAGACGAATATGTGATGGAGCCACAAATGGGTAATCATGAACATGCATGAATGCAACTCAGCCACCGCAGTCGGAGTCTGACTCGCACACGAGAGCGCAGTACTTGTCGCCCGTGGTGGTGCGCAGGGCGCACTCAGGAGTGGCCTTGTCGCCCGTTGGCACGTCGCTGGGGCAGCTTCCCTGGCTGTCGCACTTGGGACTGCAGAAGTCTCCAGACAGGCCCTGCACACGCACAGCTTGCTCGTCCGTCTCGCAGCCCGTCTTCGGGTCCCCGTAGTGAGTCGGGTTGGCGAGCGCTGCCACCTGTGCATGCTTGACTCTCAAGCCCCCAACGCACTGCACTATGCGCCCCTACAATCCAGTCGATCGTCAAAATCAACATTTGACCTTGCCTGGGTGAGAGTAGCCATGCTGCTCAGGGCAGACGCGTCATAGGTGCACAAGCCCGTGCCCATGATCTTCTGGCAGGAGCCAGTGCCTAGCAACAGCCAAAGCTACAGCGTCTCATGCGATTGCAACAAGTCTCCACATTCCTGCCATCCAACAGACATCTGGAATGTCAGAACAGCTGGTGTGTCCCCATTGCGCACCGCTCGGCCGACCCCAAACAAATGTGTGATGAAGGAACAAATGGGTAACCATGAACATGCGTGAATGCAACTCAGCCACCGCAGTCGGAGTCCGACTCGCACACGAGAGCGCAGTACTTGTCGCCCGTGGTGGTGCGCAGGGCGCACTCAGGAGTGGCCTTGTCGCCCGTTGGCACGTCGCTAGGGCAGCTTCCCTGGCTGTCGCACTTGGGACTGCAGAAGTCTCCAGACAGGCCCTGCACCCGCACAGCTTGCTCGTCCGTCTCGCAGCCCGTCTTCGGGTCCCCGTAGTGAGTCGGGTTGGCGAGCGCTGCCACCTGTGCATAATTGACTCTCAAGCCCCCAACGCGCTGCACTATGTTATCCCATAAACAAGGCGTTCGTCAAAATCAATATTTGACCTTGCCTGGGTGAGAGTAGCCATGCTGCTCAGGGCAGACGCGTCATAGGTGCACAAGCCCGTGCCCATGATCTTCTGGCAGGAGCCAGTGCCTAGCAAAAGCCAAGCTACAGCGTCTCATGCGATTGCAACAAGTCTCCACATTCCTGACATTAACATTGCCAACATCATCTGGAACTAATGCAAAGACAATGTGTCGGAACAGCTGGTCTGTCCCCATTGCACACTTGCTTAGTCCCTCGAGCGACCCCAGACGAATATGTGATGGAGCCACAAATGGGTATTCATAACATGCATGAATGCAACTCAGCCACCGCAGTCGGAGTCCGACTCGCACACGAGAGCGCAGTACTTGTCGCCCGTGGTGGTGCGCAGGGCGCACTCAGGAGTGGCCTTGTCGCCCGTTGGCACGTCGCTGGGGCAGCTTCCCTGGCTGTCGCACTTGGGACTGCAGAAGTCTCCAGACAGGCCCTGCACCCGCACAGCTTGCTCGTCCGTCTCGCAGCCCGTCTTCGGGTCCCCGTAGTGAGTTGGGTTGGCGAGCGCTGCCACCTGTGCATGATTGACTCTCAAGCCCCCAACGCACTGCACTATGCGCCCCTACAATCCAGTCGATCGGCAAAATCAACAATGGACCTTGCCTGGGTGAGAGTAGCCATGCTGCTCAGGGCAGACGCGTCATAGGTGCACAAGCCCGTGCCCATGATCTTCTGGCAGGAGCCAGTGCCTAGCAACAGCCAAGCTACAGCGTCTCATGCGATTGCAACAAGTCTCCACATTCCTGACATTAACATCGCCAACAATCATCTGGAACTAATGCAAAGACAATGTGTCGGAACAGCTGGTCTTAGTCCCTCGGGCTCCCCGACAAATGTGTGATGGAGCCACAAATGGGTAATCATGAACATGCATGAATGCAACTCAGCCACCGCAGTCAGAGTCTGACTCGCACACGAGAGCGCAGTACTTGTCGCCCGTGGTGGTGCGCAGGGCGCACTCAGGAGTGGCCTTGTCGCCCGTTGGCACGTCGCTAGGGCAGCTTCCCTGGCTGTCGCACTTGGGACTGCAGAAGTCTCCAGACAGGCCCTGCACCCGCACAGCTTGCTCGTCCGTCTCGCAGCCCGTCTTCGGGTCCCCGTAGTGAGTCGGGTTGGCGAGCGCTGCCACCTGTGCATAATTGACTCTCAAGCCCCCAACGCGCTGCACTATGTTATCCCATAAACAAGTCGTTCGTCAAAATCAATATTTGACCTTGCCTGGGTGAGAGTAGCCATGCTGCTCAGGGCAGACGCGTCATAGGTGCACAAGCCCGTGCCCATGATCTTCTGGCAGGAGCCAGTGCCTAGCAACAGCCAAGCTACAGCGTCTCATGCGATTGCAACAAGTCTCCACATTCCTCACATTGACATTGACATTGCCGACAAACAACTGGAACTAATGCAAAGACAATGTGACAGAACAGTCTGTCCCTGTTGCACACCTGCTTAGTCCCTCGGCCGACCCCAAACAAATGTGTGATGGAGCCACAAATGGGTAATCATGAACATGCGTGAATGCAACTGAGCCACCACAGTCGGAGTCCGACTCGCACACGAGAGCGCAGTACTTGTCGCCCGTGGTGGTGCGCAGGGCGCACTCAGGAGTGGCCTTGTCGCCCGTTGGCACGTCGCTGGGGCAGCTTCCCTGGCTGTCGCACTTGGGACTGCAGAAGTCTCCAGACAGGCCCTGCACGCGCACAGCTTGCTCGTCCGTCTCGCAGCCCGTCTTCGGGTCACCGTAGTGAGTCGGGTTGGCGAGCGCTGCCACCTGTGCATGCTTGAATCTCAAGCCCCCAACGCACTGCACAATCTGCCCAAAATCAACATTGGACCTTGCCTGGGTGAGAGTAGCCACGCTGCTGAGGGCAGACGCGTCATAGGTGCACAAGCCCGTGCCCATGATCTTCTGGCAGGAGCCAGTGCCTAGCAAAGCAACAGCCAAGCTACAGCGTCTCATGCGGTTGCAACAGGTCATCACATTCCTGCCATCAAACAGAGATCCGGAACGAAACAATATGTCAGAGCAGCTGGTCTGTCCCCATTACGCACCTGCTTAGTCCCTCGAGCGACCCCAAACAAATGTGTGATGGAGCCACAAATGGGTAATCATGAACATGCGTGAATGCAACTCAGCCACCGCAGTCGGAGTCCGACTCGCACACGAGAGCGCAGTACTTGTCGCCCGTGGTGGTGCGCAGGGCGCACTCAGGAGTGGCCTTGTCGCCCGTTGGCACGTCGCTAGGGCAGCTTCCCTGGCTGTCGCACTTGGGACTGCAGAAGTCTCCAGACAGGCCCTGCACCCGCACAGCTTGCTCGTCCGTCTCGCAGCCCGTCTTCGGGTCCCCGTAGTGAGTCGGGTTGGCGAGCGCTGCCACCTGTGCATGATTGACTCTCAAGCCCCCAACGCACTGCACCATGCGCCCCCCCACAATCAAGTCGATCGTCAAAATCAACATTGGACCTTGCCTGGGTGAGAGTAGCCACGCTGCTGAGGGCAGACGCGTCATAGGTGCACAAGCCCGTGCCCATGATCTTCTGGCAGGAGCCAGTGCCTAGCAACAGCCAAGTCACAGCGTCTCAGAGGACTGCAACAAGTCTCCACAATTCTGCCATTCATATCACCAATACCGAAAGTAAAGCAAAGACATGCAAATACAATGTGTCAGAACAGCTGGTCTGTCCCCATTACGCACACCTTCTTAGTCCCTCGGCCGACCCCAAACAAATGTGTGATGAAGACACAAATGGATTTGTGGCAATCATGAACATGCATGAATGCAACTCAGCCACCGCAGTCGGAGTCCGACTCGCACACGAGAGCGCAGTACTTGTCGCCAGTGGTGGTGCGCAGGGCGCACTCAGGAGTGGCCTTGTCGCCCGTTGGCACGTCGCTGGGGCAGCTTCCCTGGCTGTCGCACTTGGGACTGCAGAAGTCTCCAGACAGGCCCTGCACGCGCACAGCTTGCTCGTCCGTCTCGCAGCCCGTCTTCGGGTCCCCGTAGTGAGTCGGGTTGGCGAGCGCTGCCACCTGTGCATGATTGACTCTCAAGCCCCCAACGCACTGCACAATCTGCCCCCAGAATCAAGGCGATCATCAAAAACAATATTGGACCTTGCCTGGGTGAGAGTAGCCATGCTGCTCAGGGCAGACGCGTCATAGGTGCACAAGCCCGTGCCCATGATCTTCTGGCAGGAGCCAGTGCCTAGTAACAGCAAAGCTACAGCGTCTCATGCGATTGCAAAAGGTCTCCACATTCCTTCCATCAAACAGACATCCAGAACGAAAGAGTGTGTCAGAGCAGCTGGTCTGTCCCCATTACGCACCTGCTTAGTCCCTCGGCCGACCCCAGAAAAATGTGGATGGAGCCACAAATGGGTATTCATGAACATGCATGAATGCAACTCAGCCACCGCAGTCGGAGTCCGACTCGCACACGAGAGCGCAGTACTTGTCGCCCGTGGTGGTGCGCAGGGCGCACTCAGGAGTGGCCTTGTCGCCCGTTGGCACGTCGCTGGGGCAGCTTCCCTGGCTGTCGCACTTGGGACTGCAGAAGTCTCCAGACAGGCCCTGCACGCGCACAGCTTGCTCGTCCGTCTCGCAACCCGTCTTCGGGTCCCCGTAGTGAGTCGGGTTGGCGAGCGCTGCCACCTGTGCATGCTTGAATCTCAAGCCCCCAACGCACTGCACAATCTGCCCAAAATCAACATTGGACCTTGCCTGGGTGAGAGTAGCCTCGCTGCTGAGGGCAGACGCGTCATAGGTGCACAAGCCCGTGCCCATGATCTTCTGGCAGGAGCCAGTGCCTAGCAACAGCCAAGCTACAGCGTCTCATGCGATTGCAACAAGTCTCCACATTCCTGACATTAACATCGCCAACAATCATCTGGAACCAATGCAAACACAATGTGTCGGAACAGCTGGTCTTAGTCCCTCGGGCTCCCCGACAAATGTGTGATGGAGCCACAAACGGGTAATCATGAACATGCATGAATGCAACTCAGCCACCGCAGTCAGAGTCTGACTCGCACACGAGAGCGCAGTACTTGTCGCCCGTGGTGGTGCGCAGGGCGCACTCAGGAGTGGCCTTGTCGCCCGTTGGCACGTCGCTAGGGCAGCTTCCCTGGCTGTCGCACTTGGGACTGCAGAAGTCTCCAGACAGGCCCTGCACCCGCACAGCTTGCTCGTCCGTCTCGCAGCCCGTCTTCGGGTCCCCGTAGTGAGTCGGGTTGGCGAGCGCTGCCACCTGTGCATGCTTGACTCGCAAGCGCCCAACGCACTGCACTATGTGCCCCCATAATCAAGTTGATCGTCAAAATCAATATTGGACCTTGCCTGGGTGAGAGAAGCCATGCTGCTGAAGGCAGACGCGTCATAGGTACACAAGCCCGTGCCCATGATCTTCTGGCAGGAGCCAGTGCCTAGCAACAGCCAAGCTACAGCGTCTCATGCGATTGCAACAAGTCTCCACATTCCTCACATTGACATTGCTATTGCCGACAAACAACTGGAACTAATGCAAAGACAATGTGACAGAACAGTCTGTCCCTGTTGCACACCTGCTTAGTCCCTCGGCCGACCCCAAACAAATGTGTGATGGAGCCACAAATGGGTAATCATGAACATGCGTGAATGCAACTGAGCCACCACAGTCGGAGTCCGACTCGCACACGAGAGCGCAGTACTTGTCGCCCGTGGTGGTGCGCAGGGCGCACTCAGGAGTGGCCTTGTCGCCCGTTGGCACGTCGCTGGGGCAGCTTCCCTGGCTGTCGCACTTGGGACTGCAGAAGTCTCCAGACAGGCCCTGCACGCGCACAGCTTGCTCGTCCGTCTCGCAGCCCGTCTTCGGGTCACCGTAGTGAGTCGGGTTGGCGAGCGCTGCCACCTGTGCATGCTTGAATCTCAAGCCCCCAACGCACTGCACAATCTGCCCAAAATCAACATTGGACCTTGCCTGGGTGAGAGTAGCCACGCTGCTGAGGGCAGACGCGTCATAGGTGCACAAGCCCGTGCCCATGATCTTCTGGCAGGAGCCAGTGCCTAGCAAAGCAACAGCCAAGCTACAGCGTCTCATGCGGTTGCAACAGGTCATCACATTCCTGCCATCAAACAGAGAGCCGGAACGAAACAATATGTCAGAGCAGCTGGTCTGTCCCCATTACGCACCTGCTTAGTCCCTCGAGCGACCCCAAACAAATGTGTGATGGAGCCACAAATGGGTAATCATGAACATGCGTGAATGCAACTCAGCCACCGCAGTCGGAGTCCGACTCGCACACGAGAGCGCAGTACTTGTCGCCCGTGGTGGTGCGCAGGGCGCACTCAGGAGTGGCCTTGTCGCCCGTTGGCACGTCGCTGGGGCAGCTTCCCTGGCTGTCGCACTTGGGACTGCAGAAGTCTCCAGACAGGCCCTGCACGCGCACAGCTTGCTCGTCCGTCTCGCAGCCCGTCTTCGGGTCCCCGTAGTGAGTCGGGTTGGCGAGTGCTGCCACCTGTGCCCGCTTGACTCTCAAGCCCCCAACGCACTGCACCATGCGCCCCCCCACAATCAAGTCGATCGTCAAAATCAACATTGGACCTTGCCTGGGTGAGAGTAGCCACGCTGCTGAGGGCAGACGCGTCATAGGTGCACAAGCCCGTGCCCATGATCTTCTGGCAGGAGCCAGTGCCTAGCAACAGCCAAGCTACAGCGTCTCATGCGGTTGCAACAGGTCATCACATTCCTGCCATCAAACAGAGATCCGGAACGAAAGAATGTGTCAGAGCAGCTGGTCTGTCCCCATTACGCACCTGCTTAGTCCCTCGGCCGACCCCAGAAAAATGTGGATGGAGCCACAAATGGATATTCATAACATGCATGAATGCAACTCAGCCACCGCAGTCGGAGTCCGACTCGCACACGAGAGCGCAGTACTTGTCGCCCGTGGTGGTGCGCAGGGCGCACTCAGGAGTGGCCTTGTCGCCCGTTGGCACGTCGCTAGGGCAGCTTCCCTGGCTGTCGCACTTGGGACTGCAGAAGTCTCCAGACAGGCCCTGCACGCGCACAGCTTGCTCGTCCGTCTCGCAGCCTGTCTTCGGGTCCCCGTAGTGAGTCGGGTTGGCGAGCGCCGCCACCTGTGCATGCTTGACACTCAATCCCCAACGCACTGCACCATGCGCCCCCCACAATCAAGTCGATCGTCAAAATCAACATTGGACCTTGCCTGGGTGAGAGTAGCCATGCTGCTCAGGGCAGACGTGTCATAGGTGCACAAGCCCGTGCCCATGATCTTCTGGCAGGAGCCAGTGCCTAGCAACAGCCAAGTCACAGCGTCTCAGAGGACTGCAACAAGTCTCCACAATTCTGCCATTCATATCACCAATACCGGAAGTAAAGCAAAGACATGCAAATACAATGTGTCAGAACAGCTGGTCTGTCCCCATTACGCACACCTTCTTAGTCCCTCGGCCGACCCCAAACAAATGTGTGATGAAGCCACAAATGGATTTGTGGCAACCATGAACATGCATGAATGCAACTCAGCCACCGCAGTCGGAGTCCGACTCGCACACGAGAGCGCAGTACTTGTCGCCCGTGGTGGTGCGCAGGGCGCACTCGGGAGTGGCCTTGTCGCCCGTTGGCACGTCGCTGGGGCAGCTTCCCTGGCTGTCGCACTTGGGACTGCAGAAGTCTCCAGACAGGCCCTGCACGCGCACAGCTTGCTCGTCCGTCTCGCAGCCCGTTTTCGGGTCCCCGTAGTGAGTCGGGTTGGCGAGCGCCGCCACCTGTGCATTCTTGACTCTCAAGCCATCGCACTGCACCATGCGCCCTCCACAATCAAGACGATCGTCAAAATCAACATTCGACCTTGCCTGGGTGAGAGTAGCCATGCTGCTGAGGGCAGACGCGTCATAGGTGCACAAGCCCGTGCCCATGATCTTCTGGCAGGAGCCACTGCCTAGCAACAGCCAAGCTACAGCGTCTCATGTAATTGCCCACATTCCCAATGTGTGATGGAGCCACAAATGGGTAATCATGAACATGCTTTGAATGCAACTCAGCCACCGCAGTCAGAATCTGACTCGCACACGAGAGCGCAGTACTTGTCGCCAGTGGTGGTGCGCAGGGCGCACTCAGGAGTGGCCTTGTCGCCCGTTGGCACGTCGCTGGGGCAGCTTCCCTGGCTGTCGCACTTGGGACTGCAGAAGTCTCCAGACAGGCCCTGCACCCGCACAGCTTGCTCGTCCGTCTCGCAGCCCGTCTTCGGGTCCCCGTAGTGAGTTGGGTTGGCGAGCGCTGCCACCTGTGCATTCTTGACTCTCAAGCTATCGCACTGCACACTGTGCCCCCACAATCAAATCGATCGTCAAAATAAACATTCAATTCTGCCTGGGTGAGAGTAGCCATGCTGCTCAGGGCAGACGCGTCATAGGTGCACAAGCCCGTGCCCATGATCTTCTGGCAGGAGCCAGTGCCTAGCAACAGCCAAGCTACAGCGTCTCAGAGGACTGCAACAAGTCTCCACATTCCTGCCATTCACATCACCAATACCGGAACTAAAGGAAAGACATTCAAATACAATGTGTCGGAACAGCTGGTCTGTCCCCATTACGCACACCTGCTTAGTCCCTCGGCCGACCCCAAACAAATGTGCGATGAAGCAACAAATGGGCAATCATGAACATGCATGAATGCAACTTAGCCACCGCAGTCGGAGTCCGACTCGCACATGAGAGCGCAGTACTTGTCGCCAGTGGTGGTGCGCAGGGCGCACTCAGGAGTGGCCTTGTCGCCCGTTGGCACGTCGCTGGGGCAGCTTCCCTGGCTGTCGCACTTGGGACTGCAGAAGTCTCCAGACAGGCCCTGCACGCGCACAGCTTGCTCGTCCGTCTCGCAGCCCGTCTTCGGGTCCCCGTAGTGAGTCGGGTTGGCGAGCGCTGCCACCTGTGCCCGCTTGACTCTCAAGCCCCCAACGCACTGCACCATGCGCCCCCCACTATCAAGACGATCGTCAAAATCAACATTGCACCTTGCCTGGGTAAGAGTAGCCACGCTGCTCAGGGCAGACGTGTCATAGGTGCACAAGCCCGTGCCCATGATCTTCTGGCAGGAGCCGGTGCCTAGCAACAGTCATGCGATTGCAACAAGTCTCCACATTTCTGCCATCAAACAGACATCCGGAACGAAAAAATGTGTCAGAGAAGCTGGTCTGTCCCCATTACGCACCTGCTTAGTCCCTCGGCCGACCCTAAACAAATGTGTGATGAAGCCACAAATGGGCAATCATGAACATGCTATGAATGCAACTCAGCCACCGCAGTCAGTGTCTGACTCGCACACGAGAGCGCAGTACTTGTCGCCCGTGGTGGTGCGCAGGGCGCACTCAGGAGTGGCCTTGTCGCCCGTTGGCACGTCGCTGGGGCAGCTTCCCTGGCTGTCGCACTTGGGACTGCAGAAGTCTCCAGACAGGCCCTGCACGCGCACAGCTTGCTCGTCCGTCTCGCAGCCCGTCTTCGGGTCCCCGTAGTGAGTCGGGTTGGCGAGCGCTGCCACCTGTGCATTCTTGACTCTCAAGCCATCGCACTGCACCATGCGCCCTCCACAATCAAGACGATCGTCAAAATCAACATTCGACCTTGCCTGGGTGAGAGTAGCCATGCTGCTGAGGGCAGACGCGTCATAGGTGCACAAGCCCGTGCCCATGATCTTCTGGCAGGAGCCAGTGCCTACCAACGGCCAAGCTACAGCGTCTCATGCTGGATTGCAACAAGTCTCCTGCCATTGACATCATCAACAGACATCCGGAACGAAAGCAAAGACAATGTGTCAGAACAGCTGGTCTGTCCCTGTTGCACACCTGCTTAGTCCCGCGGCCGACCCCAAACAAATGTGTGATGAAGCCACAAATGGGCAATCATGAACATGCATGAATGCAACTCAGCCACCGCAGTCAGTGTCTGACTCGCACACGAGAGCGCAGTACTTGTCGCCAGTGGTGGTGCGCAGGGCGCACTCAGGAGTGGCCTTGTCGCCCGTTGGCACGTCGCTGGGGCAGCTTCCCTGGCTGTCGCACTTGGGACTGCAGAAGTCTCCAGACAGGCCCTGCACGCGCACAGCTTGCTCGTCCGTCTCGCAGCCCGTCTTCGGGTCCCCGTAGTGAGTCGGGTTGGCGAGCGCTGCCACCTGTGCCCGCTTGACTCTCAAGCCCCCAACGCACTGCACCATGCGCCCGCAGTCGATTCGATCATCGAAATCAACATTGGACCTTGCCTGGGTGAGAGTAGCCATGTTGCTCAGGGCAGACGCGTCATAGGTGCACAAGCCCGTGCCCATGATCTTCTGGCAGGAGCCAGTGCCTACCAACGGCCAAGCTACAGAGTCTCATGATGGATTGCAACAAGTCTCCACATTCCTGCCATTCACATCACCAATGTGTCAGAACAGCTGTTCTGTCCCCATTGCACACCTGCTTGGTCCCGCGGCCGACCCCAAACAAATGTGTGATGAAGCCACAAATGGGCAATCATGAACATGCATGAATGCAACTCAGCCACCGCAGTCAGTGTCTGACTCGCACACGAGAGCGCAGTACTTGTCGCCAGTGGTGGTGCGCAGGGCGCACTCAGGAGTGGCCTTGTCGCCCGTTGGCACGTCGCTGGGGCAGCTTCCCTGGCTGTCGCACTTGGGACTGCAGAAGTCTCCAGACAGGCCCTGCACGCGCACAGCTTGCTCGTCCGTCTCGCAGCCCGTCTTCGGGTCCCCGTAGTGAGTCGGGTTGGCGAGCGCTGCCACCTGTGCATGCTTGACTCGCAAGCGCCCAACGCACTGCACCATGCGCCCGCCACAATCAAGACGCTCGTCAAAATCAACACTGGACCTTGCCTGGGTGAGAGTAGCCACGCTGCTGAGGGCAGACGCGTCATAGGTGCACAAGCCCGTGCCCATGATCTTCTGGCAGGAGCCAGTGCCTACCAACGGCCAAGCTACAGCGTCTCATGATGCATTGCAATAAGTCTCCTGCCATTGATATCACCAGCAGACATCCGGAACGAAAGCAAACACGATGTGTCAGAACAGCTGGTCTGTCCCTGTTGCACACTGCTTAGTCCCGCGGCCGACCCCAAACAAATGTGTGATGAAGCCACAAATGGGCAATCATGAACATGCATGAATGCAACTCAGCCACCGCAGTCAGTGTCTGACTCGCACACGAGAGCGCAGTACTTGTCCCCCGTGGTGGTGCGCAGGGCGCACTCAGGAGTGGCCTTGTCGCCCGTTGGCACGTCGCTGGGGCAGCTTCCCTGGCTGTCGCACTTGGGACTGCAGAAGTCTCCAGACAGGCCCTGCACGCGCACAGCTTGCTCGTCCGTCTCGCAGCCCGTCTTCGGGTCCCCGTAGTGCGTCGGGTTGGCGAGCGCTGCCACCTGTGCATGCTTGACTCGCAAGCGCTCAACGCACTGCACCATGCGCCGCCCACAATCAACACGATCGTCAAATTCAACACTGGACCTTGCCTGGGCGAGAGTAGCCACGCTGCTGAGGGCAGACGCGTCATAGGTGCACAAGCCCGTGCCCATGATCTTCTGGCAGGAGCCGGTGCCTACCAACGGCCAAGCTACAGCGTCTCATGCGATTGCAACAAGTCTCCACATTCCTCACATTGACATTGCCAACGATGATCTGGAACTAATGCAAAGACAATGTGTCGGAACAGCTGGTCTGTCCCCATTGCACACCTGCTTAGTCCCTCGGCCGACCACAAACACATGTGTGAGGAAGCCACAAATGGGTAATCATGAGAATGCCTGAATGCAACTCAGCCACCGCAGTCAGAGTCTGACTCGCACACGAGAGCGCAGTACTTGTCGCCCGTGGTGGTGCGCAGGGCGCACTCAGGAGTGGCCTTGTCGCCCGTTGGCACGTCGCTAGGGCAGCTTCCCTGGCTGTCGCACTTGGGACTGCAGAAGTCTCCAGACAGGCCCTGCACGCGCACAGCTTGCTCGTCCGTCTCGCAGCCCGTCTTCGGGTCCCCGTAGTGAGTCGGGTTGGCCACCAACGCGACCTGCAGGACTGCTCTCAATGGCATGCCATCTCTGACAGACAGCACGAAACGGGATGCGATGCCTGGGACTGGACGCCAAGACTACCTTAGCTCCAACATCCTTGCAGACTGTCAGAAGCAGCTTGTGGCCGAAATGGGACCTAGATGGCCCGAGATGATGCAACCAGGTTTACCCAGGCCCGCTACATTCCCGCTACGTTCAACGCCAAAAGGGTCAGCTGCGCTTGGCACCAGGGCACAAAAGGTCAGCAGGAGGATCCTGCTATCGACCTGAAGTGAATGCCGAGCCCTGACCCAGCCCGCACGAGGCTCTGCGACGGGCATTGACAACATTCACTTCGCATCAGTTCAAACAATTGCGGGTGACCGGATTCAAATCAGAGGAAAGGAACCATCAGCAGAAGTACCCAAGATCCGTTGAACGGAGATCGCTAAAAAGGTTTACATGGGCCTTACTCCAACCACCACAAGACCAGGCAGGAACTGAAGCACTAAAATGGCCCTAGGACTCGATGTTGGACGCTCTGGTGCAGATCCATCTGGAGCACACTGAGTGCCCGGCACCCATGGCTCGAATAAAAACCCAGTAACTAAGTCGCCAATCAGCGGCTGATCCCCAAAATGCTGCAGTTCCTTCCGCTTTTTTCTGGATTGGCTCAAGACCCATCGATGTGAACGGGTCTGCAATGCAAATTGCGCGCAAACCCGGTCCACGGTCGACTCTATCAAGATGATAATGAACATGAATTGACGTACACTGCTTGTAGGCTTGTACAACCCCCTGAAACGAGGCAGAAAGCCCAAAAAAAGAAAAAAGAGTAAAAGAGCCAACCAAGTCTTGGGAGCTGCTCCATTGGCAAAGAGCCGACCGGCCGACCGCGTCCTTTTCCTTCGCCCGGCTCTCGAAGGGTTCGTTTTGCGGAGTAAAAACAAGTCCGCCCTGGTGCCCTGCGGTCCGGTCCTGCGCGGCATCCCCGGTGAGTTGTGGCAGCTTTCCACATGTGGCCATGGGTCAAAAATCGGTTGGCCCCCAGTGAACATCCCAATCCAACCACTAAAATAGGCTCTAAAATGGGTGATGAATTCACCTACCAACCAAAATGGGATACCATTGGTTTTGACCCACAGCCATGTCTCACGCGGGGCACTCGCACCATGTTCATAGGTGTCCTTTTTGGGGAAATAAATGGCCCTGGTAGTTGATTGAACCACTAAGGCCCTCTATTTTTTAAACCAAATCAACCAAAAAGGACACCTATGAGCCTATGATCATGTTTGCTTGCGCGCAAGCTGTCCTTACAGCTTTCCGACCGTGAACATGCGCACAAGGCCAGCCTCGCGAAGTGGATGCAGCAAATCCGATGCCAGTGACCCATACCACAGCTGGGCAGACATTGGGAAAGACAACTAAGCCACCGGCAATGAAGAATCCCAGGAAGAAGAGCGCGAACACCCTCAAAGAACTGGACATGTCTCGTACAATGGCTGCCTAAGAACATCTCTCCTGAGCAGTGCCCTTTTTGCTCTTTCCACTTGATGCCCAAAACCCATCGACTGTTGGGTCTACAGGCTTAGATTGCCCTTACACTCGTAGATTTAACTAGTAGAACCACCCACTGGAATTGCCCCCCCCCCCCCGCAAAAAAAAAAAATGTTTGCTGCTCGCTTGCTGAGGCGGTCGCAGGCCAAACTGGTTCAGCTCATTCTCGGAGAATGCCTCAGAAAACACGCTGACTGGCGGTGAAGACTAAAACCGCTTTAACTCAGGTGCCCAAAGCAACCTTTTGCGGCCATGACTGAAAATGGACCAAGGAGGGGAAACAAAAAAGGCCAAAGGTCGGCTTGGAGCCCGGCCTGTGCCTGGCCGGGAACAGAGGCCACCATGCTGCCTGTGACAGCCAGCAGCGATCGTGCCTCAATGGCCAAGCCAAATGTCAAGCAAGCTCAACATGCTGTCGAAAGGATCGTGAGTAAATTGAAATCCCAAATGGGCGAGAACTCCTCTGATTGTGACCGAAGCTATGCCATGAATAGTGCCATAGAGAGAAGTATGTTGGGCGTGCCCCTCTCACATACCCACTAAGAGTTGATTGCCCTGCTCTGTGCGCGCTGCCGGTGCGCCCCGCAGGCCCTCGGGAGGATTTCTTCGCTTCACATGGACTGGAAGCTCAAAAACATGAACCCTTAAATCCATGGATCGATGAACCAAACATCTGATGCCTTCATGGTTAGGTGCAAGCAATGTTTGGCACCTTGGTTCACGAAGCCCAAGTTTCCCATGAAACCAGCAGCTCGGCGGTCGGCTGGAGGCGTCCAGACGCCAGAGATGTCAGGTGCGTACGACAGGGGCTTGCCCCCCAACCCGTCTGTAACAAACTGCCGAGTCGGTCGCCTGAGCTACAAAGTTATTCCGAGCCGCCAATCTGTTGAGCCGATGTGCACAAGGTGCAGAAATGCACACTTGTCCAGACACCTGGGTGTGTCCTTTTTGGAGAAGCCTCTTTTGGATGATTTTGCGGGGAAGCCAAAAGGAAAATCACCATTTGGGGGAGCGGCCCCTAAAAGACATTGTTCAATCTCCGCGACCCCTGACCGACCCGCCTCTGCAGTGCCAGGCAGGGACACGAAAGCAGAGCCTAGGGATTGACCCAAAAAACCGCCCGCGTCGCTTGCCAAATGCGACGGTCCAAAATGGGGGGCCCGGGAGTCCGCTTTCCTCCAAGGAAAAACCATCAAATCCCAAGGTGGGCCTTGGTCAACATAGATGCGATTTGCTGTCTTTTTTCTTTTCGGATCTGATTTGATCTTGCCACCGCCAAAGGGGCTGAAACCACCCCTGCCACGGCCGAGCTCTTGAGCCGGCCGCTCAGCAACGATGCGGCCACGCAAAGCAGAGCGACGGGCAGAGCGCGTGCCATGGCCTCAGATTGCGTCTCCGGTTGGAGTTCCTTTTTCAAAGGGCGGCGATTTGCACAGTGAACCAACCCCCAAAAGGGTACCAACTCCATCAATCACAGATGGGAACTACTGTGGATGGTTGCGAAATGAAAATTCGCACCACTTTGAAGCCTGGGTCGAAACCATACCGTTTGTTGGTATTTCGTAAATCCACAGTAGTTCCCAGTGATTCCATTTGGGTCTGCGTTTCTTGGAGTCGGTACCCTTTTGGAGGTGGGTTGTTTCGAAAATTGTGAGGAAGACCGAAATCCAGTTTTGGGCTGGGCAACCAGCCTGTTTCAGCCTAAGAGGAAAGTGGCGAACGGTTACCTATGGTGGGAACTGGGATTGGCGCTTTTAAAGATCACTACACTGACAAAGATCCGGAATGGCAACGAGAAGGCCGAATTTGGTGGGGAAACCGCTGATTTCTCGTTGCAGTCGCACGACCTCTGCGGTCAAGCCGAATGTTCATCAGAATCCACTGCAGGCTGCAAGGTTGACTTCATGAAACTGGTTGGCGACAGTTGCGGGTGCACAGTTCAAACAGGGCTCCTAAAATATGTCCAAAGGAATGGTAGCATGAAGCCCTTGGATGCATTCCCAGTTGATTAATTTTCACCACTCGCGGCTGAAACGGGTTGGTTCACATGAAGTTCGGTGGATTGCTCATTTGATGGTCCATGGCATGGGTTGGGAGAGTCCATCTTCGCACCTCTCGGCCACAATGGGTTACTAACCACTCAGGTCCTGGACCATCCAGATCTCCCTGGTGGGTTCCAAGGTGTCTGTGTTCTTTTTTGCCCTCCAAGGTTGCCGTTGCTAGTGATGTTGAGAAGGTTGAACTTTGGCTCTCAGACTCGGAGGCGCCGAGACATATGCGAACATGCTTTGTCCGGAAATGGGATACAATTTAGGCGGGGAAAAATCCTGATAAAGGGGATTTGAGAGTTCTTGGTCTCCAGACCAAGAGTTGCTCACATTTTTGTGTGCGGCTCAATACCTCGATTCTGAGTCATAAATTCATCGGTTAAGCCAAGCCACTGACAGCTTTTCAGTGCGCGGGGCGGAGAGCAGGAGGGCAGCTTGAGGGCTGCTGAGCGCAAGACGAGGTGAAAGGGCGACTTGAATGAAGGCTACCCTCCAATACTCAAGTGCCAGCAAATTACTTGACACACTCATACACGAGAGCGCATGCATTTCCGGGCTGAAAGAAGACAAGGCAGCCCATCCACCTTCGCAGAGCTCCGTGTTTTGCTCCGGCCACCTCCCTGCCAATCACTCGCTTCCGGCTCGCGCCGGGAAGACGGGACGCTCCCGCCGGCGGCTGAAATTGCGCGCCAAGAAAAAGACCTCCCCCGCTAGCCTCGCTCGGCCCAAGAATGTCCTGCCAGGTGATCTTCGCTTTCGCGGCCAAAAGCCATCAACTGCGAAAGTAGGCTACAAAGGCTTGTATCGCCATGAATTTGAATGGGTCCCGCACCCTTTGATGGACATCACTTTCCACCATCCCCAAAGAGAAATTCGTAGTTGTGTGAGCCGTAGGAAGCAGAACCACCAATTTTGAGAGCTTTGGGCGCTCGAAACTAAGGGGCAGGTGATACGTCAAGCAACACCCTGAAATTACCTAAATTCATGTCAATCGTGACCCTAAATGGGTTCGAACAAACGGGCACTTACCATTCCACCCTCGCCGATTCGCTTCGCAGGTCCTCAGAGCTTGCCCACGGTGAACATGCGCACGAGTCCTGCCTCGTGAGCTCAAGCTGAATGGGGAATTGACGCGTCCAGCGCAGGAGGCGTGGGAAAATACTTGCTGGTGCTCATTATGAAATGAACCCAAGCTTTGGCCCCCTTAAAGGACACCACCAGGGATTGTTCATAGGGGTCATTCCCTCATTCCCTGCTAGGCACCAGCAAGAACTCTTGGGCTCATTCTCCTTTTGACATGTAGTAAGTTCCCCCATGTCCCGGCCAAATGCACCTCTTGCCTACATGAAATCTCGACGAGTGTTGAGCCAGGACTAATAAACCTGTCCTATTTTTTTGGGTGAGTCCCAAGGGGGAGACCCCCCCATGAATCAACTGAGGCTAGAGTCATCCGTACTTCCCAATACGAACGGCTCCAGCGATTCGCCATGCGAGGCGCGGCGCCAAGCTGAGCCAGTGGCGATGAAGAAACCCAGGAAGAACAGGGCGAAAACCCTCAGCACCGTCAGTTTAAAAGAGAAATCGGAACCCCCAAGTGCGCCCGTTGTCATCTTTTGGTTTGCCTTGAAACCAACCCCAAAATACGCTCCGCGGCCCCCTCCCCCTTTCCTTTCCCACTCCCCCACCCCAAAAAAAAAAAACATCATCCCCCCGCGCCCTTGTTGCATCAAGAAAACACTTGCGCGATTGGTAAGACTGGGGCAGGCCGAACTGGTTCAGCTCATTCTCTGAGAAGGCCTCGTGACTCGCATCTCGCCAGAAGAAAAAAGGGCGGCCCGCTCGTCTTCGCGCGCGTTCGTCTGAGGAGCTCTGTACCCCCCTCCCCTCCCCCGTGTTTTTTTTGTGTTTTTTTTTTGTGTTTTTTCTTTGTTTTAGTTGTTTATGATGTTTGACCCCATATTAATCCACCCGCGTAGGTGGCGCAGGACTTCATCCGTCCACAGTCCCCGGGATTAGTGGAGAATGCTCACTTTTGGAGGGGAACAAGCCCTTCTGATAAACTGGGATTGAATATTACCGAGTCCACTACTCTGCCTCCAGAAAATCATAAGGTGACCACTACTCTGCCTCCAGAAAATCATAAGGTGACCACTACTCTGCCTCCAGAAAATCATAAGGTGACCACTACTCTGCCTCCGGAAAATCATAAGGTGACCACTACTCTGCCTCCAGAAAATCATAAGGTGAAAATCCAGAAAATAAGGTGACCACTACTCTGCCTCCAGAAAATCATAAGGTGACCACTACTCTGCCTCCAGAAATCATAAGGTGACCACTACTCTGCCTCCAGAAAATCATAAGGTGACCACTACTCTGCCTCCAGAAAATCATAAGGTGACCACTACTCTGCCTCCAGAAATCATAAGGTGACCACTACTCTGCCTCCAGAAAATCATAAGGTGACCACTACTCTGCCTCCAGAAAATCATAAGGTGACCACTACTCTGCCTCCAGAAATCATAAGGTGACCACTACTCTGCCTCCAGAAAATCATAAGGTGACCACTACTCTGCCTCCAGAAAATCATAAGGTGACCACTACTCTGCCTCCAGAAAATCATGAGGTGACCACTACTCTGCCTCCAGAAAATCATAAGGTGACCACTACTCTGCCTCCAGAAAATCATAAGGTGACCACTACTCTGCCTCCAGAAAATCATAAGGTGACCACTACTCTGCCTCCAGAAAATCATAAGGTGACCACTACTCTGCCTCCAGAAAATCATAAGGTGACCACTACTCTGCCTCCAGAAAATCATAAGGTGACCACTACTCTGCCTCCAGAAAACCATAAGGTGACCACTACTCTGCCTCCAGAAAATCATAAGGTGACCACTACTCTGCCTCCAGAAAATCATAAGGTGGCCACTACTCTGCCTCCAGAAAATCATAAGGTGACCACTACTCTGCCTCCAGAAAACCATAACGTGACCACTACTCTGCCTCCAGAAAATCATAAGGTGACCACTACTCTGCCTCCAGAAAATCATAAGGTGACCACTACTCTTCCACCAGAAAGTCATAAGGTGCCAACACTCTGCCTCCAGAAACTCATAAGGTGACCACTACGCTGCCTCCAGAAAATCATAAGGCGACCACTACGCTGCCTCCAGAAAATCATAAGGTGACCACTACACTGCCTCCAGAAAATCATAAGGTGACCACTACTCTGCCTCCAGAAAGTCATAAGGTGCCCACTACTCTGCCTCCAGAAAATCATAAGGTGACCACTACTCTGCCTCCAGAAAATCATAAGGTGACCACTACTCTACTGTGCCTCCAGAAAAACATATGGTGACCACTACTCTGCCTCCAGAAAATCATAAGGTGACCACTACTCTGCCTCCAGAAAATCATAAGGTGACCACTACTCTGCCTCCAGAAAATCATAAGGTGACCACTACTCTGCCTCCAGAAAATCATAAGGTGACCACTACTCTGCCTCCAGAAAATCATAAGGTGAACACTACTCTGCCTGCAGAAGATCATAAGGTGACCACTACACTGCCTCCAGAATATCATAAGGTGACCACTACTCTGCCTCCAGAAAATCATAAGGTGACCACTACTCTGCCTCCAGAAAATCATAAGGTGACCACTACTCTGCCTCCAGAAAAACATAAGGTGACCACTACTCTGCCTCCAGAAAATCATAAGGTGACCACTACTCTGCCTCCAGAAAATCATAAGGTGACCACTACTCTGCCTACAGAAGATCATAAGGTGACCACTACTCTGCCTCCAAAAAACCATAAGGCGACCACTACTTTGCCTCCAGAAAATCATAAGGTGACCACTACTCTGCCTCCAGAAAATCATAAGGTGACCACTACTCTGCCTCCAGAAAATCATAAGGTGACCACTACTCTGCCTCCAGAAAATCATAATGTGACCACTACTCTGCCTCCAGAAAATCATAAGGTGACCACTACTCTGCCTCCAGAAAATCATAAGGTGACCACTACTCTGCCTCCAGAAGATCATAAGGTGACCACTACTCTGCCTCCAGAAAATCATAAGGTGAACACTACTCTGCCTCCAGAAGATCATAAGGTGACCACTACTCTGCCTCCAGAAAATCATAAGGTGACCACTACTCTGCCTCCAGAAAATCATAAGGTGACCACTACTCTGCCTCCAGACAATCATGAGGTGACCACTACTCTGCCTCCAGAAAATCATAAGGTGACCACTACTCTGCCTCCAGAAAATCATAAGGTGACCACTACTCTGCCTCCAGAAAATCATAAGGTGACAACTACTCTGCCTCCAGAAAATCATAAGGTGACCACTACTCTGCCTCCAGAAAATCATACGGTGACCACTACTCTGCCTCCAGAAAATCATAAGGTGACCACTACTCTGCCTCCAGAAGATCATAAGGTGACCACTACTCTGCCTCCAGAAGATCATAAGGTGACCACTACTCTGCCTCCAGAAAAATCATGAGGTGACCACTACTCTGCCTCCAGAAAATCATAAGGTGACCACTACTCTGCCTCCAGAAAATCATAAGGTGACCACTACTCTGCCTCCAGAAAATCATAAGGTGGCCACTACTCTGCCTCCAGAAAATCATAAGGTGGCCACTATCCAGAAAACCATAAGGTGACCACTACTCTGCCTCCAGAAAATCATAAGGTGACCACTACTCTGCCTCCAGAAAATCATAAGGTGACCACTACTCTGCCTCCAGAAAATCATAAGGTGACCACTACTCTGCCTCCGGAAAATCATAAGGTGACCACTACTCTGCCTCCAGAAAATCATAAGGTGACCACTACTCTGCCTCCAGAAAATAATATGGTGACCACTACTCTGCATCCAGAAAATCATAAGGTGACCACTACTCTGCCTCCAGAAGATCATAAGGTGACCACTACTCTGCCTCCAGAAAATCATAAGGTGACCACTACTCTGCCTCCAGAAAATCATAAGGTGACCACTACTCTGCCTCCAGAAAATCACAAGGTGACCACTACTCTGCCTCCAGAAAATCATAAGGTGACCACTACTCTGCCTACAGAAAATCATAAGGTGACCACTACTCTGCCTCCAGAAAATCATAAGGTGACAAAATCATAAGGTGACCACTACTATTCCTCCAGAAAATGATAAGGTGACCACTACTCTGCCTACAGAAAATCATAAGGTGACCACTACTCTGCCTCCAGAGAAGCATAAGTCACAAAATCATAAGGTGACCACTACTATGCCTCCCGAAAATCATAAGGTGACCACTACTCTGCCTCCAGAAAATCATAAGGTGACCACTACTCTGCCTCCAGAAAATCATAAGGTGACCACTACTCTGCCTCCAGAAAATCATAAGGTGACCACTACTCTGCCTCCAGAAAATCATAAGGTGACCACTGCTCTGCCTCCAGAAAATCATCAGGTGACCACTACTCTGCCTCCAGAAAATCATAAGGTGACCACTACTCTGCCTCCAGAAAATCATAAGGTGACCACCACTCTGCCTCCAGAAATCATAAGGTGACCACTACTCTGCCTCCAGAAAATACCACTACTCTGCCTCCAGAAAATCATAAGGTGGGGGGTCACCTTCTGATTTTCTGGAGGCAGAGTAGAAAAAACGCATCCATAGCATTTCCACCCCACCCCCCCAGCATTAGTCGCTGACTCTTGCTTTTTTTTAAGGAAACTACTAAACACCATTTTGGGGGAAGTCCGAGTCCTAAAAAAGGACACTTTTGAGCACACGCCCCGAAAGATGGGAGACGGAAAGGAAGGGCACGGTCGACTCCATCTCCGCATACACGAGTCCGAGCTCTGAGCCCCTCTCAAAAATCCACTCCCAAACTCCATGGACTCCAAGATGGACCCGTGGCTCACACAGCTCACGGTGGGCCCAGGCCCGCGCCTGCGCCTGGGTGGGCACCGCGGCTGCAAGGCCGCCAGAGATGGCCAGCACGCCCCTGGCCTGGAGTTGCAAAGAGGCCACGGGGATTCTGAGGCGTTTGGTGGCAACGTTGCAGCCCGGCGTCCCGTTCTAGGGGTAACTTCCATTTCCATTCTTTCCAGGGATCCTTCTTTCTAGAAGACCACCAAAAAGCCTGGGGAAATGGCTGGTTGTTGACAAGAACCATGGCTGAAAAGAATGGGGAATCGGAATCAACCCCTAGATTTCTGCTTACCAAAAAGCCGGGGTTTCTCATAGGGGCGGCTTCCGCCCTCAAATGGTGCGGGAGTTCGTCCAGACGCCCAGCGAGCCCTTGGGCCCCCTGCCGGCGCGCCGCGCAGGGCCGAGCCCTACACGGCCAAGACGGAGCGGGTTTGCTCGGGGGTCCTTCGAAACCAAAAGGCCGACTTGGCTTTAACCATCTACACAAAATCTGGGCTTGAAGCTTGCTGGTTGACAGAACCTCATCCCGACTCCAGGGATGGATACTAGGGCAGAAAGGTTCTTTGCCTCAGACGAGCGAACCCTTCGAGTTTCTTTTTCTTTTGGGGTGAGGGGCCTATTTCCCCAGGCCCCCCTTGCAAAGGCTCCCCCCCTTTGCCCGGGTTTTCAGAACCACAGTAGGGCCGCGCCCCTTTCCGCAGGCGGGCCTCAACAGTCCCAGGCGGCACAAAGGCGCAACCTCGAAGCTGCGGGACGGGCCAAGAAGACGCCTCCCCCCCCACCCGCGAAGAAAAAAAAACCGCGATTTTCCCTGCTCACATGCCCAGTAAATGTCCATGGGAAAAAGGGATGCATCCCTTTTTGGAGAGTTTAACGGTCAACCCTTCCCGAAAGGGGAAAAAACAAAACATCCAAACAAGGTGCCACTGGGCAACTGGGCGGGGGTTCCCTTTTACCGCAAAAAAATGGTACCTTTAGAAAGGGCGCACACGCACGCACGCACACGCACACGCACACGCACACGCACACGCACACGCACACGCACACGCACACGCACGCGCACGCGCACGCGCACGCGCGCGTGCGCACGCGCACTCGCACGCGCACGCGCACGCGCACTCGCACGCGCACGCGCACGCGCACGCGCACGCGCGCACACACACACACACACACCCAAACATGATTTGAGGCTTCAATGTTATCTTGATTGAGTAATACCATGTGTACGTACTGGTATGTATGTATATATATATATATATACTCTGCATATAGGTGGAAACATAATTAATTATCAACGACAACATAATCATGAATTGGTAGAAAATAGAAATGCGGCCAGTTCGGGGAAACATCTTCGAACTGGAAGTTCGCGCTTGAACCGCCCCCCAACCCCCCCCCCCCCGTTTGGCTAAAGGGCTCAGCAGGGAGGCCGCGACGCAAAGCAGAGCGATCGACAAACCGCGGGCCATGGCCTCAGTTCGCAAATCGGGCCGTGGCTTTGGTCTCAGGGAACCGAGTCCCAAAACGGGCCTCGATTGCTCTGGGTGTGTTGTTTCCCCCATACCATAACGAGGGGATTTCCCTTAAACTTCCCCAAATCGACAAAAGGATACCCTCAAAAGCATGGACACGCCAACGTGATTAGTGGGGGCCCGTACCCCTAGTGAACACCACTAAAACAGACTAAAATGGGACCATTGTTTGACCCGCAGCCATTTCTCGGAAATGGATCACATCCTATTTTGAGAAACACTCAGATTAGCCTCCTGTGCCTACAGGAGGCCGCTCCGACCTAGAACCTGCAAGATTCTTGAGGAACATGGTCGTGTACCCCGTGAGTTGGGTCCCAAGTTATCCGGATCCAAGCGATTTCGGCCCGTAGAAGAAAAGGTAAGATGGGCCGTCAACGGGTCCCTCAGCTCCCAATGGCATGAACTGTGTCACCTGGCACGGACCGACTCCACGCGCAAAGCGAGACTACCCCCAGCTTCTTCTGCCAAGTCACGAGCAGACGTTCAGGTGCCAAAGACCCAACGTGCGGAAGGGGCTGAAAGAGAAGAACGCGGCGAGTCAAGTCCATCGCCGAAAACAAATTGGCCCTGAAGGGGAAGAACCGTGACTCCCATATTGATGAGAAAGTGCGCACCATTCCTGAAGAGTGCAAGGCCTTTGACTATGTCGCGTCGAGAGGTGAGACAATGAGGATTGCCTAACAGGCCACTCGCACTCAGAACCTGCAGGTGCCAGAGATGTATTGTACGAGTTCCTTCATGAACATCTGGGTCTGTCTTTCTTAGTGGACTCTAAAAATGGTAAGTTTCCTTGTTTTCCCTTTTAAACATACCCCAAAAGGGGGCTCTCACAAAAAGACACCCTGGGTGCTTGGTTTTGTCATGATTGAGTCTTTCCTCAGCACCGTATTTTTTTTAAAAAAAAATGCACGGCTTTGTCGCCATGTCCTCATTCTTCGCACCTTCAAGATCCAGCACAGCACACCGCAAACCGGTGATCCAGCTGACCTGATGTCCTGCCGAGGTATGAGAGATCTTTACCATCAGCCGCGAATTTGGTGAGCCCAAATCCACATTCCAAATCTTTCCACATCCTCACCACCTAGTGCAAACATGTGAGCAGAGGTTCTGGATTCGTTCAAAACCTATTTGGAGAATCACGACGTATCCAGGGGATCAAATAAGTCGGGGATTAGCAATGGCTTGCCTAGTGTGACACGTGCAGACTTGTCGTAGACCGCGTTGGGCGGGGGTTCTGTCATAAGGGAAGAAGTATTAGAGACCTGGTTTAGGGTCGCTATGGTGATACTTGGGTTGGTGAAGGGTTGGCTTACCCAGGGAGCCAAAATGGGATGGATGAGCCAACCTGTCGGAGGCTCTTAGCCTGGAGCTTCCAGTGCCACCGGGGACGGTAGGAGCCAAAGGGTGTGCGGCTATGTTGGGCTTACGGCTATGTTGGGTTCGTTTAGAGGGTTGTTCGGGTCTCAAGAGCGGGGTTAGGGTCTTCGGCTGGTTGGATGGTTTAGGACCAGGCCAAGGACCCGGGGCGCTGGTCACGAGAGGATTGGATAATGCGCATCCCCTAATGGTGCGAACGTCCCAATGGTATCACCACTGACTAAAGAGTGAGCGCTTCGCTTCATCCTGAAAAAATGATTGTCCAAGTTCTGTAGCAGCCGGAACAATAGGAAAAGGAGACATGTTGCCCAAATGACAAGCAAGCAACCACCAAACACTCGCATCCGGCCTGATGATGTGGGATCAGAGCTTGGAGGTGTCCTGCGATCAAGGGATGCACTGAAAAGGGCCACTACACGTCTGGCAACACACATCTTGCAAATGCGCAAGCTGCAGCGCGCCTTTTAGCTTCACTTGGCTGTTTGAAGAGCAAATGCTTCAAACTGCATCTGTGCTCGAAGCAAGCCAACAAAACGTCTCTTGCTCTTGCTCTTGGACCGCTGGAGCTGCAATCATGAAACAGGTGGCTTCTGTTGGCTTGCTATGCACAGCAAAACGATTCCAGAGGCAGCCTTTGGAGCCTCTGAATCCTGAAGCGGTCCAAAACTGTACCATTTGGCCCCACTTCGCCAAAGAAGGTTCTGTACTCCTTTGGCCAGGTCTCAAAATGAGAGCACCTCCAAGTTTTGATGCGCTCTTAGTTGGGTTCTGTGCCGACACGTAGAGCTCAAAAGCTCCGAAAATCGAGTCACCAACGCGGGACGGCAGGGAATTGCCGGCCGCTTCTGGGACAGAAACATCATGCATAGTGCCGACTCAGGCTTTCAAGCTTTTGGTGGGGCTTGCCGGGCTTGCTCACTTCTCATTCCTCTCGTCGAAGAACTTGAAGAACTTCGACGTGTCCTCCTCACCGTCAGTCGGCGCCGTGTCAAAGATCTGGAACTCCGCGATCTCTGAGAGCGGCCCCAGGCCCTTGGGGTAGTTGCCAGAAAGGCTCGCCACCATGGAGTAGACGCAGCAGGCAGAGACCAGCAGGTAGATCGCGGTGCTGAGCCCGCCACAGATTTCCAAGGGGATGGGGCTGCCAGCCAGGCCGGCGATGGCCTGGAACACTCCACCCACAAGACCCATGAAGACCAAGACGACGTCCAAAGTGATCGCCTGACGCAGGTTGTACCGCAGCAGTGCGGGGAGCTCCCTGTTGGCAGCCAGGGTCTGCATGCCGAAGAACAGCGCCAGGTAGCCGAGCCCGAACGGCAGGGCATTGATGAGGAGCACGGGCACAACCAGAAGGTTCAGCAGTGGCTGGATGGCTGGAAAGGCAGCAAACAGGAACATGCCAAAGCGCAAGGCGTCGGTCAAGGGCAGCAAATAGGCCGCAAAGGCTCCCAGGCGAGTCAGAAGTCCCGTGTCGTCGTTGCGAGCTGGCCTGTTGGCAAGGAACTGATCCCACTCCGCGCGGAGCATGTCCTTCTCCTTGTTGGCATAGGCCGCAGTCCGCTCTGCCTCCTCCTTGCTCTGCATCTCCCTCCTGAACTCCTGGAGTAGTCGCTGCACTGTGTTGAAGTCGAGCTCCTCTGGCTGGATCTTCCCATCGCCGTTCACATCCAGAGCCTTCACCAAGCGCTCGGCCGTCTCGTCGTCCACGTTGGCCCCCATGACCTGCTTGACGCCTTTCTGGAGCTCTCTGGCGTCCAGCTCCCCATCGCTGTTGCTGTCCAGGACGTGGAAAAGCGCCTGGCGCTCCTTTCGCCGCGCCTCTTCCTGCTGCGCTTCCAGGTCTGCCACTTCAGATCGCAGCTTCGCGGCCTCCTTCTCCAGTGCCACTGGGTCTTCTGGGTCCCTCAGCTTCACCGCAGTGCTCGCTCTGGACCCCTCCGCACACCTCCGCGCTTTGGCCGCGCGAGCCGAGCGGCCACGGATGCCACGGATGCCAGCCAGCAGAGCCGAGCCGAGCGCCACCCGCTGGAAGGACAAGAGGCTCGGGCGACTTCCGTCCGGAGCCGCAGCCTTCAGCGCCTTCGGAGCTGTGACCTGCGCACCAGGAGCCACACCAGCGCCAGCCACGGCGCCTCGTGCCGGAACGAAGGCTGGGGAGAGAGCCATGGCAAGTTGCGATCAGCTCAGAGAGTCCACCTTAACTTGAAGCCGAGTTTGCTGCACCGCCCCCAATGCGCAATGGCAACCACGTCTTGGAAAATCGATGCTCGACAGATCACTGATGAACTGGATGCTTGGCTCTCAACACCCTGGAACACACAGTAAGCCGACATGTTGCCCAAATATCCCAAATGACAAACAAGCAACCACCGAACACTCGCTCCCTGCCTCTTGGTGTGGGATCAGAGATTCGAGGTGTCCTGCGACGAAGGGATGCACAAAAAAGGGCCACTACACGTCTGGCAAACGCACATCTTGCAAATGCGCAAGCTGCAGCGCGCCTTTTAGCTTCGCTTGGCTGTTTGAAGAGCAAATGCTTCAAACTGCATCTGTGCTCGAAGCAAGCCAACAAAACGTCTCTTGCTCTTGCTCTTGGACCGCTGGAGCTGCAATCATGAAACAGGTAGCTTCTGTTGGCTTGCTATGCACAGCAAAACGATTCCAGAGGCAGCCTTTGGAGCCTCTGAATCCTGAAGCGGTCCAAAACTGTACCATTTGGCCCACTTCGCCAAAGAAGGCTCTGTACTCCTTTGGCCAGGTCTCAAAATGAGAGCACCTCCAAGTTTTGATGCGCTCTTAGTTGGGTTCTGTGCCGACACGTAGAGCTCAAAAGCTCCGAAAATCGAGTCTCCAACGCGGGACGGCAGGGAATTGCCGGCCGCTTCTGGGACAGAAACATCATGCATAGTGCCGACTCGGGCTTTCAAGCTTTTGGTGGGGCTTGCTGGGCTTGCTCACTTCTCATTCCTCTCGTCGAAGAACTTGAAGAACTTCGACGTGTCCTCCTCACTGTCAGTCGGCGCCGTGTCAAAGATCTGGAACTCCGCGATCTCTGAGAGCGGCCCCAGGCCCTTGGGGTAGTTGCCAGAAAGGCTCGCCACCATGGAGTAGACGCAGCAGGCAGAGACCAGGAGGTAGATCGCGGTGCTGAGCCCGCCGGAGATTTCCAAGGGGATGGGGCTGCCGGCCAGGCCGGCGATGGCTTGGAACACTCCACCCACAAGACCCATGAAGACCAAGACGACGTCCAAAGTGATCGCCTGCCGCAGGTTGTACCGCAGCAGTGCGGGGAGCTCCCTGTTGGCAGCCAGGGTCTGCATGCCGAAGAACAGCGCCAGGTAGCCGAGCCCGAACGGCAGGGCATTGATGAGGAGCACGGGCACAACCAGAAGGTTCAGCAGTGGCTGGATGGCTGGAAAGGCAGCAAACAGGAACATGCCAAAGCGCAAGGCGTCGGTCAAGGGCAGCAAATAGGCCGCAAAGGCTCCCAGGCGAGTCAGAAGTCCCGTGTCGTCGTTGCGAGCTGGCCTGTTGGCAAGGAACTGATCCCACTCCGCGCGGAGCATGTCCTTCTCCTTGTTGGCATAGGCCGCAGTCCGCTCTGCCTCCTCCTTGCTCTGCATCTCTCTCCTGAACTCCTGGAGTAGTCGCTGCACTGTGTTGAAGTCGAGCTCCTCTGGCTGGATCTTCCCATCGCCGTTCACATCCAGAGCCTTCACCAAGCGCTCGGCCGTCTCGTCGTCCACGTTGGCCCCCATGACCTGCTTGACGCCTTTCTGGAGCTCTCTGGCGTCCAGCTCCCCATCGCTGTTGCTGTCCAGGACGCGGAAAAGCGCCTGGCGCTCCTTTCGCCGCGCCTCTTCCTGCTGCGCTTCCAGGTCTGCCACTTCAGATCGCAGCTTCGCGGCCTCCTTCTCCAGTGCCACTGGGTCTTCTGGGTCCCTCAGCTTCACCGCAGTGCTCGCTCTGGACCCCTCCGCACACCTCCGCGCTTTGGCCGCGCGAGCCGAGCGGCCACGGATGCCACGGATGCCAGCCAGCAGAGCCGAGCCGAGCGCCACCCGCTGGAAGGACAAGAGGCTCGGGCGACTTCCGTCCGGAGCCGCAGCCTTCAGTGCCTTCGGAGCTGTGACCTGCGCACCAGGAGCCACACCAGCGCCAGCCACGGCGCCTCGTGCCGGAACGAAGGCTGGGGAGAGAGCCATGGCAAGTTGCGATCAGCTCAGAGAGTCCACCTTAACTTGAAGCCGAGTTTGCTGCACCGCCCCCAATGCGCAATGGCAACCACGTCTTGGAAAATCGATGCTCGACAGATCACTGATGAGCTGGATGCTTGGCTCTCAACACCCTGGAACACACAGTAAGCCGACATGTTGCCCAAATATCCCAAATGACAAACAAGCAACCACCGAACACTCGCTCCCTGCCTCTTGATGTGGGATCAGAGCTTCGAGGTGTCCTGCGACGAAGGGATGCACAAAAAACGTCTGGCAAACGCACATCTTGCAAATGCGCAAGCTGCAGCGCGCCTTTTAGCTTCACTTGGCTGTTTGAAGAGCAAATGCTTCAAACTGCATCTGTGCTCGAAGCAAGCCAACAAAACGTCTCTTGCTCTTGCTCTTGGACCGCTGGAGCTGCAATCATGAAACAGGTAGCTTCTGTTGGCTTGCTATGCACAGCAAAACGATTCCAGAGGCAGCCTTTGGAGCCTCTGAATCCTGAAGCGGTCCAAAACTGTACCATTTGGCCCACTTCGCCAAAGAAGGCTCTGTACTCCTTTGGCCAGGTCTCAAAATGAGAGCACCTCCAAGAAATGATGCGCTCTTAGTTGGGTTCTGTGCCGACACGTAGAGCTCAAAAGCTCCGAAAATCGAGTCACCAACGCGGGACGGCAGGGAATTGCCGGCCGCTTCTGGGACAGAAACATCATGCATAGTGCCGACTCAGGCTTTCAAGCTTTTGGTGGGGCTTGCTGGGCTTGCTCACTTCTCATTCCTCTCGTCGAAGAACTTGAAGAACTTCGACGTGTCCTCCTCACCGTCAGTCGGCGCCGTGTCAAAGATCTGGAACTCCGCGATCTCTGAGAGCGGCCCCAGGCCCTTGGGGTAGTTGCCAGAAAGGCTCGCCACCATGGAGTAGACGCAGCAGGCAGAGACCAGGAGGTAGATCGCGGTGCTGAGCCCGCCGGAGATTTCCAAGGGGATGGGGCTGCCGGCCAGGCCGGCGATGGCTTGGAACACTCCACCCACAAGACCCATGAAGACCAAGACGACGTCCAAAGTGATCGCCTGCCGCAGGTTGTACCGCAGCAGTGCGGGGAGCTCCCTGTTGGCAGCCAGGGTCTGCATGCCGAAGAACAGCGCCAGGTAGCCGAGCCCGAACGGCAGGGCATTGATGAGGAGCACGGGCACAACCAGAAGGTTCAGCAGTGGCTGGATGGCTGGAAAGGCAGCAAACAGGAACATGCCAAAGCGCAAGGCGTCGGTCAAGGGCAGCAAATAGGCCGCAAAGGCTCCCAGGCGAGTCAGAAGTCCCGTGTCGTCGTTGCGAGCTGGCCTGTTGGCAAGGAACTGATCCCACTCCGCGCGGAGCATGTCCTTCTCCTTGTTGGCATAGGCCGCAGTCCGCTCTGCCTCCTCCTTGCTCTGCATCTCTCTCCTGAACTCCTGGAGTAGTCGCTGCACTGTGTTGAAGTCGAGCTCCTCTGGCTGGATCTTCCCATCGCCGTTCACATCCAGAGCCTTCACCAAGCGCTTGGCCGTCTCGTCGTCCACGTCGGCCCCCATGACCTGCTTGACGCCTTTCTGGAGCTCTCTGGCGTCCAGCTCCCCATCGCTGTTGCTGTCCAGGACGCGGAAAAGCGCCTGGCGCTCCTTTCGCCGCGCCTCTTCCTGCTGCGCTTCCAGGTCTGCCACTTCAGATCGCAGCTTCGCGGCCTCCTTCTCCAGTGCCACTGGGTCTTCTGGGTCCCTCAGCTTCACCGCAGTGCTCGCTCTGGACCCCTCCGCACACCTCCGCGCTTTGGCCGCGCGAGCCGAGCGGCCACGGATGCCACGGATGCCACGGATGCCAGCCAGCAGCGCCGAGCCGAGCGCCACCCGCTGGAAGGACAAGAGGCTCGGGCGACTTCCGTCCGGAGCAGCCTTCAGCGCCTTTGGAGCTGTGACCTGCGCACCAGGAGCCACACCAGCGCCAGCCACGGCGCCTCGTGCCGGAACGAAGGCTGGGGAGAGAGCCATGGCAAGTTGCGATCAGCTCAGAGAGTCCACCTCAACTTGAAGCCGAGTTTGCTGCACCGCCCCCAATGCGCAATGGCAACCACGACTTGGAAGTCGCTGCTCGACAGATCACTGATGAACTGGATGCTTGGCTCTCAACACCCTGGAACACACAGTAAGCCGACATGTTGCCCAAATATCCCAAATGACAAACAAGCAACCACCGAACACTCGCTCCCTGCCTCTTGATGTGGGATCAGAGCTTCGAGGTGTCCTGCGACGAAGGGATGCACAAAAAAGGGCCACTACACGTCTGGCAACGCACATCTTGCAAATGCGCAAGCTGCAGCGCGCCTTTTAGCTTCACTTGGCTGTTTGAAGAGCAAATGCTTCAAACTGCATCTGTGCTCGAAGCAAGCCAACAAAACGTCTCTTGCTCCTCTTGCTCCTCTTGCTCATCTTGCTCATCTTGCTCCTCTTGCTCCTCTTGCTCTTGGACCGCTGGAGCTGCAATCATGAAACAGGTAGCTTCTGTTGGCTTGCTATGCACAGCAAAACGATTCCAGAGGCAGCCTTTGGAGCCTCTGAATCCTGAAGCGGTCCAAAACTGTACCATTTGGCCCACTTCGACAAAGAAGGTTCTGTACTCCTTTGGCCAAGTCTCAAAATGAGAGCACCTCCAAGAAATGATGCGCTCTTAGTTTGGTGCCGACACGTAGAGCTCAAAAGCTCCGAAAATCGAGTCGCCAACGCGGGACGGCAGGGAATTGCCGGCCGCTTCTGGGACAGAAACATCATGCATGGTGCCAACTCAGGCTTTCAAGCTTTTGGCGGGGCTTGCCGGGCTTGCTCACTTCTCATTCCTCTCGTCGAAGAACTTGAAGAACTTCGACGTGTCCTCCTCACCGTCAGTCGGCGCCGTGTCAAAGATCTGGAACTCCGCGATCTCTGAGAGCGGCCCCAGGCCCTTGGGGTAGTTGCCAGAAAGGCTCGCCACCATGGAGTAGACGCAGCAGGCAGAGACCAGCAGGTAGATCGCGGTGCTGAGCCCGCCGGAGATTTCCAAGGGGATGGGGCTGCCGGCCAGGCCGGCGATGGCTTGGAACACTCCACCCACAAGACCCATGAAGACCAAGACGACGTCCAAAGTGATCGCCTGACGCAGGTTGTACCGCAGCAGTGCGGGGAGCTCCCTGTTGGCAGCCAGGGTCTGCATTCCGAAGAACAACGCCAGGTAGCCGAGCCCGAACGGCAGGGCATTGATGAGGAGCACGGGCACAACCAGAAGGTTCAGCAGTGGCTGGATGGCTGGAAAGGCAGCAAACAGGAACATGCCAAAGCGCAAGGCGTCGGTCAAGGGCAGCAAATAGGCCGCAAAGGCTCCCAGGCGAGTCAGAAGTCCCGTGTCGTCGTTGCGAGCTGGCCTGTTGGCAAGGAACTGATCCCACTCCGCGCGGAGCATGTCCTTCTCCTCGTTGGCATAGGCCGCAGTCCGCTCTGCCTCCTCCTTGCTCTGCATCTCCCTCCTGAACTCCTGGAGTAGTCGCTGCACCGTGTTGAAGTCGAGCTCCTCCGGCTGAATCTTCCCATCGCCGTTCACATCCAGAGCCTTCACCAAGCGCTCGGCCGTCTCGTCGTCCACGTCGGCCCCCATGACCTGCTTGACGCCTTTCTGGAGCTCTCTGGCGTCCAGCTCCCCATCGCTGTCGCTGTCCAGGACGCGGAAAAGCGCCTGGCGCTCCTTTCGCCGCGCCGCTTCCTGCTGCGCTTCCAGGTCTGCCACTTCAGATCGCAGCTTCGCGGCCTCCTTCTCCAGTGCCATCGGGTCTTCTGGGTCCCTCAGCTTCACCGCAGTGCTCGCTCTGGATCCCTCCGCACACCTCCGCACTTTGGCCGCGCGAGCCGAGCGGCGGATGCCACGGATGCCACGGATGCCAGCCAGCAGCGCCGAGCCGAGCGCCACCCGCTGGAAGGACAAGAGGCTCGGGCGACTTCCGTCCGGAGCAGCCTTCAGCGCCTTCGGAGCTGAGACCTGCGCACCAGGAGCCACACCAGCGCCAGCCACGGCGCCTCGTGCCGGAACGAAGGCTGGGGAGAGAGCCATGGCAAGTTGCGATCAGCTCAGAGAGTCCACCTCAACTTGAAGCCGAGTTTGCTGCACCGCCCCAAATGCGCAATGACAACCACGACTTGGAAGTCGCTGCTCGACAGATCACTGATGAACTGGATGCTTGGCTCTCAACACCCTGGAACACACAGTAAGCCGACATGTTGCCCAAATATCCCAAATGACAAACAAGCAACCACCGAACACTCGCTCCCTGCCTCTTGATGTGGGATCAGAGCTTCGAGGTGTCCTGCGACGAAGGGATGCACTGAAAAGGGCCACTACACGTCTGGCAACGCACATCTTGCAAATGCGCAAGCTGCAGCGCGCCTTTTAGCTTCACTTGGCTGTTTGAAGAGCAAATGCTTCAAACTGCATCTGTGCTCGAAGCAAGCCAACAAAACGTTGCTCCTCTTGCTCTTGGACCGCTGGAGCTGCAATCATGAAACAGGTAGCTTCTGTTGGCTTGCTATGCACACCAAAACGATTCCAGAGGCAGCCTTTGGAGCCTCTGAATCCTGAAGCGGTCCAAAACTGTACCATTTGGCCCACTTCGACAAAGAAGGTTCTGTACTCCTTTGGCCAAGTCTCAAAATGAGAGCACCTCCAAGAAATGATGCGCTCTTAGTTTGGTGCCGACACGTAGAGCTCAAAAGCTCCGAAAATCGAGTCACCAACGCGGAACGGCAGGGAATTGCCGGCCGCTTCTGGGACAGAAACATCATGCATTGTGCCAACTCAGGCTTTCAAGCTTTTGGCGGGGCTTGCCGGGCTTGCTCACTTCTCATTCCTCTCGTCGAAGAACTTGAAGAACTTCAACGTGTCCTCCTCACCGTCAGTCGGCGCCGTGTCAAAGATCTGGAACTCCGCGATCTCTGAGAGCGGCCCCAGGCCCTTGGGGTAGTTGCCAGAAAGGCTCGCCACCATGGAGTAGACGCAGCAGGCAGAGACCAGGAGGTAGATCGCGGTGCTGAGCCCGCCGGAGATTTCCAAGGGGATGGGGCTGCCGGCCAGGCCGGCGATGGCTTGGAACACTCCACCCACAAGACCCATGAAGACCAAGACGACGTCCAAAGTGATCGCCTGACGCAGGTTGTACCGCAGCAGTGCGGGGAGCTCCCTGTTGGCAGCCAGGGTCTGCATTCCGAAGAACAACGCCAGGTAGCCGAGCCCGAACGGCAGGGCATTGATGAGGAGCACGGGCACAACCAGAAGGTTCAGCAGTGGCTGGATGGCTGGAAAGGCAGCAAACAGGAACATGCCAAAGCGCAAGGCGTCGGTCAAGGGCAGCAAATAGGCCGCAAAGGCTCCCAGGCGAGTCAGAAGTCCCGTGTCGTCGTTGCGAGCTGGCCTGTTGGCAAGGAACTGATCCCACTCCGCGCGGAGCATGTCCTTCTCCTTGTTAGCATAGGCCGCAGTCCGCTCTGCCTCCTCCTTGCTCTGCATCTCCCTCCTGAACTCCTGGAGTAGTCGCTGCACCGTGTTGAAGTCGAGCTCCTCCGGCTGAATCTTCCCATCGCCGTTCACATCCAGAGCCTTCACCAAGCGCTCGGCCGTCTCGTCGTCCACGTCGGCCCCCATGACCTGCTTGACGCCTTTCTGGAGCTCTCTGGCGTCCAGCTCCCCATCGCTGTTGCTGTCCAGGACGCGGAAAAGCGCCTGGCGCTCCTTTCGCCGCGCCTCTTCCTGCTGCGCTTCCAGGTCTGCCACTTCAGATCGCAGCTTCGCGGCCTCCTTCTCCAGTGCCACTGGGTCTTCTGGGTCCCTCAGCTTCACCGCAGTGCTCGCTCTGGATCCCTCCGCACACCTCCGCACTTTGGCCGCGCGAGCCGAGCGGCGGATGCCACGGATGCCACGGATGCCAGCCAGCAGCGCCGAGCCGAGCGCCACCCGCTGGAAGGACAAGAGGCTCGGGCGACTTCCGTCCGGAGCAGCCTTCAGCGCCTTCGGAGCTGAGACCTGCGCACCAGGAGCCACACCAGCGCCAGCCACGGCGCCTCGTGCCGGAACGAAGGCTGGGGAGAGAGCCATGGCAAGTTGCGATCAGCTCAGAGAGTCCACCTCAACTTGAAGCCGAGTTTGCTGCACCGCCCCCAATGCGCAATGGCAACCACGACTTGGAAGTCGCTGCTCGACAGATCACTCATGACGTGGATGCTTGGTTCTCAAGACCCTAGAACACATAGTAAGCCGACATGTTGCCCAAATGACAAACAAGCAACCACCGAACGCTTGGCTCCTGCCTCTTGATGTGGGATCAGAGCTTCGAGGTGTCCTGCGATGCCATGCATTGACCGAGTGTATAGGCATCAAAACAAGCACGCGCCTCTGGGTCTTAGTTTTAAGCCAGACAAAAACTGTGTGGCCGCATATGGAAAAAGTACTTGGTCGATTAGAGAGTTGAAATGGTACAGGCCTTGCTGATCATGATCGTGCAATGTGAAAGGCTTCGGGATGCACAGTATTCAACACATTTGGACTCATGCGGCGTGATGTCGACTTCATACATAAAGTGCGGTTTGCTTCCTGGCAAACTCATCTCTAAGGTGCTCCTTACCCCCGAATGGACATACCTCACCAGTAAGCTGTATATTACAGCTTTTGGGGGTATGTGCCCTGAATGGTCCTTCTGATATATGTATATATATATATATATATATGCGGTCAGATGGGCGCGCTTTGAGGGAGCCCACATTTTGCGGTGGCTTTCAATGACCTTTTTTGGGGTCGGAAGGAGACTCCAGGTACCCTCAAAAAGGGCCATCCTCCTGCAGCAGGGCCAGTCACCAGCACCACGGCTTGTAAAAGCCTCATGCGACCCACAATGATGCTTGCCCCGTGGGTTATCCTAAGCCCTTCAAAGGGCGTTGCCCCTTTGGGCTCCACTTGAAGCCGCCCTGTTTTTTCAAGGGTTACCCAAGTGGTCGCCCCTTTGTCCACCGGCTTTCTTGAGTCCCAATGAACCATCGTGCCGCATGTGCCGCATTTGTGCCGCAGGTGCTGAATGCTAAGCATCCAGCTAACAACACTGGATGCGATCTGGCGGGATGCTCCTGAATCGAGTGCTCGGAAAGAGGACTCTGCATGCCATAATCAAGGCTCATGGGGAAGCCCTTGGCTGGCTACGAGAACCCAAAAGGAAACCAAGCCCCGGGATCCACGTGGGTGTGTCTTGGTATGTCGGGAGCTTCCTCAGCTGGATGAAAAGAGGAAGGCGCGGGTCTTGGTGTCGTTCCGGACAGGTCAGATCCTGGCGCCAACAAAAGGGACACCGAGAAAAACATCCGCCGACCAGTTTCTGCCGCCGAAAATCGGAACAAAGAATCGACCCCGGTGATCAAAACCTCTCCGGACTTTTCAGCCATCGCATCACCGTCACGGCGCGTCTTCGCTTTCGATGGCGCCTCGCCGAAGACTACGTGCCACCAGGGCCTCGAAGCGGAGCAGTTCCGCGGGTGGCAAACCCCATTTACCCGGCTAGAAGACGAGAGCCAGGGGTTCAAATCCCGTTCCCGGCAATCCAAATCGCCCGGCGACCACCTAAACCGGGCCCTGGGGAATTTCGTAGGGTTCGGGCGCTCCTTTCCTCGCTTGCGCCTCGCTCGCGCGTGCGGGGAAGCGGAATTGTTCCTGGGGCCGCCGCATCCAAAGCTGAGCAGGGGCTCGGCAGGTCAGGTCCTGGCCACTCAGTTCTGAAACGGGTCAAAATTAAACCACCAATCGGACCGCAGGTTTTAGTCCGTTTCCTTTTACCAGGATTCTATTTTGGGTACCTATTTTTGACCCTTGGCTTTTGAAGGGGGAAACCCAGAGGTGTGCATGTTTGTTCATTCTTCCCTTTTTTGGTTGGCGGGGGGAGGGAGGATTCAGAAACCCCAAAAACGTATGTCTGAATCTGGAGATGATGGTTGGTCGTAGTTCTTTCAGAAATCCATGTGGCTGTCTGAGGTTGATCTAGAACCATCCCTACCAACCTCTAGCAAAAGGATCTTTTTGACCATACATGGGGCTCAGGGTGCTGCCGTTAAAATGACTGGTGTTCTGTATTTATGGGACCTGGGAATTTGGTCAACCCCCGCCCCATTTCCCAAAATTGTCCATGGTATTTTGGAGTGCCCCATGTCATCCCCCCATGAAGCCCAAAGACTTCAGGACACCAAAAACCTGCAAACCTCTACCCGGGAATTTGCCCCATATCTAAGACGACTGCAAGGCGCTCCTGCCAGGTCACGAACTTCCCATGAGGAAACAGATCGAAGTAAGACGTCGCCGAGGCAAAGTACGTCAAGGCATCCGCATACCTCACACTTAGCAAGACAAAATTCACGAATTTCATTGTTTCCCTCAAACCATCACCCCAGCAGGGGGGAACTCACCCCACAAGATGATGTTGAAAAACAAATCACTGGTCGAACACATTCACGGTCAAACTCACTTGCTGCCCCTCGTGGGACATGAAGCAATGAGTGAGTCTCCTGGGTGTCATGGTGGTTGTTCCATGAAAAGGAATGCTTATCATGCATCTTTCTTAGGGGACCCCCCTAAATAGTGGTCTCGCTGAAACCAAGAACCAAAAAAAAAGGCTACCCTTCCAAAAAAGGCCAGCCACCCATGTGGCCGTTTTTCAAAACTAACCCACCAGGATATGAACCGCAGGTTGTAGTCCATCACATTTCCCGGGGCAACCCGTTTTGGATGCCCATGTTTAACCCACGTGGCTTGACCGAGCTCTCGCATCCCGGCTCCGGCGGATTTTTGTCGCTTTGGGCACCCCGCCATTGCCGCTGGCGCAGCAGAGCCCTGGGCCGCGGCACCAGGAACTGCACGCAGCAGTAGCCCTTCACCACCTGGCCACCGGAGTCAAAAATCGACCCACCGGGAAATATGCCCGTGGTTGTCAAAACCGTTTTGGGATCCCATTTTGGTTGGCAGGTGAATTCACCATCCATTTTAGAACCTATTTTAGTGGGGATTGGGAGGATCACTGGGGCTACGATTTGGCTTTTGACCCATGGCCACTGGTTTTAGTCCTTTCCATTGACTCATCAAAGTCAATGTGGTCTGGGTCATAATCAAAACACTGCAACTACGGTAGTTCACTTTAAAGCCGGCCAGTAAAGTGCTACCAACAGTCATGGCGGTTGCCCCGTTGGCTTCTGGTTGCCCCTTTGATTTCCGTTCGGAACCACCTAAAGAAGACGTCCTTTTAAAGCTGCCCTTTAAAGAGATACCCAAAACTGTCGGTTGCCCCTTGGGTTCCCTTTAAAGCCGCCCGTTGAAGGGGAGACCCAAACCTCGGCCATCCCCCCCGTTGCGGGCGCTCGCGGCTCGCCGCTCGCCTCCCGGGGCGGAGCCACAGAGCTCGCGAAGAGGCGCTTCCACAGCCTACCGGGGCCATTTGGCTCGGAGTTTGAACTGGCTATGTTTGTTTCCCTGCCAAATCTACCATGCCAGCTATGGTTTGGCATATTGAAGTACCCTCAAATGGCCAAATCTATCTTACATGCCATATGATCAGCAAGCACTTTGCCCATGACACGACGCTTTGAGATGAGTTTTGCCCTCCCGCCGGTGAACATGGAACCTGACATTCGGGGAATGGTCCGTAGGAAAATGGTCCGAACCAGGACCCCCCGAACGTCAGGCTCCATGTTAATTGGTGGGTGGGTAATAGGGTTGGTGGACACAAATCCTCCAAATGATGGTGGACGGGTCCCTTAGCAGTCACGCAAGTTGGCGAGTGCTTCTCAAGGTGGGCTTCGAAAGAGCCCCCTTTGGTTCAAGGAAAATCAAGCAGAGGAGCATTTTGAGCGAAACATCCAAATGGTTCGCAAAGTTCAGGTTGTCCAACCACCTGTGGCCGTTCTGTTGATTCGCCGCTTGAGCCAAGGGTTCCAAGAGGCTTCAGGTCACCCTTACCCACAAGGCCTCTGAGACCAAAAAAAACCTTCGCTTCGGCTGCTTGCCTGGGGGAGGCGAAGTTGTCCCACGTGTGGACCGACGTGCCGAGGTCCAGGTAGTTGTGACCTCGCTGACTCGACTGTAATGATTAGCTGGGCTTTGTTGCATTGGCCGCCATAGGTGTCCTTTTAGGGAAATACCAGATAAACCAGGGCCATCTATTTTACTAGCAAAACAACCAAAAAAGGACACCTATGTTGGCCGAATGAAGCGGATGGTTTTTTCTCCTCCTGGAAACTGAGAGCCCCGTGCTGAGGTAGAGAAATGGGAAGCTCGCCTGCGAGCCAACAGGCAGGGGCGAACATCTCTCCAACAGCTTAAGGCTCGCCTCATCGAGTGCCCCTTTCTGTGCTGCTGACAGGACCTGGCATGGCGCGGCAGCGCGGCCAGCAACCAGCTGATTCTTGGTTGGTGGCTTGGATTGGCGGCTTGGAGCTCGGGGGGTGGCTTCCCAGTTGTCAACTAGAACGCAGCGTTCTGACAACTAGAACCCAGCGTTCACACCCCCAAATGGCTGTGGTTGTCAAAACCGTTTTGGGATCCCATTTTGGTTGGAAGGTGAATTCACCGCCCATTTTAGTCGATTCATTTTAGGGCAGGTGAATTCACCACCCATTTTGGAACCTATTTTAGTGGTTGGATTGGTTGATGTTCACTGGGGGCTGACCGACTTAGCTTTTGACCCACGGCCAAATCACCATCCAAGCTAACTGCTTACCGGCAACCAGCTCCTCCTCGAGTAGCCGAAAAGGATGCACATGCTCCGGGGCGTCCGCGTGCAAGAAGAAAGTCCAAGCCTCTCGGATCTGGGAAAGGGTCAAACTGGGAGTCGAATGGCGTCGGTCCTTGCCTTCCACCAACCAATCCCAGCCAAATCCCAAAAACCAGCACAAAACACCAAACCCAGCCCTCCTGACCTCCCTTTCCAACCCCAAAGGCCAACACCTCTCGGATCTTCTCCGGATTTTTGTTCGATCTCGGGCAGCCACCGCTAGGTCATCGTATTCTTCCACCAAATGATGGAGATACGCCGTCGCCTCAAGCGGAGGCGGCTTTGGGCGCGCGAAAGTTTCGGGGCTTCGGACCCGAAAGTGCCCGATCCAACGCAACGGGCAATTCGCTAAACCAAGCCCCGAAATTGGGCTCCAGGTGAAAAAGAAGTTTGTTCAGGTTTAGGGTTAAGGGTTTAGGGTTTGGGGTTTGGGGTTTGGGGTTTGGGGTTTAGGGTTTAGGATTGGGGTGTACTCATTTGTTGCTTGCCTTCGTCGTATGACCATGACCACTGCCCGAAACTGAAATCCAATATAGCAAATGACCCCGAGCCGATGACTGTGTTGATATTGTTGTGAGATATTTGGTGAGACCCCCAAATGCCTCTCCTAAACGATCTATGGACTACCGCATGTGTCCGCCGAACCTCATGTGTGCCATTGTCAAAACAGGGCCATGGACATTGAGTCCTGGTTCCCGCAATAGCAACCTTTACCTGGTGGCCAAAAAGCAAGTATCGCAATTCTGGATGACCATCCTTAACGGTCTTTTGACCACGTCACATGTAGCTAGGGCGCGGGCGTCATCGGCCCGCAGCGCATCCTCCACACGCTGCACCTCGACCACCTGGCAGCCGCAAACTCGGCCGGTGTCGTCAATCAAATAGGGGATAGAGTGTCCCTGCCATGGCAAGCTCATCGGCCCTTCAGAAAAACCCTCATGGGGTTTCATCCATCCCAACTGGTGCATTGTCCATCGGAGAAATAGTCATCCATCCAAAGGCCTGCGAAATCATAAGACAGCAATTGGGCTGATTCCCTTTTACCTACCCCTTAAATGATTTTGATGGGAAGATGATGGGGCCAGCAAGACACAGACTCATCTTTTTCGTAATCCAGGCGGCGATGCATGGGCATATGGAAGCAGGGCGTGGCGCAACGAGTCCTGGCACTATGCACCAACTCACTTCAACATGAGCACCTAAGAGTCATGCCATCAGCATCTAGGCAAATGTTCAATACCAATAAAAACAAAAAGCCGTCAATAAAATATTGCGATAGCACAAACAAACAAGCAAACAAGCAAAATGACAAACAAACAAGCAAACAAACAAACAAACAAACTAACAAACAAACAAACAAACAAACAAACAAACAAGCTTGAAGCCGTTTGTGAGCTCGCTATGTTGCCCGCATCTAGAAGACCTGAGAGTCTCAAGCGCCTCAAAGCCGGGCGCTGCTGCATCCCCGCACTTCTCCTTGACCTACTGCTCTGCCCAGCCACTCGCGAAGTGCAAGAGCACTGGCCACTCAGCCCGGAGCAAAGATGCGAGTGTGATCTCGGTAGCTCAAGGCCTGAGCAAGTCAGGCAATGTTGTTTCATGCACCTTGCGCTATCACCTCGGCAGGGTTTGCCGACGTGAAGCAGGTCTTATGCGAGACCAAGCAATTCACGCACCGAGGTCAAAGCTCCTTGTATGGGGGATGTTCCAATAGTCAGAACGGCAGTCCACATACAGTATTGAAAGTATGACGCGCACCTGACCCTGTGATCCGGTGTCTTTTTGACAGACATGGAAAAACAAGAAGATAGGCTTGAAAGGACGTTTCTGTGGCTTGGAATCAATCATGTAAGTGAATGCCAGCATTGCAACTTCTGGAAGGAAGCATCCTGCAATATCAAAAAACCAAACTGTGGCCTGGGCTCAAGCAAGAATTGATGTATGTGCAGATCTGCCAATGCCGCCGGTTTACTGCTTGTGAATGTTGGTCCATCAAGCACTGCTAAGCCACATCTCTTCAGGTAAAATCGGTTACAGCCATAGGTGTCCTTTTTGGGAAAGTAGATGGCTCTGGTAGTTGATTGAGCCACCAGGTAAACCAGGGCCCTGTATTTCTCATCCAAATCAACCAAAAAGGCCCGTGCTCCCAAAAATTGTTTCATCTTGAGCCTGCCTGTGGCGCCAAGAGGTCGGCCAGCCACCCCAACTCGTCCTGGCAAGAAACTTGGCTGCGGCTGAAAAAACCGGTACCAAAATGGAACCCTGGCAAGCGGAAACACGGACCAAGCCTGCGTAACCCCTCCTGTTTAATTTTGAGCCACACCCACTTGTTCACTTGGGTGCGTGCTGAGGGTACCCTGAAAATCAGCCGACTCAAAGAGAAGCCAAAGGTTTCGACCACCATTTGTAGGGATCCAAATCACAACTTTGACACCACGGTGCCCGAATTCCAAGCGGCAACCCTTTGACAGCTTCACAGAGCGCCTCCACGAGGGGGTACCCTCCACCTGTAGCGCAAATCTCTTGCTCAAGGAAGGATGAGTTGGGATGCTTCAGTTCGGGGGTCATTCCATTCCCTCATACGTGCGTCACTTTTCATACAAATTAAAGCCTCATGTCCAAGTCTCCAGGGCGGGGTTCCTGGCACAGACGAAGGAAGCCCTTCTGTGGCTCGGACCAGGAGACCGGGCGACGCTGCAAAAGCAAAGGACGAAGTCCACCGACCTTCGCATCGGCTCCCGCATCGGCTCCCGCATCGGCTCCCACGTCGGCACCATGATGAAAAACAAAATCCGCTGCAGGCACCAGTTGGCAGCAGTTGGAACCCTGACTTGAAGACTGGCTGACAAATCGAGCGGACCGGTCCATCCACACGCCCCGCTGGGCCATTCGATCGCGACATGACACGAGGCCTGAGTGCCCCGCTTGGCTGCCGGCGCCGAGCGCAGCCTCAGCTCCCGCACTCGCTGGAAGCCTGGCCGCAGAGGCCAGGTTGACCTGGCGAACCCCCAAACGCGATAACCCGAGCCACCCCCCAACATCACCATTTTGGTCAAGAGGTTTTGACTAGGTGAAAACCTGGATGAAAAAAAGGAAACTCCCCATGGACGCAACACCTGGATGAAAAAAGGGAAACTCCCCATGGACGCAACACCAGGATGAAAAAAGGATTTCTTTTGTGGACGAATCGGCGCTTCGCCGCACATGCCAGATGGACGCCTCTGCCACAACGCTGCTGCCTCGGCATTACTCATTCTCTCTGCAGCCACGGCCAGTTCATCTGGGTCTGTTTCAAGCAACCCGTAAACGAGTACCCGTACCCTCAACAAGCACACCCACATATGGCAAATGCTGAGCAAAACAGGGATTCAAATTCAGGCGGCGAGCCTGCATGCAGAACTTCATGCAGGATCTCCAAGTAAATGTCCTGTGCTCGTCGCCGCACATCGCATGCGAATACAAAAAGGAAGATCGGAAGTTGTAGATTGATGACGGCCAGGTACATAAAATGAGCCAGCGTCGAAATCTTCCCGCCTTTCCGCTTTACAGGCATCGCTTGTCCCAACTTCTTCCGTGTGAACTTCGGGGAGTCCGCCCGAATTTCATCTCCGAAGATCGGCCAGCCGCTGAAGAGCTCGGCCTCCAAGCTCGAGTGCTCTTCGCTATCCACGAAGAGTCGCTCCTGCGAGCAAGACGTTGCGCGCGCAAACGGCAAACTCGGGTGGATTCTGCAAAGTTGATGGGGGTCTGCCTCAAAATGTGACCCCCCCCCAACCAAACAAAACAAAAAACATGGGTGTCCTTGTTCTGGCCTCTAGAACAACCCCAAGTGGGGTTACCCCCACAAGGAAAGGCACACCCATCCTCCTGGCGAAGCAGCAAGCTTTGCAGCACAGCGGGAGCGCATGCAGCAGCCACGCCCCGCCAACCTCGGATCTGAGATGTGAAAATCCGCCCGCAAGGTCCTGTTGACCCCGGATCAGACAACCGCAGCTTATTGATAGGTAGTGGGTAGTGGGGAATCACGTTCAGGAAAAACGAAACATGATCTGGTTTCCCAAGACTGGCTTCAGGACACGATTTTCTATCCAAGTAGGCTTTTAATTGGGATGTTCATACAATGTAAGATTTGATGGCATTTCGATTGAAATTCAACATACAATATTAGTTTTCCGTTGATCTTAAATAGTTATTTTCCAAGTAGGAGTTCAACTAGAACTTGATTAGAACTATTGGTGTTGTCCTGATGTTAAATACTATTTTATTTGTCCGCATATGGGTTCGATTAAATATTAAATAGAAGAACTATTTAAATTAGGTTTAAACAGGAGTTCCTCAAAGTATAAATAGGAACTCCTTTCCAAACCTTAATTAAAATGTGTACAATATATGTCAACTAGTGTCTAGTACTTGTAATAAGAATTCATCTCCAAGTATCTAAGAGTTCAATGAGATGAAGCATATATTTTAGACAGAATCTGGTAAGGAAAGACAAGCTGAATTGTGTCTCCTGATTATTCAAACAGATGTTGTACACTCAATTAGATGTCTGATAGGAATCAATTAGAGTCCACATATTGAGTTTGATTTGTTTTTTAGTAGGAAATTCTTTCGAGTAGGACTTCAAGCAGAATTCAAGTTGAAATTAAAAGGAATCTAATAAGGAAAAAACAAGCTGGTTGTGTCTTTGAATTGGCCCGCCTTTAAGCAGGGAAAACCTAAGTCGAAAAAAAAAAAAAAAAAAAGACTGGAGAAAACTAAAAAAAGCAACAACACCTCAAGAAAACAAACAAACAAGCAACTCCTCGAGAAAACAAACAAAACCAAAACAAACTCGAAAAGAAAAAAAGGGGGGGAAAAAAGAACGAGAACAAAACAAAACTCGAGAAAACCAACAAAACAGAAAGAGACCTCGAGAAAACAAAGAACAATGCGTCCAGAACTCTTTCAGCATCAGCTCTTTTCCAAAGAGCTTCCAAATCATGGCTCTTTTGTTGTTGGTTTTCTCGAGGTGTTCGTTTTGTTGGTTTTCTCTATGCTTGTTTGTTTGGTTTTCTCGAGGTGTTTGTTGGTTTCTCTAATCTGTCTTGGTTTTACTTGGGCTTGGTCAAGATGGTTCCCCTGCATTGGTGGGAGTTTGGCAACTTGATCAGCAGCCTCAAAACGCGCAAAATGGGGCGCAATATCGGGGTCCCCTGTTCCGCAAAAACAAATGCCAGAGCCAATGACCAGGCGTCCGGCCAGCCGCGGCTGCCTCGCGCAGGACCTGAGGCTGGAGTCATGCTGTTCTCAAGCGGCCCACATCGAGGATCCTGCGGTGCCCATGTTCATAAGCAGGTTGACGTTCACCTGGCTTCGCAATCACGCGTCGAAAATATGCGTGGAAGGAGGCATGATTGAAAGCTGCTTTCTGCACCACCTTCATTTGCAGTGGCTCCACCATATCTGATCTGAGTCGCAAACCATGCCAGAAGTGTAGAACCTGGCACTGCATAGTCCGCTTGCGCGTTCCCATGGCAATGTGTTGTTGCAAATAACAACCCAGCGAGTGGCTCATTCCATGAGCGGTGAGAGCCCGAAACCCGTTGACTGCTGCAAACATGGCCAGGGTTTATACACATGCGAAACCGTAAAGCTCCTGCTTTCCTTTGGGACAAGTCCCTGTTTAAACATACAATATCGTTTTGGTCCCCGGAGAGGACCAAAGCAACCCAGGGCCTCAGTAGTTGTCAAAGCGCGACAGTAGTTGTCCTTTTGTTCTCATCTTTTGTTAGGGGACCCCAAGGAAAAGACACGCCCTTTTGCCTGGTTGCCACAACCTGTTTCCGGGTTCTCTCATTTTTGAGACGCCCGGTCGCCCGACGAGCGACGTCGGAGCAAAAGGGTGCCCTCAAAAAGAATGAGCAGTGCTCAAAGCCCATCGAGATTTGGATACCCTCATAGTGCTCCTTCGCGGAGCTTTCGCGAAGCTTTCGCGAAGCTTTCGCGTGCGTGTTTCCCTTCGCGGCTTTTGCATCAACCCTTTTGCGGCGCTTTCGCGGCGGCTGATTGAAATTAGCAGGGCAAACGTTCAGTTCAAGAATGGCGCGCCAAGTACGCTTGGTAGCTCCACCCTGAACATCTCAACTTTTCAGAACAAGCGTAGCACAGCAAGCGAAAGCTCGCAACTTTTCAGTAGACTCATGCGCAAAAGAGGCCTTCTGTTGGATCCTAGACGCCTTTCGAGCTTCGGAGCCTCCCCGCGGAGGCCTGCGCACGCTCAACGCGAGCCGCGCGGAGCTTTCGCGGACCGAGCTCTCGGAAAACGGTTTCCGCGGAGCTCTTGCAAGCTTTCGGGATTCAGGGGGGTCGTTTCGCGGATGCCATTTTAGGAAACCGTTTGGCTAAAGAATCATGGGGGTTTTGGGCGCCGCTCATGTCATCCCGGCAAAACCCCGACGAGTCGGGAATCCAAAACTTCCCG